AAGCTTTTATATTATTTTACTTATAAAAAGTTAAAAAAGGTAATATAATATAAAAGAAAAGAATTATATAATTAATTAAGTAAAATCTTTTTTAAAAGTATAAAATTATTTATAATAAGGGTTTAATATAAAAGCTTAAAGTAAAAAAAGCTTAATTTAATAATAATTTTATAAAATATTAAAGGTTTTAAGTTACTTTAAAAAAAAAAAAGAAAAGTAATTACCTTATATATATAAAAAGAATACCTAGGCTTAAGGTTCTTACCTAGGTATATATTCTAGCTATATAACTAATAAGTCTTATATTAGCGTAAAGCCTCTTTATTAGGCTTCACGATTTATTAGGCCTTTTCCGTGTAACACATCACACAAGAGCGTCGGGCATCACTACTTTGTATTCCCTGGCTTGAATAAATAGATATTTTCAGTTCCTTGTCTCAGAATCGGACACTTGACGGCCAAGGCGCCTACACATATCACTTCTTATTGGCTGGTTGTTCCAATGAGCCGGCCCAGGGCAACAAAGGCCGAGATTGCCGCGTCTTTCAGAGTCTCCGCCCAGGCCAACATGCCTCCCACACCTAGTTTCATGGTCTAACAAAGAACCATGAGCTCAAAGGGGCCCAGCTGGGTATGCCTATTATCCTTTCGTTTTCCTCATATTTGAGAAGCCGTGCCTCGCCCAACATTTCGTCGTGTCGTGACACATATCGCATTTGACCATGGCAGGCAGGCTCCGGCACATTCCGGCACCCTTGACGCGGCTAAAGGCAAGAATACGCCAGAGTTTGGTAAACGGCTCCGGGTTTCCGTCCCAGAAGAAACCAAAGGCTGGGAAGGAATCCACCGCGCCATCCACAGGCCCTGCCCCTGGGGCAGACCCTCCACTTCTTGTTGGGCAAACATCCTGCGGAAAGGAACGAGGTGGAAACGATACAGCTGATGACGTGATGTCTAGGCAAGAAGATCAACCCGGGGTGATTTGTGACATCTCCACCAAGGAAGAAGGTCAGAATCATGTTGTTATGGCGACTGGAGACCGCACCGAGACTCGCACAAGTCTGTCCAACAAATGTTCTCAAGACCAATCATCACATGAATCTGATGAACATGTGAATGGAATAAATCATCAGCAACAATTTTGGACCGACTCGCCATCCGACCATCTCTTCGAACTGAGCGAGGGGCTTTGGAATGAAGCCTATCCTAGCCTCAAAATTGATGAGCCCGAACTAGTCTCTCTTTACGAGGAGATGATGCACCAGTGCTGGACGCCGAATTCCCCAAAGAGTTCGATTGCGAGCCTTCCACATAGCGAAGAGGCCGTTGATAACATAATAGAAGACAACAGTAAGCCACTCTGGGCAGAGCAGGCAAAATTCCTGGAGGTTTGGATGGCCGAAAAAGACGACCCAGGAAGACAATGTGATAAACCCTTCAACGCTAAGCAGATGATTATCTTATTTAAAGATATTGTTCGGCCATCGGCCTTGAGCATGACTGGGGCTGCTGTACCGTGGGTTGCTGCATGCCTTGCCGCAAAGGTGATTAAAACTTCAACGTCGCTTCATTTAAAAACGAAGAATTACAGTTAACTAGAATATAGAGTCTATTTCGTCATGGTGTACTATTTGGCCCTGTTGCTATTGGCTTCATTGAACTCCTCTCGAAAATCGATGGCCTCCGGAGGCTGTCACTTCTTTTACCAGGCGAGACGGCAAACACCTCGGATACAACAAAAAGTGGACAGAATCGTGCAAGAGATGCATTAGTATCTCTCTATGCGGCAGTGCTGTTGTACATTGTCCGTATTGCATGTTCGACTACGGACAGGAGCATGATTGTTGAACCCGGAGCGATCGACCAGCTTTCCGATCGCACCCGACAAATGGAGGGTGCATTCACTGCTAGTTTCGACAACAAGATTGGGAATGAGCTTCGCGACTTGTTTTCTCAGGCCGAACATGCCAAACATGCCGAACATCCATCAACTCCATCTGGCGGGAGTGAGAATGACAATGACAAACTGCCTTCCAACCTTGTCTTGAGCTTCGAGGATTCAGAAGAGATGCTGCAAAAGGCATGCCACGATGGGAAACTACCAGAACACTTGCTCAAATGGATTCTCTCGACGCAAGAGTATTGCAAGTTCCACAGAACGGAGAACACAGACGAAAACCGGGTTCTTTGTGTTTCGGGGTCTCCAGGTGCTGGCAAGTCAATGGTCCTTCTGAGGATTGCCCAACATTTGACGCGGCTCCAGGATCCTAGCAGCAATGATGAGAAAGTTGCATGTTTTTTCGGAAACAGATCTAGTTTTGTCTTAGAAACCCCAGCAGCAATTGTGCACAGTCTCACCCGACAGATAATTCGACATCGACCACCTCTATTCCACCACCTTGAAAAAGTGTACAAGTTAACAAGGAGGCAAGTCCTCGACCGGACAACAGACGCATTCGCAGTCTCCGGGGTTCTGTTCAGAATTCTAGAAGACCCAGACTGTCCAGAAATTTGTTTCATTGTCGACGCGATCGACGAGTGCTGCTCTGACGAAGATGATGTCGAAGGGCTAGACAATCTCCTCAGGTTGATTTGCGCGACCATACGGCGATGTCCCAAAGTCCGATGGGTAATCTCTATGAATCCTGCCATTGAGAAGCGCGTGTCTCTGGGCGAGTCAATTGTCCTTGACCTCGATTCCAAAAACATGGCAGCGGTTTTTAAACAGAGTGTTGGCTCCAAAGTCGCAGCTGTAGTCGGTGACATTCGCCTGCCCGACGACAAAAAAGCACTTCTCCAGGACCATCTCGCTGAGAAGTCGCAAGGGAATTCGTTGTGGATGAACACGGCTTGTAAAATCATGCAACACCATCCATTTTTGTGGGATATCATGGATGTGCTTGAGGAACTACCAAATGATCTGGAAGGATTGTACAACTATTCCATGGCGACAATTAGAAAACTTCCCCCAAAGACTTTCGACTTTTGCCGGCAAATCCTTCAAATCGCGGCCGCGGCATACCGGCCTCTATATCTCTGGGAACTGCACGCCTTGGCAGAACTGCCCGCTGTTGTGGATGTCAAGTTCATCATTGCCAAAGGGTGTTGTGCATTCCTGGAACTACGTGATGATATAGTACGGTTTGTCCACTCCTCGGCCAGGAGTTATGCCCGGAAGACTCTGCTTCAGGAGTCAAAGATGCGTGGAGAATTTGTGCTGCGGTGCCTCCAATTTCTCCCGAACCATTTCAGAACGGCTGTAGTCGCAGAGCCTCAAACGGAGAAGAAGGAATACACCCCCCTTCTGTGCCACTACTGGCACCACTGAAGGGAATAGTATATGGATCCAGGGTTGTACAGCAGTAATCGGGTGTACTTCTGGTGAGGTTCTAATACTGAAGCTAACGAAGGATGGATATTTGTAATTGCTTCGTCCTAGATTGAGATATTTGAGCTGTATGTGGATAGTTTCTCTTTATATCGCGGCGGAGGACTAGTAATTCCATCGCTGGAATCTTCCCCCCACCAGCCTTGGTGAAATAGCTTCTCCTCGACAAACTCAGCAGGAGTTCTTAGTTTGTCTTGAGCAGCTTGGACCTCCTTGTTCTCTGAGGGCCGTGAGTCGCAATCTCTTACATGCTTTGAGCAAGACTGCTCCCACAGCCCGTTGGGACCCCGCGGGCAAACCATGTCTAGCCCGCTTTCCGACTAATGTTTGTTTTGCTCGGCTTTATTAAGATGGTTATGATAAGTTATCAATAAAGCTTGTTTTATTTGTTGAAAAAAGTGTAATCCTTTAACAGACAAGAAGCAAAGAAGGCTACATTACTGCAAGCCATGCGCGAAGGGGCAAGTTCGGTGTCTTCCAATGCCCGCTGCCATCTTGAGAAGAAGCATCATATGACCATTGTAGCACCACACTATCAGGAGTGATGCGTTATAGTGGGCTCGTAAACAGGAGAAAAGCAGCATGGCCGAGATCGGCAGACACAAAGCTCAACCAAAGGGTCCTGGCAGGGGTCAAACACGAAACTGGAAAATCATGCATATCCGGTCAGACAACTTGGGTAGCATACTTCATCCTTGCACCGATTAACGACGCCATGCATGCCTAAGCGGAGAAACCGGAGGGGAGCAGCGGCCGCGAGCTTACCATGTTGTCTCAATCGCTTTTGCCGTTAGAAATTGTGATGGAGCCAGGTGTAACCCTTGTGGCATACACGACAGCTCGTTCAGAAGCCAGGCCGGCATGTCTGACGTTTTCAATCAAATTACCCCGACACTATTCAGCTTCATATGTACCTTACAAATGTTTGAGCAGCAACTTTTATCGTTGCAGGGAATGCCACCAACTTTTGCTGGCCAGCGCTGTCTGCGAGAAGAAGCGGATAAAGGCATAAAACTCCCTCGCAAGATGGCGTTTCTTTAAATGGGATCAACGGGCAACGCAATGGCAGGAGTGCTTTACCCAAACGGCCGCCCCTACACCCTGGTAGGGCGACATTGCATCAGACCAGACTCTCTCCACATGCATGCATTCAATGGTCGGATTCAGATGCAATTCAACAAGAATGACATCGGTTGTCATTTGCCAGCTGATGCGTCCGCGTTGCTATCGGGCTTGTCCACTGAGCCCTGCAGCAGAAAGATACGGAATAACGGCCCTTGACCGAACATCCCTGAATCCAATTTATAAATGTGCGCTTTGGCTCTCTCTCTGTGATCTCTGTGATGATGTAATGTAGCCCCATGCTAGAATTCCCCGAAAAGACATCTACACGGACGCAGTTTGCTCATCCAATACTCATTCCGTTTCTTGGAAGTATATGCCAAACAACCCTACCGTACCGTTCTGGAAAACATCAAGCACAAGGCTACTTCAAAGGCTCCAGCTATCCTTATTAGCATAAAGCAGCGAAGCGCAATTACTTCAATACCCAGTCATCATGGGCGTTGATCTGGACTACCTTACCCCACGGGGCCTCTTGGTGAACAAGAATTTTGTTTGCCAGGGGCCTTCCTTTAGCAGCCTTTTTCTAGCTATCAACAAGATGCTTGACGTGCCGCACAGCAAAGAGACGATGGCCAAGGAGTTCAATTTCTCTAATGACGCATTTGACGTGGTAAATAGACTTAAAGTTTTTGATTCAAAGAGAATTCCATCTAATGGGGAGTAGCTTTTAGATGTACTTGAAGACTGTCTGAAGTACATGGCAGAGGTACGGATTTTTGTATCTGTACTCTCCGGATTGATTAACTGGCTTACTCTTACCCGCAGATTCATTCGAATGCAGAAAAGCTCAAGGTATCTGGCAGATCTTTTATCTCTTCGTGAACAGGCAGTAGTGCTGATATTTTCATATCTAGATAGCGTATCGCGATGTCGGTGATGTCTGCGATAGAATCCTTGTCCTGTCGGCCTCAGCCCCGGAAGATTACAGTTAGCACTACTACCCAAAATCGTTCTCAAAGTTTTAAAAAAATTGCATTATGTTCTGTTTTTGTTGAGCTAACATTATTTTCGCTCAAACCTAGATAAACTATTTGATGATCTGGCACGCCTGTACAAAGATGAATCGGACAACGAGGCGCTGCGCAAGTCTGTCAAAGAACAAATTGATGCACGCTTGGCTGGCATTAACAACGTGTCTACCAAGGCTACGGCTACAAGAGCAATCTTGGCCAATTCCACAGATGCCGTCACATTAGCACAGGACCAGCTGAAGCACGTTGGCGCGCAGCTCAACACCGAAGCCATCTATCGTCGACTCCTCGAAGCCTTTATGCCTGACATGGTAAAAATCGCCATGAATAACTTTGCAATCAACATGATGAGAGTATGTTATCACCGCCAGTCCCCGATTCAAGACACTGTCCATCTCGGGAATCACGATTGTCTGACAAAGAGGACCACGTAGGCATGGATCGGGCAAATCCAATTGACTGACGGGACTGCTGCCTCGTTGGTAGAGTTGCAGAAAGCTGTCGGTAAGCTGGCTTGGTCGACATATTAGCAAAAGGCGCCAATTTAACGACTTGTTTAGGTGCTGTCGCGGAGATTGACATGGATCTTATTTCGTTGCGCAAGTATGTGGAGGAAAACACTTCACCCGGGCCATCTCCTATTTTGGATTTACAGAAGGGAAACATCCTTGAGAAGTGGGAAGACTTGGATAAGGAAGGTGAGTGCAGGCGCCATTGCTTTCAGACGAAGTTCGATTTGGAGAGTGACTGACTTTGTTGCGTTGCCCCATTTGCAGTGAGAAAGTTCAAATCAAACTTTATTGACACTGTAAGGGCTTAAAAGAAGGGCCAATGGATGGTGTTTACTCTGATGGAGGAATTCTTGGTTAACAGACAATTGGGATTCCTGAGTACTTTTTTTTCGATCGCGCATTTGACTAGGAGCTGTGTCATATAGCACAATCATCTGGACAGTTTCGGCAAAATGAGAGACTCTCTAATTTCTTACATGACAAGGTACAACTATACGAGCAATAAATGCGCGTCAATTGTGATCCTGCTTATAAATTGCTACTGTCTTGAATGAGCGACTTGATCTTGACAAACTAAGCCGCTGTCTGGTGGAAAATACATCATTCAAACCGCACGGCGAGATATAAAAAATACGCAAAATATTGATTTCTCCTATATTAATTTGGAAATGAACGTGCATTGGCAACTTCATCTGCACTTGAACATAATCCCATCGAAGCAGATACTAGATGACGCTGTACTCTGCATGCATTACTTCTTCGCTGAGTCCTTCACCCCAGCCCTGCGACGCTGAGCATCAAAGCGAACATTCCCGGTAAACCGCAAATCAACTCCCTTGAAGCCATCCAAAAGAATGTCCTCTGGGTTCAACAGCTCAATCTTCCACTGGGTAAACGGAGTGGGCTCGGCATGGTCCTTCGTCTCAAAGGCGGGGTAGACGCGAGTTTTGCCTCTGTTCCCGTTTTCATCCAGCTCGTACGAGCATCTTCGAGATTGAGGCAGACTTGCGAAACTGAACACCTTGTCTTTTTCAATGTCTGCGTAGATTCCGGAAGTGGTGATGCGCAAGTTCACCACTACCACTCCGCCCTTGAGAGCGCTTGGATTGGGGAGCACTCCGAGCAGGGTAGGATTCAGCCCGTCGAGACGGTAGTGGGAGCCTTCGTCGAAATCACTCGCGAGCCCCTTTTCCGGAGCAAGTGTGAAGCTGCCAATGTGGCTCTTCCCCTTGATGCCGTCTTTCATGGATTGCCCATATCCAGCAGGGAGCTGTTCCTCGTCAGTGCTTCGCAATATGAAGGTGGGCGATACGTAAACTTACATCTTCAGAGTCGATGTTATAATCGAAAGCTAGAGAACATATTGCTTAGCTCATACTCAGTATACGATGGTCTTGGTTGCTACCTACGTTGAAAGTCGCTGGAATATCGTGAATCGGCATTCACCATCTCTTGTATGATGATGGAGAGGTCTTGCTGGTACTCAACGAGAGCCTTCCGGGAGTCAAGAGTAATAGAACTCTCAGCAAGGGCCCAGTAGCGATAAGCCCATGCCATGTTTCTAAGGGAGATCACAACAGTGGTTCTGAGAGCCATGGCGCGATCATAGAGCATGGACTCGGCAAGAGCATAGATGGCCTCTTGTTCCTCGTACTCATCCAGCAGCTTTTGCAGGTTGGAAATTTGTTGCTGAGACACAATGACTTCCATCTGAGCCTGGACATACTCGTAGCCAGCCTTCACGCTCTCAGCATGGGCCTGAGTCAGCTGCTTCCCGTTGATGGCATGCTTCCGCAGCGCGAGTCTGTAGTCGCTGGCAGAGTCAATACCCTCGCTGACAGCGAATTCCATCTGCTCATCTGACTCGAGAATCCATTTATCCCACGCAGCCATTGTGACAATAGCCGCGGCATTCGCATCACCCTGGCTGGTGCCAGTGATGGTCTCCAGAGATGGAATCTCCACGGACGGATCGAGCTCAAACTGGCCAACCGCATCCACAACGGACTCTATGATGGGATACAATGCCAACAGTGCCTCAACACACTCGGCTAACTTCTGAAACGTGTCGGATCTCAAGACTTTGCCGATTTGACCAATGATGCCCTCTGCTGCTTTGACTGCGTCGACGGCTTTGCCTACAGCGTCTGCGGCGCCACCACCGCCTCCAGGGTTGCCCATGCAAAGCGTTGCAATATTCAATGCAAAAGCTGCAACAAGAAGTTAGTCGAAAATCACAAAGATTCAGCCGTTGTGAAAAGTAGGCATGTCGGCTTACAAGCGGCTGCCATGAGGATTTGAAGCACGGCCTTCAACTCCTGCTCATCTTTCCACTTCTGGAGCCCATTCTCGAAACGAATCCTGAGGATTTCCAACGCAAAGTCGTCCTCTTTAAACTGGGCTTCACAGCTCAAGGCGGTCTGACGAGCTGATTTGTACTTATCCAGCGCCAGGTTGCGAAGATTGACGCGCATGGAATTCTCATTTCTAGCCTGTGCGAGCATGGTATTCCAAGCCTGCTTGTGGACTTCCAAAGACTCCTTCTTGTCTTGGAACCGCTCAAACTGGGTCTCGAAAGCGGTGGCGGCATTGAGTGCCTGCTGCGTAGACTCTTTATATCTATCCAGGACTAAAACAGGGGCATAGCTCATGTCCGGTCCTGCCATGGCTTGTCCGGCGAGTTGTTGGCCTACTGCCACCGCCTGCGTGTTGAGCAGATTAAAGTATTCTTGATTAGTCGTCATTGTAGCTACGTACGAGCTCAGCGAGACAGAAATGGATATGTTCTTCCAGAATTGGACAAGAGCAATACGTAGTTGCGTGTTCAGGCTTGCCTTTAGGTCATCGCTTGAGGTGGACGGGTATTTCTTCTCGTATTCATGCTCCAGCTTGCCATTGGAGAAGCCGATGGAAACACCAATAAACTCGGATTTGGGACCCAGATCAAGTTTCAATGTGTCGGAACCAGTAGTTACAGTGACAGGCTGGTCTAGAATAGCGGCATAGATGGATATTGCACCCGAAGCGTCGGGCGGTATCACTATGGTGGCTGGCGCGTCTGCTGTCAGAACCCTTGCCGTGATCTGTATGGTGCCGTTTTTATAAGGTGAAATGACAGTCTCATGCTTCGTCAGAGCAAGAACATCGGTGAAAATATTCAGCCTAAGCATGGCGGGCAAAAGTGCCGTGGATGCGTCAAAGTAAACTCCTCGGAGCATCGCGGTTTTCTTGTGATCCCATGTCAGAACAGAATATGATACTTGTCAAAATAAGTGCTACTTGCCGCATTTTCGTTCACATTCTCCGCTTCTCGTAAAGGAATACTAGTAATATCCTTTGACGAAGCATAGGCTTTCCATTCCGCCGGGGTGCTGGGCTGGGGCTTCGGGTTGGACATGGTGGCAGGCTCGTGAGTCTTGGATGTTGCTGTTGCTGTATGCTTTGTCCCCTTTCTTTGTCTCTGTTTTTACCAAATACCAGAAAGCCTTCAACTTTAAAAACTGTTTCTTGTAGAGAAATCAATGCCAAGTTCATGGAGGGCCAATGGCAATCTGCAACCGCTCCATATTAGCCTTCCACAGCCTCTTTCGGTCTACCATCTGATCGAGCATGTGATGCCGCAAGACGCGGTATTGCCGATAGATCTGTATTGAATTCCGATAGCGGCTCGTCTTGCAGTGTCGGCTGGCCAAGTTGATTCATCATTCTACCCCCTCATTTTCGGTATTCACTACAACACGGGCTGTGAGCTGCATCGCGACTCGTCATTTTCACCAAGTCATAGCCGTCTGGTACAAAGTAACAAGACCCGTGTGGTGGACATTTCCCCTCTTCTATTACTCACCAAAACGGGCACGTACATATTTCAGCTCCGGATTTATGTACGTGGCGTCCGAAGGGGTGCTCTTGTTCCATTACCAAACATGACCACCTGTACGTGGTGGTGCCATAAAAAATGTAGGATCAATATCTCCAAAAAGCATCCGATGTGAGAAAAAGCAACATTTTTGTGCGCCGAAGTCACCAGGCGCGGCAGGAATGCTACGCTGCCCCATCTGCATTCTCAGCTCATGCACGCCCACCGACACAGATGGGGAGACAAAAGATTACTGCATTGATATAATTATGCATTCTCTCATGCATGCCTCGAGGAAACAGGTAGGTTACAATATGTCGATACAACATGCAGGCGTGTTACTGCCCCCTCCAATATGTCTGAGGGCGAGGCCGAGGTTTCGACATCCTGTACGAGGCGTCATTGTCATCGGCACCTCCGTCAGACAGCCAACACTTTTGTATACTGGCACATATATATAGACAGAGAAAAAAGGGCTTGAGCCTACAATGGAAATCTCGTTGTAATAGGCACTGAGGTAATCTTTGCTACCTGTCCGTGTGTTTAGTCACTAATCAGCATCATATTCACTCTCCAGATTACGGCTTTTCCTGAAAATGACTGGCTTTGACCCCAGGCAACCAATTACGGATCCATCCGTATTTTCCCCCAGGGGAATGTACGTGGACAACCGCAGTGGCAATAGGGGTGCTCAAGGCGACGACGATGACGACGTCAAAGCCTTCGTTTTCGATGCTTCCGATATGAAAGCACTGAACCGATTCCTCGGCACAGGAAGAAAACTACAAACCACTCGGTCAGAGTATCTCAGGTGGTTAGGAATCACGGACACGCCAGGTGAAATCAGTGCAGCCCTCGGAAAAGAACTGGAATCTCTTCTTAAAACGTATACTTCGGTGTGTATTCGATTTCCATTCTGTTGCCTACACTATCTGGCTTGTGTTTTTCAATTCCTCGCAAACTCCGAACTTGAAACTAACAAAAAAACCAGATCAAAAGTGACTGTACGCAGTTCAAGGATGTAACATGGAACAGAATTGTCGATATTGCCGGGGACATCAAGTCCTACGCCACCATGTCAGGCGGAAAAGAAAGCACCTCGTACTACGTGCTCATGCTCAAGTTTATTGGGGACTACCACGAAGAGAACAAGAAACCCAACCCAGACAAGGCAAAACTCGCAGAATTGAAGGAAAGCATCGAGTTCACCGTCGACGCTGAGCTTAAAAAGCTAGGCGAACTGCAAGCTGGTGCGCAGGAAGCTCTTACAGGCCTTGGAGCTTTCGAAAGAGTGTGCGAGCAGCATAGCCTCGCTGTAGAAACGAATGCAAACTCTCTTGAAGCACAGTTGAAGAAGGAGGGCAACGACATTGAGACTATGAAGAAGAAAATCGAGGAGGCACGCGCAGAAATTGATGACTTGCAGGGACAAATTGATGGAAGTAAGATATAAAACACCCCTAAATATCTCCTGGATTGCGTTGCTAACCGGGCATTGCGCCGTTGAAGAGAACCAAGCAATCAATGATGCTCCAAAGTACATGTGGGTGTAAGTAGACAAACTAGCTCAACGTACGATGAGAAGGGCCGATTCGCTAACCCAGCATCACAAGCTGGCCAATCGGCACTGCCATCGGCACCGGTATTGTCGTGGAAGCCAAAAAGGCCATCAAGAGATTGAAAGAGGCCATGGAAAAGGTCAAGAAGGTCCTGGACGACTACGAGTCCAAGATGAAGACTGCATCTCGTCTGGAGACAAATCTCAAGTTCATAAGTGTGAGTATCGCACTTGCCAAGCGTCTGCTTACTTCCGGGTCTAATACCTTGCAGAAACAAGTCAAGGACCTCGGTACTGAGATCGGACCTGCCATCAAGACCTTGCAAAAGCTCCAGGGAGCTTGGAAGAGCATGGAGACGGATCTCTCAGCCATCAAGGACCTGATCGAGTTTGATACGGACAACATTCCGCCCATGTTGATCACAAAGCCGCAGTTGGAGGGCATTGTTGACGAATGGAACGAGCTGAAGAATTACGGTACGTCAAGAGCCAAAAAGATGAGAGCGTGCCTTGATGAGATGTGACGCTAATAACTGTGTGTTTCCCAGCGAGCAACTACATTGAGAATGCGTATATTAGCGACGAACCAAAGGCAGTGAGTATTGCAGAGTATATTTCTGAACTGGAGGATGCAATCATGAGAATTGAGGCTATGGAGAAGGGTCAATAATGGAATGACTTGGTGTATGGAGGGTGTTTACTCTCATTCACTTGGCTGCTACTGAGCTTTAGTTGATATGACTTCATCTTACGAGAGCCCGAGATTCTTCAATATTCACTCATTGATTACTGATTTTCCTTTGACATCGATGTGATTTCTAGCTTTACATTTGGCGAATGCACAATGGAATGTGATGAACTTCTTATTACGGCGGAATAGAATGGATCGCTCCCCTTAGCGATGCCAAATATTGACATGTGACAGGCCATGTTGAGTTTCCCAGCCAAATCTCTTCAAGAAATCTATTGAAAGAGCCTGACTGTACTATGAAAAACACCGTTCAGATACACTCGGATATACTTGCCAACAAAATATCTTATTCCCATTCTGCCATGAGTGTGTTGGTTTCGATTTCCTTGTCAAAGTTAACCAGGTGAGTTGAATGACACCACGGCTTAAGGGTCTCTTCCATGCGAATAATATCCGAAAAGAATGCGCACCATTTCAATCGAGGGTAAGCCTCATTAATCTCAGCGACGGTCGATCGATGAATCAAAGTCTTGAAGCCCGCGACATGCGGATGAAAGCCCGTATTATCGAAAGTTGTGGCAAGCTGAATAAGCTGGCCCATGTACGTAATCTCTCCATCAACCCCCATATCCTCGTGTCGGATGATGGCTTCTGCAGCAGCTTCAGCCTGATCGGTGGTGGCTCCGAAATCCTTGAGCGCCTGTAGAGCTTTGATACCACCGTAGATATCGAAAGACATCCGCGTAGCAGTCAAGAATTCCTCGGCGGTTCCGAGGTCGTGCAGCAGACAGGTCAGAGCCCAGGTCACGGGGTTAAGCTCAGACGCCAGTTTCGGAAAATGCTGCTTCGTTATAGCCATGCCTTGGAGAGGCGTTAGTATACGACGATTGTGCTCGCCTAGATCCACCGATTGCATACCGTAGAAATACACTCTCATAGAGTGGTTGAAGGTTTCTGGGTGGAGAACCTTCTTGGCATATTCCATGGTCTTTTCGACGACGACGTCATCAAATGGGAATGTCAGGTCGTCCATCGGCAGAGCCACTGTTTCGACACAGGCGAGGCGGTTACCGAATATAAGCCCGGCATTTGCGGGCATATTGGTCCAGCCATTGGCCGCAATCTCGCTCTGACACATGTTGAAGGAAATAGTAATCCTGGGAGACCAAAAAAATAATCCAGAGCGTTTGAATCCGAAGTGATCAAAAAAAGGCAAATATCGAAGCGGGTTACGCTACCCTTTTATAGACGAGGTGAGCGCTCCCTCAGAGCATGGGAAACCACCTGGGTATGACACGAATAGCGAATGGAGGTTGACCAGACCCAATTACCGAATTAGGAAGTAATTTTACGTGGGGCAATAGCGATCTTTGCCTCACATTGAGGAGGGTTCGGCTTATAAATTATGCAATGTGGGTGAAGTAGTAGGTGTCTCAAAGTAGTAGTAGTACTTGCTTGCGCAATAAAGTCCAAGCCAGTAGTAAATTCACAATGAGACTTCTGGTAGTATCAGGAAACCGCGGCATCCGGCGATCCCTCGGTCATGTTCACCACAGCGATTAATAAGACTAGCATGGGCCCGAATAAGAGTGTTTCACCGGCTACCGAGTTTCACTATTGAGCCATGAAGAAAACATACATTACAATGGCGGCCCCTGGCCGAATATTCCGGTTATCCTGCTGCTATGTGTGCCCTTTTGGCTCTTGGACAGAGAGCCGACTAAGATAGTAGACGGACCGGATGTAATTGTAATAAGTCACGAATAAAAGCTATTATCAGTGAAACATCATAGCTATTTTTTTTTTGACTGGCAGGAATAATTCTGATGGTAGAAGAACAACATGAAGAATAAATTCGGGAGGAAATTGTAGTTGATCATACGTCCGCCCATAGTTCGAAGCGACGACTACATTACGAAGACGTCATTATTTTCTGCGTCCAGCATGCAATCGCATTAGTGCTCCTTGAAAACCCTTTCTAGCCTAATACTAAATCGCAACAAAATGTGGTATATGGTGGAATGATTCACTGTAAAGTGTGTGTTGTCTTCAGGTAGTATAAGCTACGAACATTTAATAATCCTCGTGGTTGGATTTTCGAATGGTAAACAGATGTGATGTATTGTAAACAGGAATGGGAAAAGGTAAAGAATCTTGACATAACTCATGGCCCAATAGGTAAAAACCGGCTAAAGAGGAAATACATCCAAAAACACCGGCCACTCTCATGAGGCTCGTGCTCGTGCTCACATTGCCATCCGCTCTGGCAAAACACGATACGCAGTTGAAAATATACGATAATTCTAGTGCGCCGTAAATAATAATATTAGGAATATTTCTGTGTCGAAGTTAGCAGTGGTCCGTCTGTTGATCTCTGACTGTGCCGTACGTTGACCAAGAGGCAACAAAAAAGAGCAGATTGAGTATGCACCAGACTACATAAAATTTACTGCGTTAGTTAATATTCCGGTCTTTTCTATCTGACAACTAACCTAGTTGGTAAATGCCAAAAGCATTATAATACTCGGATGTCTGGCCCTGATATGATTCGATAATACCCATTGCAGGCATTACCAGCACTCCATATCCACCGTAATACAACCCTATTCAACGAGATGGAATGAGTATTTGTAATACTTCAGAATACAAGGGGTATGCATTACCAAAAGCAGACAACACTGTGTATCCAAACGTGTTGCCTCTTGCCATTTCCCACTGGGCGGAGATTAAAAGCCCAATTCCCGCAAGAAAACAGAGGTTTCCTATAAAGACAGATTGGTTTGACACTCCCCGGAAGCCCGTAGCAGACAATGATAGGGCGAGTAAGGTGGTTGCGAACCCGCCAAAGCCCAATGCATTCTGGAGCAAATACACATTAGTAGTCTGTCACCAGCTTGCGTAGAAGAGTGACTCATACAGGATTTGCAAGGCGCCTGTATCCCGTAGCGGATGGACCAGACGCCTTGATATTGGTTTCTTCCGATGTTTTCATTATGGACAGTTGTGCGTTCACTCTCCGTTGAACAGGCGGCATTGTGCTTATATACTCCACGAGAGGGCCAGAAAAGCGTGGATAGCGAACAAGATCTGAGCCACCATGACATGGTGATCATCCTCAAATCCACTCCCAATCTTTTCCTATGCGGGTATAGCCTGCTGGTGGCCGGGTTATTTGAATGTCCGTGAAGGCTTGGATTCAGCAGTGCATGAAAAGGATTCCCTGGCAGACTTTAAACCAGACCACTAATGGGCTACCCATCGAGTGGACTGCCCCATAAATGGCACGTCCAAGAAGTCTCATATTCTGCGAGTTCCGTCCAATGCGGTATTGCCAGCGCGGACATTGAACATATATGCAGGGGTCTAGCGATGACATGTACATACTGTAGACAAGTCTGGCCATCATGATTCATGAACCGACTTGGCCGACACTTGTTGCAGTCGGTCCGGCTTGTCTTGCTTCTTTCCGCTCATATTTTCGCCAGTAATATGATGTCGGTCAACCAGTTGACTAACTAACCGACTTCCATGGTATTTGAAATTTCAATGTTGGTAAGCAGTCAATAACTGATAATGCTTCTGGAGAGTTTCTAGCCAATAATCAACCAGGCCCCACTCCCAATTTTTACCTATACAGGTATAGCTTGCCAAGACCATTGCGGAGGTAACCCTAGCCTGATTCTGTTGGAATGCAACATCGAATGTTCACTCTCGCCCAGGTCTCGTCACATCGCACATCGTAGGTAACCCCGTACAAGTCTCGTTCCGAAACGTCCGATGGATTCACCTAAGAGTATTGCCTTTATTGCGACGGAGTCGCCGAGGTAATTCCATTGGTCCCAAATCTCATTGGATATCCACCTCATCACCACGGTCTGCAAGACAGCTCAGTTACGTCTTCCTTTCATACGCAGCATTTTGTCGGCAAGCGACGTTTCACCAAATTAAGCACACCATGGATACGTCTTGCTATACGTGTCGCCGTCGGCGCGTGGCATGTCAAATGGCTCAGCCACCATGCAGGAAATGCACCCAGGCCGGGCTACAGTGTACAAAAACAAGACCATTTCGATGGGTCCAAGGTGCTGCGTTTAGGACAACAGCGAGAAGGGGCACTCCTGCAAAGAAATTGCCAACACATGATGTGGTGGCTGTCGGCAATCATCAGAAGTCTCGGCTGGCGGCCAGGGGGGTTATGGGTATGGTCCTCCATGTTGAAGTTGAACAGGCTTTTTGCATATACGAGCACTGCATCTCTAACAACTACATACAAATGCCACAGATGATCAGTTTCAACACTCGCCCATGGCTCGTTTAGATGAGCCATCGTTAACACGCTTTAACAGTACCACCCGGTACTATATAGACTACTGTAAGTACATACTTTCCAACGTCTTGCCTGAACAACGAGCAACCCAGTTTTTAATGTATACTACCCTAGATAGTCGGTGCGTTTGCAAGCTCTTTGTTATGTATGACAGCGTCGAGAATCCTTTACGAAAGGTGACCGGAGCCGCCCTTCATAACCCACTTTTGCTCTCTTCAATTATTGCCCTCTCGGCACGTCACTTAGCAAATGCTAGGCTGCCTTTTCTCCAGCCTGGGGAGGCATCACCTTCCAGCGCTTGGTGTAGCACTGACCGCACTGCTCTCTTGTTCAAGCACAAGACCTTGAAGGGCCTTTCAGATGCTGTGCAGGATCCAAAGTTGCGCATGATGGATACTACAGTTGCCAGCGCCCTACTGCTAGTGTTTCTAAATCTGCTGGAATCCGGACGGGATGACTGGAATACGCACTTGGAGGGCATGAAAAGCATCATGTCGCAGATCGAGGTCCCCCTAGAGCGAAAAGGGACATCATCTCAAGGCCTAGGCCTTTGCGTGACGGGTCTACGGGATTTCGTCGTCAGGCAAATTTATGTGTGCGTGCCCCAAGCGTGCTTACATCTGGAATATCGCTATTGCTAACACCAGCTCTAGCATTGAGGTCCTCGGCGCAACGTACACGAACCCCAAGATGCTACTGAGCCCGTCTACGAGTCCTGCCACAGTGACCAAATTGCTCCAAGAAAAGCTAGAGCATTCGTATCTGGGATGTCCTGGGTATATATTACACGCTCTCGGAGTGTTTTCTTCATGTCGGGACTTTCTCGTTTTGCCAGGACTAAAGAGTGAAAAAGACCTTGAAGTAAACATTGAACGTGCATGTTCTGTGCTTACCTGTACGGAAAAGTTTGACAGCCGTGCCTGGGCGGCCGCGTTGCCACAAATGCCTTCCGCTCCAGTGCATGTAGACGAACTCGATATATTAGCCGAGGTTTACAAGATCGGAGCCCAGATATTTGGCAGGCGCGTTATCGACGCACTTGTTGGCGAGACAACGGCTCAGAATAAGGACCTCCTCGTGCATCGGCTTGTCGGTCTTATACGTGAAATAAGACGCAATGACAACTTGTTCAAATGCATCCTCTGGCCAATGGTTATCGCAAGTCTAGAGTGTTGCCAAATAGAGCAGAAAGAGTTTCTGACAGATTGTCTTCAGAGGTTCTGGCTGGAAACAAGATGCTTAAATGTAATGAATGCCGAAGCAATACTTCGTAAACGGTGGCAGCAGGAGGAGGGGGAAGGGTCAGCGCCGTCACAATGGATATTCAAGATTGGTCGACTTGGGGGTGATTGGCTCCTCATATAGAGTATTCATGATTTACGAGCGCAACATGTGAGTTCTTGTACGTGTTCTGCGAATAATATAAATCAAATACGGCGCCATGTCTTACAATACGGCAGTAGTGTCACAAGTTGGGCTACGACAATGCTTTCATATCTTTTTGTAACTTATCGGACAAGAGTTTAGCGTAAATGTCTACTGGGGTTTACAGGAGGAGTTGTACGGAATCTAATTCTTATGAACAGAGGCCTGTTTGTCACAGTCTACGGGGTCCAAATCATGCATTTGCGGATTCAAACAGCATCACAGGTTCCTCCCCTACCTAATTCCACATACGACTTATATATTTCATGTGACGAAATACAAACAGGCTGCAGATAACCTAGGCAACAAGTACACTAAAGGTTACCTTGCCGGTTATGCATGGAACTTGATGACGTGAGCTATACCATCTAACCACGATGTCCTCTCAAGCGAGCTTTGCCGCCGACCGCCGGCTTCTGTCCAGGTATACTCTCCTGATATGCATTATCGTGAGTGTGATTCTTGCATTTGCGCCGGTAATACCGAATAGGGCCAAATATGCCAGTAACTTACTTCCAACTCACGTCTGGTGCTTCGCGCCGCGGCCTCTCAACAACGCTCAGAAGAACGAAGTGGGTAACAGCACTGGTGTTCTGCTACGACGTTCAACACTTTACGCTACGTACATAGATACTCCTCTACGAACTACGAAGGTCGGGTTATTTACTCTACCAGATTCTAGAATCCATCCGTATAAAGTCTGGTCTAGTTTTACTACGTCATGCCACGCCCCAAATCAAGTGGTGCATGGCACGAATAAGGATCCATGAACAGCCAAGAAATGAACCTATATCTATAGACCAGCTGCCTCATGCAATATACAGCTGGCCTGTCTATTGGGTGCGTTGTGTGATTTTCTACAGGCATGAGAGAACGAGTCGGATCATTTTGCTATACTCCACCACAAGGGCGTATACCATGGGTTCATGGTGATAGCATAATCATATCGGTGAGAACCCCTGCAATGGACTAGACATTGCCATTATGCTGTAACAAGATCTTGACAGCGGTATCACTATTTATCTATAAATAGCCGAGCCATACTCACAATGGTGTCGACTTGTCCGGATATCCTCGCTCACTTAGCTTGTTAACCGAACCTCGATATCACTCTTTATTTACCATCAGTTTCACCGTCAGTTTTTACCGTTATCTAAAAATAAAGTCCGCTATTATACTCACCAGCTTCGCCGCTCTGGCCGGTGCCTTGCCCCAAGGCGAACCAGCCGTTAGGGCCAACAAACCGAATCCGACCGCCGTCAAGGTCAACTATAAAAAGCTCCCCTTTATCAAAAGTGGTGCAATTAATGACGTTTATTGTGAAATGGGTCCCGGGGGTGCCTGGTTCAAGCACACTGACAATAACTGTGGCACTGAAATATTTTGCCAGGGCTTTGATGATCAGAAAGCGATGCGAAATCATCTGCAGGCCGATCCCGCGTTTAAGAATGCCAAGGACTGCTTCGATGCCCACGAGCCTCGCTCGTCCTAAAAACAGAGGAGCAAAGGCAATTCGACAAGCGAAAGCACATCTGCCACATTATTTGCTCGCTAGCACTTTACATTCTCGACTTGCTGGGATGACGGATCTATATCAAAGTGGAGGAATACCTGCGGTCTGGAATATAGTTTCTTAGTTTGCGGTTAAGCTATTCATATTACAATACTACTTTTTCGTCAGCTGAGTCCAAATTCGTGCACCCAAAGTGAGTTTCATCAAGAATCGTAGTGGTATGAAGGGTCGGGATTGTTCCACTATCAGCTGTCTTGACCGGTTCTGTCTCATTAGGTGCCTGGCGCCATTTTGGCGCCATTACCTCGGGCACATGTCGAGGAGATCTCCAAGAGTCACCATGGCTGGGGTTGTGTACTTTCCGCCATCAATTCACGTCACTAACTATTAGTCGTCTGTAGCTCTTGCATATTGGCATTGGATGCCTTAATTGGCCAGAGCCACAGTGAGATTGTCACACGGAAATGGTCTGTTACACAAGGGCTACGATCACGGGACCTAGGGCAAAGTCCCTCACCGACTTCTTGTATGTCAAGACGTCTCCGGTCAGCGAGACCTCCATGTTATTAGTTTAATTATGTAATTGCCCGAAGAATATTAGGCTAAAATATCTTAATAATTAAGCAATTTATACAACCACACAAAGCAATATTGTGGTAAAGGGGTCTGGAGACCGACGAGTAGAGCAGGCTACGGTGAAGGTGACGAGGGAACTCAATGGTCATCCCTGGCAGAAATTTAGTTAAACGACGCACTGAGAACTCTATAATGGCGGTAAAATCGGTTACAGGGAGTCCTTGTTACTGTCTGAAGCCTCATGAGGCAACCACTGAGGGGCGGCATATCTCTATTTTAAGTTAAAGCTGAATGTATTAAGAAGTAACTCTTTCCGACCATGACCTCTAGGCTATCCTAGATGTCACCGAAACTTCTTATCCCAACAGACACTAAATAGTAATGATGACGTAGTTAAAAGACACTGGACTAAGCATAAATGTAAAATACAAATCGTTTTGTTTCCACCTTTCCATGTTTACATAACCTGCCGATTCACACAACACAAGCTGAGAATTCCGTCCCCACATACCGAAAATTCATTGTAATAATTCATCTAGAACTTGTCCTCAGAGCTACTTTCGGTCTAGCGTGCATTGTGAGGGGGTCCCATGCAGCTATTCTCCGAGTCATTTGCTCGTGGATCCGCTCCGAATCGTCTCACTCTCTAGCCGACGATAGAACACTCATCGAAGAGCGGAGCACATTTTTTTCCCCTTCTCCCATCAACCATATTGTACCTTACGAAGAGAACGCTAAAATGGGTTCTGTAAAGGGCCCTCTTGATTCGGCACCAGTAGGCAAAATCGTCTCCTCCAATCAGGATCCCAAAGCCGAGTTCTCCAACGATGCAACTGCGACAACCACGGTTCCAACTACAAAACCCAATCAAAATGAGGTCTCCAGAAAATTGTCTGCCAATGTTTCAGTCATCATCTTTCCAGGAGCATGGCATCCTGCCTCCTGCATGAGCAGCTTCGTCTCAAGCCTGCGCTCCATCGGACTCCCCACCGAGGCCTACACCCTTCGGAGTGTTGGGGACGCTTCGGCAGGAGTTGCGGCCGATGTGGACTATATGCGATCCATCATGAATCCTCTGATTGATGCCGGCAACGACGTGGTTGTTGTTTCTCACTCGTATGCTGGGTTCCCTACAACTTCAGCCATCTCCGGCATGGACAAGCGTGGCCGTGAGGCCCGCGGCGAGAAGGGCGGCGTCTTGGGCGTCATATACCTTGCGTCGTTTGTTCCGCAAGACGACGACACTCTGCATGGCGTGCTGGGTAACCAATGGCCTCCTTGGATCAAGGAAGATGTAGGTGTCTGCTGTTCTTCCACGCTGCCAAGCATTTGTGTCATCTGGACCTGACTCCAGTTACAGGAAACCGAACAATTCATTATTTGCTCCAACGAGGGCCACATCTTTTACAATGATTGCACGAGTGAGCAAGGAGAAGCCGTAACTGAGTCCCTGAAGCCGCATTCTCTCAAGGCGAGTAAGGGCAAGGATGCTATCCCTAACAATATCGGCTGGCGCGAGTCGGGGTACGATGGCCGCCGTGGGTACATCCGCTTGACTGAGGACAACGCTATTCCACTGTCGTATCAGGACTACTTGATTAGCCGGTCTGGGGTGAACTGGTCTGTCAAGACACTGAATGCGTCTCATAGTCCATTTTTGTCCATGCCTGATGCTACAGCCGAGCTTGTGCACGAGCTTGCGCAGGAGTTTCTCGCTGCTTGATTGCCGCTTATAATCGAAGAATGTAAGGAGAAAATTCTGTTACTGTAATACTGCTGTCTGCAGGTATCGCGTCGACTAGCGATGGCAGCCTCGATGTAATAGTCATTATGGGTAGCTCTCTAATAGGTTTTTTTCGTCCCACTGGGGAGCTAGCTAGCTAGACTGTACAGTAACCTAGTATGGCTTTTTTCTATAAGAGATTTACGTGGTAGCGGTACCAGTTATATAGCATCATAGTGCTGTCTAGTTAGACAAAAGATCAAAATAGTTACTAGAGTATTATGAAGCTTCTCCTTCTAATACATGTCAAAACATGCCAGGAGCGACGAAAATATGAAATACAGCTCATTCAAGATCAATCCACTCAAGATAGCCAATGCCGGTTACATCCTTGTTGCGCCACGTGCCGGTAAATTGATACGAAGCAACGTATCCTTGGCCATGACCATAACGTAGCGGAGAGTCAACACTGGCAACGAACTTAATAATCTCTTGGTCCTCGTCACGCACAATCCATTGCATCCGCTCCGGGGTTCGCATCGAGCGGCCTCGAGGATCCGTGACGTGCTGTTTGCGGTACGACAGAACCTCAAACGCGACGTCTTGGTAGACGAGAGCCTCGCCGTCGAGATTGCGAACATATGCCAACTTGCACAACGTCATGCCATCCGCACGCACGTCGGTTAGCAGCAGCTGAGTGCGTTTGTCCAGGTGAAGAATTTGGTAGGTGAAAAAGTGCACCGGTATCTTGAGTTGGGGAGGGAGGGGATGCCGACTAAGTGCCTGGGGAGTCATGCTGCGGGCATACTCAACAGTACACATTCCGGCAATCTCAGTAGTGCCACGATCATCCGTAATAGAACCAGTATACGTAGCAAGCAGACTTAGGTGATCGTAAACAGGGCTTCGGACAAACCAGGAAACTTGCTTGGTGGCCGAGATTTGGAGTTTGACTTGCATATGGCGATACCGGCCGGCCACCGTAAAGTTGGGGTAGTTGGAAGTGATGACAAGATCGTTTCCCCAGGCAAGGCGGGAACCATCTGCGGCAAAATCGCAACTACTCGCTGCGTCATAGGCCTCGTAGTGGTGTGTGTCGCCATATGCGGTTGATGACAGCACAGTGGCCGTATTTCGTGCGTCGGGGGCAGAGAGGTAGTCGTTGTCAAAACACAAGACGCCTGGCGCGCCGATGAACGTCATGGTATTTAGATAGCGATACGGCTCGGGAAGGTCGGTAATGAACACGCCATAGTGTGTCCAACCCCACCACTTGGAGTTGTCATGTGGCAGTATGATGTCGGGCACAGTGAAGGGTTGACTTGATTCTTCGATCCGCGAATCTAGGAGCGGTGCGGCGTAGGCACACAGGAGTTTCGTGATGCCGCGTACTAGCACATTTGTTTGTGGTGTTGACGCCATGTTGACTGCTGTCTGTAGCTCCAAGAGAGACTCGGCAGCAGTGTGATACGCGAATAAAATTGCAAAGGTGTTTGCATAGGTGTGAAGATTTGCGATGGCCTTGCTACGCTGTGCAAAGAGCCAACATTGAATACAGCATGATTAACAGTTGGCTAGTTTGAGGGTAGTTCACGTTCCACAATGAGCGCTGCCGAGGTTCTCCGGCATAATCTGGATCCTACTTGACCGGAGATAACTCGCATTTAATAACAGCTTCAGCGATCGACATGAACACAGCGTCGGGTGGAACGCAGCGGGCCGGGATAATTGGGCCATTCCGCGCAGCCTAGATGACGTGCTGTAGATGATTTATTTACTATAGACTACCTATGCATTGCCTCGAGGCTCCTACATTGCTTGATGTTTTGAGAGCTACATAGTATCTCCCGTTGCAAGTAAAATTAAAACCACCTGGGACAACTTGCAAGGCGAATTAGTAGCTGTCTGCTCTGCTACCAATATTGAGTAGCCAAAGGATGTTGCTCCGGATCTCCGGTCGCGCACGGCGTTCTAGCTATATGACGACATGTCATATCCAAGTTGGCGTCCTAATTCGGCTAGTCTACCGACCACAAGGTCAAGCAAACCTAACCGCCCGCAATGACCAGCTTTATACGGGAAAATGGCTTTTTCTCTTGTGCTAGTAAGTTGCAGTTCAACAAAGGCGCATAATATGGTGGAGCCCATGACTTATACAGCCAGGAAGCTTCATCTTTCACAGGTTGGAAGAAGCAGAGCATAAGTAAGCAGCTCATTCTCATGGTAGCCACAAACAAGGGCGACGGTTCCCCGTCTAGCATCTTTTGAAGAGTGCCAAGATTGCTGATTATAATGCAAAATGTCTCCATAGCTGCAGTATGAGGAGCGCCCCTTGGAAAAGACACCACAATCAGTCGCTAAACGCATTCTAAACTAAATGATGAGTTGACGCAATATTTACGATGCTAAAGAAAGACGATTTTGAGATGACATATCGAAGAAGAACTATGCCGCGCGAGCATACAAGGCGTTCGACAGGAGACGTCTTTCGGGGCCGCGTTCCTGTGCGTATGCGTGGCATTCCTGTGACTGTAGAACTGAGTAGGAAGGATTTGAAAAGATTACTATTCCCAGTATTCAATGTGGAATAAGGCTGGGAGTCTCGCAGATCCATCAAGGTTGCTGAAAGCAATATTTTCCTCAATTACGACGGAGCCTGCGAGCCGAAGTCGAATATCTTTACTCATATACCCTACCCTTCTTTGTGACAAAGCCCTGTCGCAACATCAGTGGCGGCTGGGCCATACCATCAATGTCCCTCATACTACGGCTGCGGCTACCACAGATTAATCTTCAGAAGGTATTTTCTCATTCTCTCTTAGTCACACCCACTGGCTACGGATTCAGGCAAGCGCCTCAAGGCTCATAGAATACCCTAAATAGAGATAAAAAAGTCTCCATGGCCGATGTGAGTCGTGTAGATGACCTAGTCCTCATAAAGGACGCCAATCGATGTCCCAGGAACACCGGAGACGCCGCAGATTTGGTTGATGACGGGTAGAGCGTACCCGGGACGATTGATGATATCTTGTGGCTTCATAGCGCCGTCTTTGGGGGTACTGCTTGGCATCAGCCGCGATTTTTGTAATTGATAATCAGGGCACGAGCAGTTTTAGGATACAGGATGAGGCCATATCGACCTACAACGTTTTGCGGAGGCTTCAAGTCAACGAACGTCAAAATATAGCCATTTAATACCTATAGTGCCCATCCTACACATATTGTAATGCAGGTAGGTACTTTACATATACTCGATAAACATGCCGTCCGGGAGACCCGAGCCTTCCTGATTAAAATCCTGCTCAATAGACACCTCGTCTTCGGTCCCAACAGCCACAATCTCCCATTGGAGAAGGTCCCCAGCCCTGACCTGGAATTGTCGGATAGACGACGGCATATCACTCACAAAGTCGAACCTCTTGCTGTTGGGGTTGAAGCTCAGACGAGCAAGCTGCATATTGCGCATATTGCCCGACGGGGTCTTGTTAATATCAATAATATTAGTGCTGAAGATATCGACCGTCTTGCCACCACCGACCCTGTCGCCATTGCCTAGGTGGCCGGCGAAGATGCTCGCCGTACAGGTTTTGTTATCTGCCTGTGGAGGTACCCTGAACGACAAGAGGGTAGATGTTTCGCGCTGACTTTGGCGGACAGTGTCGACGCGCCTCGAGGGAGTGTTTCCGTTGTCATTGATGCTGTGAACCGCCATTGCATTGGGCAGGATGTAATGACTAGAAACGTCGCCGCTAGTTCTAGGGTCCATTTCGACAGTTTGACTCAGGTAAGTCGTTTGGGTAGTATCCAATTGAAAAGATTTGTCTTCAACTGTCAAAAGGCGAATTCAAGTTGGAGAGATAAGAGCAATGAGTTATAGTGGTGATGGTGCCGATAATTGTAGCAATGCGCACTTGAAGCCTAGGCTATAAACCTCAATACCTCTAGTCGCAGAGGCAAGTCACGCGCATGACGTCCTTGGCTCATGTTGCGGCTAAGTTCTGGGCTTTCGATGCAAGCAAGTGCTGAGCTTTCGTTGACTACATTGGAGTAGTAGTGTACACGTCGTCTCCTCAAATCGGGGCAAAGAATAACGAACCAACACGGTTTATCCTTTTTTTCTCAGCCGTTGAGTATTTTACTTTCTCTGTCTCACGCTTTTTCAAAGGGACAGCCACATAATGTGACTCGCCGGGCGTGACGTACATTACAAAAGCCAGCATTCCTTGTCCTTTTCAGCTGCTTACATGTCCTATTTCTTGATACGCCTCTCGATATCCTGCCTTGTTCTTAACTGGGGAGCTATGTGGCAAATTGAGGCACGCGCGGCAAGAGTAACATTCCACTTCCGAGGCTGTCCGCTCTCCCACATTAAAGGGTTTCGCAAGATCGTAAACGACCATATGCTATTTTTCTCACGCGTCTAACCTCGACAAGCCGTGTAAATACTGACGACTAAGGTTCTAGATTTCTGTTTTGGGCCATTGCTTGGCTCCTCGGTGCTAAGCATATGACGTTTGTGGCTCTCTCGGAGGTTGTGTGCTCATAGGTCTGATCGGAGTGTCGGGCTGAAACGCAAAAGTGGCGAACGATATTCCGATTGCAAGTACTAATCCGAGGACCCGAAAGTTAAATAAATTAAAGGAACAAATCTGCATTCCAAACGACAAGATCTAAGTGCTACCGCTACCTGGCTTTATTGACCCCTCACCGCCAGCCCACCACGAGAAAGTAGTGTCGACTTCAATATGTCAGAATTTAGATTGAAAATTTCCCTGTTTCCCTCAATTTCTCGTGCGTACAGACAACGGCGCAAGGCGGAAGCTTTATCCCAGGGCGTTAGTGGCTTGCAAGGTACCTTTATCCCCGCGAGATCTGTGAGCCTCTACATGCTTGGCTATATCAAAGTTACGCAAGATGGGGGCTTTGATCAACAAAGACCTCAGAGCTTAGAGAATTAGGCTGGGAAACACCGTTTATCATGGAAGGATAACTTGTTTACTGACTTGCCGCTTAACCAACTTACGAGCTCTGGGCGCGTGATCGTATTTTTTCAGCTGAATGACCATGTGTCGCAGCACTGCAGAGAATTATATCAAGTCACCGAACATCTCGGTCACCCCCAATAGAGTATACGTGGATCACCTTGGTCCATGTTGGAAATTTCGATTCATAATTGTGGAATGTGTGTGCAGAGTCAAAACAACTTGCTGCAATCGGGCACAAGCCACGACCCTTCCACTTTGCCAGATTCTCTCCCGCCACAATGTATTTAACATGGAAATGTATAGAAATAAATGGGTCAAGAATCCGCGAGTCCAAGGAATTCCCGACCATGTTGGTTCTGGAAAGTGAGTTGTGCGTCTTGGAACGTAGTATTCGGAGAAATGATGTGAGGACTCTGTAAAGAATAATTACTACTGGTAGGTAGATTGAACAATTAAAGATTGTGGTTTCTTCTTTAAAGAAAACGATGACGTTGTGGCCAGCCATATGACAACCGATCGATAAAGTTTAAAACCGGAAAGGGACATCCCTTGTAATTAAGCTTTGAGGGGTATTATTCTACATCGTGTTGTATATACAAACAACACATTCCATGTAAATAACACCGAAAGTCTATTGGAGTGTTGCAATCTCTTATGACAAAGTTTAATGACATGCAGCTGAATGTTAATTTGCACACATCCGCCTACATTTTCCATTCCACAAGAATTTCGATGGAACGCAACAGCGGGCATCTAGAACGCCATAACGGTTCTTTGGAGAAGCCTCATTCATCATCTATGTGCCGAGATCGAAAGGTGGGGCGAAGACTTTTACTCAAAGGCCGTTTGTACAGTGACGCGTCTAACCAACCATCACATTTACTGGTAAGAAACAAATTCAATTGACCGACATCTACAAATTATGCTTTTCGATATACCCGACCTTCCGAAGCCTGGCGAGTCTATAGCATCCATTCAAGGCGTTCCAAGCCAGTATACTTTGTTAGCTAAAAGCAACAAACCCCATGATAAACAGCAGACTGCATTGGGCGCTTGGTCACTGGTCACTACGCAAAGCATCAAGGCTGGTCCTGATCATCGGGGGGAAATGCATGAGTTCATCGCCGAAGTGCTTTATGCTGTCCAATCAGAATGTTTCAACGGATCAGAAGAGAGTTTCATTACAAACAAAGCTGAGCTCACATGTGTCCACAAGATGCATCAATCGATGTGAGCAGAAGCCGCCACGACGCCTGTCTCACAATTGCGCTTTTGTGATTCACTGGGTATACGTAAGATGACAGGAAGAATTTATGACGTGTCAGATGAGTGAAGCCCAGTAGGGAGGCATAAAATCTATATAAGCTGCAGGAATCTCCCGAGTCTGACACCTCCGTTCTCACTCTTACTCTCACCAACAACAGCTTTACTAAAGAGAAATAACTTGAAATCACCAACACTACTATCAATATGAAGTTCGTCACTGTCGCCGTTGCCGCTCTGGCCTCCGTCGCTGCTGCCTGGCCTTATGAGAGAGAGTGCAAGCCAGCTACTTATCGATGCGAGCACTCCCTTCGAGGTTGGGATGTTTGCAGCACCAGCGGCCAGTGGGTGGTAAGTATATTATTTAAATGACATGGCCAATGGAATGTGCTGATTAGTCTTAGTATGCTGGCAGATGCGAACATGGCACCAAGTGCAAGATGAATCATCAGAATGGGAGCCCTTACTGCCTCCCTCCCCGCCACCACCACCTCTACCCCGAAGAAGAGTTCGAGATCTAATCAATGTGATCTCATCTTGAAACTGAGAGATTCCAAGATTTCGCCGGGCTGCCATGGAGTCAAGCTTGTACACTCGTTTAGGAATACATTAGGCAGCTCATCTTGGACTACATATGTAGCTTTAGTATAGTTTAGTGCCTTGTAGGCATCTTGAAATATACCATTGACTATTTGTTGGGACTAAACTAGTCGTGTTAATATAACGCTGTTATCCTTCTTTTATTGTACTATTTTACGTCTATCACCTACAAAAAGAATACCTCCAGTTGTGAAGGGCCGATTCTTTATGGCTTTACGTTGCAAGGATACTTATTCAGCTCTTTTGGTGCGATTGAGGTCCCCCTTTGTCTGGATCAGCTCTGTAGCGGTCGATGTAGCGGCATAATGCAATCTCTTCCTCCCGGCTTAGCTTGGTGCTTTCGGCTGCAAGGCCCTTTTTAGGCTGAACGCCCGATAGTCGTCTTTGCAGCCGGGTTCGCGATGTGTTGAAATGGCGCGCCACAGCGGCTAATTTAGCAATTGGAAATTTGTCAATATATTGGAGTGCTTCTTTCGGGGTTTAACTTTGCTTTCAGCAATTCAACATCAACTACCATCGTCTACAGCACCAGCGATCGCCAGCGAGATCAGAAGCGAGCGACGGCGAGCTCAAAGTGGCTTCTACGCCGCAATAATGGATGATAATTCACAGGAGATGAAGCGAAAGAGGTGATGGTATTGTTAGATCATGTCTATAACTGCGCTGAAGGCGCCGATTATATTTAATAGAATTATGTGGGAAGGAAAAAGAAAAAGAAAGGCCGGTTGTCCAAGCTTGCTGATCCTGCTACTGCCAAGAATGAGTCAATGTGTGGCGCAAATGAGTGTCGAAATAAGTCAATGTCCCGATCATCTCGCTGCAAAAATACCTCCCTACACGTCTCCCAGAAACGGGATATCGGTCCAATTGCCATGAGAAACATGGATGCCAACCTTGGTGGCGACCATGATGCCAGCTACAGCATACGATGCGTACTTTGCAATTTTGACAAGGAGCTCCAACTCCGGATCCGTCCCTAGAATATCCTATTAGCCAGGGGAAACAAAAACAAGAGCATGGTCAAAATAGCAACCTTTTATCACCCTCTCGAGCGCTCCGCTCCAGGCGCCGAGAAGAATGAAGACGTAACTCGCCATGTCGAGCGCGCTGTCGCCATCATTCTTCCCGGGCCAATCCGGAGTTATGATCTCCAAGACGCTCACCGCGACGGAAAGAGCAAAGATGACGGCCTGCAGAATGGCGTCGAGGACGGCACGCACTTTATTCACCACCAGCTTTGTGAGCGCCGTGATGAAGTGCAGCACGATATTGGTCGTCGAGTTGAACACGGCCACGACCCAACTGATGAGCCGCAGCGTATACCCGGGCTTCTTGTCCCCGAGCGAGACACTGTGCAGCGTGTACATCAAGATGCAGGGGTCGAGGAAGTGGTCGAGCGTCACCTTGCCTTTCGTCTTACATTGTGATACCTCCAGGTCCGCGAGGGCCACCAAGCTGGCCGTCGGCCGAGGCTGACCAACAAAGAGCAGCTGGTCGTGCTGATCAGTCAGCTCGGCTGATACCGGAAGCAAGCTTTCCGGGATGCTGATGAGTATGGCGATCGTGGCCGCCGACACGCCGACATTTGCGGCGAACTTGTTGAACTCGGGACCCGGCACAGCCTTGCCGCTTGCCAGGTTCTTGATAATGGTAGCAAACTTGCCCCTGGGGATTGCCGGCGGCTTCTTGCCCGTCACTATCTTGGCGACAACGGTCGCGGGTATGGCTATGGCCAATGCCAGCACGTCGAGGATGGTCGGGTCATGCCCCGGCCGGATGAACGTCTTGTACAGATACGAGAAGATGGGGACGTTGATGGGCGCCGTGATGATGCCGTTGAACGTCTTGATGATTGATTTGATCAAGTTCAGAAGCATGTCAGTCAGCTTCTCCACGCTGTCGATGCAGCCGATCAAGAAATTTGTCGGCGCCTGGTCGTGAGCCTGTTTTGCGTCCAGAGAGCGTTTTCCTCGGGGTTCGTAATCATCCATCACTTGCTTCCTGCGACTTTTAATCTCGTTTTGGTGTTTTCCCTGTATGCTTTTCAGCTCCTCATCTACTTCGGCAAACAGCTCCCGTTCCGCTGGGCTCAGCATGTCCGAGATGACGGCTCCTGACAAAAAGGTGGACGCATCGCGACCGCCCCCGTGGTTAAACTATTGACATTTTCATCACCTTGTGTCAGCAGCGGCATCCAAAAACGAATCAATAGCTTTTACATAACGCTGTCAGCCTGTGTTTACATCTCTTAGAGCATCTTACCTGGTACGCCGCCCAATTTGCAGCCATGGAATTCCCTGCCGGGTTCTTAGATTGGCCTTTTGAGCCCGACGCGTCGTTCGCCTTGATATCCAGTTTCTTCATCTCCGCCTCACGTGGCCGGCTATCTGATACTTTATGCTTCAGGGATTCAAAGAAGTCCTTTGATTTTGACCTTAAAGAATCCAACAAGACGGGCCCTTCTTCAAGGGCATCCTAGACAATGTTCAAAATGGAGTCTCGGGTGTCCTTGATGTTCCCCCATTCGAAGAGGTATCCCAACCACCGGACGAGCTTTTTCCCAAGCTCCATAATCTTCTTAAAGATGAAGGAGAGGACCTTTCCTATATGTTCCACTGTCTCCATGACCTATTGATAGATCTCTTTTCCTATCTTAACCAAGACGTTCATTCCGTTCACAATGAATAAAATGACCTTGTCAACCTGCTTTTCCAGCCAATGCCACCATCCCTGAGGTTCTGGTGTCAGCAAACTCCAAGACGTCAACTTGTATTGCCCACACATCAGAAAGAACAAATACCACTTACCCACAGCATATATTTAACCCCTTTCTCCGCCCCCTGGAGTATTTCTTAGGCATGAAATCCACGGCTATCCTCCAGCGACACCGTGTAGGGAGTTTCGCCTCGGTCAAAGGAACGTCTCGTCTTCATGGCCTCATGGATGCACCCTGCCACATCTTCGATCTCTCAAGGCGTCAACTTAGTACCATCAAGCAGCTTCCCCTGGCCAGGCCCTAGGTCGATGTCCAGATCCTCCTTGTGCTTAAGCTTGCATAACCTCTGGTTGATCTTGTCTGCCGGGTCCACCGCTAGGGACTTTGCCGACTCGGAGCCAGGCAAAGCATCGGTGACGGTAAACTTAGGTGTCAAAATGTCATCCGTCAGCACGGTGAGAGTAAGAAGGCCGCTTTGGTCAGTCATGACGGCGACGCCCGCGTTCGTGGCGACGACGCCGCGGCCGTTTATAATGACGCTCATTTCCCCCGAAGACCTCAGAATAACGGGATAATTGAGCAGGGGGGCTCCCAATACGCTGATGGGCTTAATCTGGGTCATGTAGGACTGCACTTCAATAACCTTGTCCAAGGACGGCTGAATAATGGGGACTGGTTTCCAAATTTGTGAACTCTTGCCCTGTTCCAGCATGGCAATATTGCCGACATTATTAGCAAAAACAAATGCCTCACATGCCGACGGCGTCTATTTGAAGGGAGCAAAGTAGCCCCCCTGGTGGTCCGGAACGACTTGCACAGCGACCGGGTCGGGCACCCCGAAGTGAGTGTCCGTCATTATGTATCCAATGCCGTTGTTGGTGTTTGAAGCCCACACCGAGGTCCCGGAACCAGACGTTGTGACTTGAAGGTCCTTGACCGAGGAGAAGACACCCGCATCAGTTACTTTGCTGGGGCCAGGATGAGCCAATTCCTTGGCTTTAAACCTAAACAAGCCAGTGCCCCCGGCGAGGAGATCACTGAACCCATCCGGCGTCTGTACGGCGGCCAGAGCCCGAGGATATGGGCGAAAAGATTAGCAAATCTCATTGTGGCTATGCAGCTTTCAGTACATTTCATTTACCGGCTGGGGTTGGATCTATTCCCAATTTTAGCAATTCATTTCTTTTCTATTTTTATCTCATATTTATGCAGCCACAGCTTACCAGATGGTTCTTTGAGAGGCACGTCAATGTCGTGAGGAGCATCAATAGACATGAAGACGATAGCTTTTTTACCTGCATTGTATCGTTTTAGTCTCCTTATTTTCAAAACCGGTACCAAGCCTCTTATTTGGGCCAGGGACATGGCAATCGAGAGAGGCATCGCTTCTTCGACCCTAAACGTACCTTGCACCACGTGGAGAACGGCATGTCCAGGGATCGTTTTGGAACCGTATTTCATGACCACAGGCTGCACTGCTATTACCTTCTCTGCATTTACCGGAAGCCTGACGTTATTCTTCTTCTTCCACGAGTAGCCACTTTCGGACATGGTCACGGAGGCAGATAGCAACTTTGAATCTCGGCATCTCAGTCTTGGTCCATTGGACTCTAGATGTCTTTAGTCTAAGCATGGCAACTTGTGACAACCTAAAGTATCAGGGACTCGACTTACAACTGTTCTTGTCTTGATAATTACATACCATCGGACAACTCTATTCGTAGAAACTCGCATGTCTGAGTGGGTGCTGTGTCAAGTTTTGGCCCGTCGCAGATTGACTCAGGAATTTGACAGCGTACGGGTTCAAATGTCATCATGCAGAGGTTAAACAAACAGTCTTGGTACTTGCCAATCTGCAAGAGCCCCGGCCCCTTACAGCAATAGAATTTGTATGCGGAGTAGGTATATGTACTTTTAGCATCAGCTCAACTACATCATGGTCATGCTACTTGAGTGGAAGTAAATGCTACTGTACAGGAGGCATGTATCTCATGCGGTCACAACTTATCATCACAAACGACGGTTAGACAGTCCCATACCGGACGTTGATGTTCCCATTGCAGCGGCTATCTGCAATGCACTGCAAGCGGCTAGCTACGCCTACCAGACTCGTCTTTCTGTGTGAACACCGGCCACGTCAGACAAATCTCAATCCTAATTCTTCTCATCTTGGGCATAACACTACCGAGACCTAGTTGTTCCCCCCCCTCCAACCAGAAGTCCACACTTCCCTTGAGGCCTTGACGCAATCTCATGACACGAGACGCGAGGTATAAAGCTCCCGTATAGGTCCCGGCTTCATACCACAAGTTGCATGATCAATTCATTCGTTTTCAATTTACTCTGCATTCACTGTCAACTTCGTTCTCAGGACTTGTCCCAACTTCGGCTTCCGTCTTGGCCATGTCCGTGTCAGCCTTTGAAATGTCCCCAGTAGAGCAGAAACGGCTGCAGGCGTCTCTCAAGACAGCCACCGGTACCTTTAATCAGGCCGTGGCAGTCTCCCAGGACGCGCTCAACGACGGTTTGTATTACTTGTTTGACAAGTTCGAGGAACTGAAGAAGATGGAAGTGAATTCAAAGAAATTTGGTTCCATCGACGCCTCGATGAGTTATTCCGAAATCTCTCTGCCTGTAAAGTCCTCCAATTACCGCACAGTCGTCTTTTATTGCATCTTTGAATCCGGACAGCTCATTGTCACGGATGACATGGGGTATGAGTATGGCGGTGCTCATTCGTCGTCCTCCCGTCCTTCCAGGCTCAGCTCAGCTCACCCACTAACATGGCGCTTCATGCAGCCGACCCAAGCCGCCTATTAAAATGGATAAATGGCGTTTTGCCTTTGACGTCGACTTTACTACCCTGCAAGAGCCGCCGCAAACACAAGAACACGAGAAGAGGTGAAGAAGAGGCTGAAACAGCTAGGCGACTATTCCATCAAGAGGTTGTTCCTCGACTTTAAAAGTGAGATTTTGAACCACGCGGTCAATCTATAAATTTGCCTCCAGCTACTGACTATTTTGACCAGCCCACAAGATTAGAAATTTTAAAAAGGATCTAAGCAGCTTCGAGGGCCACGTATGGAACAATGAAGACTTGCAAAGCTTCCTGTCTCTCATGTCCTTCTGGGGCGATCCAGACAAGGGGGTCATGAAGGATCCCCAAAAGTCGACGCTGGGATATTACTTGACGACCCCGAAGCCCGAGACGGTCAACCCGCCGGTCCCGACGTTCCCGCCGACTGCCATGAAGCATCAGCACTACAAGTATATTGCGCCCGGAAAGGACTTTCCTGACGAAGGACTGAAGCTTGGCAAGAACAATATGCTCTTGTATTTGGAAATGACCCAGAACCGGTCTTTCCCAAAAGAGGACATCCTAGAATATTCAGGCAATTTCGTCACTCCGGGCATGAAAGGGACAACCTGCATCTCCCGAGACGTCTTTTGGGATTCGTATCTGATCCGAAACCCACCCCTAAGCAGTCCTCCCGGGTCGCTGCCTCCACTCCTCCGCGAGTTCAATAGGCATACCTACGCCTGGTTGGGAGGCTTTCACATTTGGGCTAAAGGATACGTCGCTGGTGTGTCCTTGAGCTTCGGATTCGGGCACACAGGCTGGGAGCCACCGCGAACCCCCGAGTATTTTGCATGGAAGCGAGTCTCGGCGGATAAATGGGAATGGAAGGTAAGCGACGACAAATCGGACAGTGACAAGGGAACATGGCCCGTCAAGGCCGAGGGAAAAGCGAAAAGTATGTACGGCGTATCCGGTAGTGGTAGCCCGTGAAGATAGCTTTCCAATGGCATCCAAGGTTACACGTACAACGAGTTGTGGTTCGTGCCGGGCCAAAACGTTATACACATCAAGGGAGTCTCGAAGCTCTGGGCAGAATGGAAGAAGAGTGGTTGGGAGACGTTGATAGAAAAGTGAGTTCCCCCCAATGTGCCCCCTTTTCATGGGGATGGGTGATAACGTGTGCAACACGCGCTGCAGGGGAGGCTCCGAAGTCAAATTCAGCGTGGATATCTCGATAGACTCTGTCATCGAGGGAGGCCTGAAGCTGAACATGAACCTTCCGCAAACCCCCAAGAACGTTTTCAAGATCACCCAGGTGATGAGTCCTTGGGGCGCAGCTGCTCAACAAGACAGCAGCGACGACACCGAGCCCGAGCCCGAGAGGTGGGAGACGGCCGAAGGTGACGAAGACAAGATCATCCCGGAAGCAAAGGCAGAGGAAAAGAAGTCCATCAACGTCAAGAACATAATGGAGGTGACCAATATTGCAGCTGGCCAACTCGATTTCCAGTCCATGACGACCAATTTGCAGTCGGCGTTGCTGAACTCGGCACGCTTCGTTATTTCCGGTGGCCGGGACTTTTACCACAAGAACCCCGTGTTCAATAACAACGGAGATCTTCTTGTGGAGGCGAGGTATAAGTCTTGATGGCCCAAATGTGACATTTGAAGGGCTTAGGCTTGGAGTAATAACTTAATTTATCTAATAGTAGTTTTTAGTATAAAGGGTTCTTAGTTTTATTTAAGGCCTTAAAACTTAAAAATATTTTTAAATATAAAAATTTAATAAGAGCCTTTTACCTTAATCTTATAATTATAGCCCTTATATAACAAATACTATTTCCGTGTAATACCAAAGAACTAAACGCCGTGGCCCCTAATCCATCCTTTGCGGCCCAGACGTAGTTAAATAATTGTTATTGTCAATGCTGACATATTTAAAATACCCACAAGATAGTATTGCCGTACAGCGAGTATGGTATGTAAAGCCCCAGTATGTAGTAGTTTATTTCGGCTTCTCCAAGGGCCCAGAAGAAATACGAGCATCTTTCCCAAAGTCCCGACACATCACAGCTAAAGATAATATTTGGGACAAGTCTATACAACGACAAGCGACCCTAGAGAAATGTAGTGTATATAAGTAAATAGAGGGCTTTGAGAATCTTACCTAGTATACAGTTGACTGCCCTCGATAACGTATCAAGACTCAAGAGTAGTAGTTGTGATTACTCTGCATAACCGCCCGAACTAAGATACCCGACGCCTATACGCCAACTCGACAAAACCATGCTCTTGTAGCGTGGCGAAAGTAAAAGAGAGTCGTGCTAGCAGATCTATTAGGAACTGTTAATCAATAACGTGGACGTTTGTCACTAATAGTCTGTTCTAGTCTGTAGCACGACACTACAATTGTAACACGATATTACTATGCCTTCAACGCCATGTTGCTACAACTGCGTGACGAAATCGCAGCAATTATAGACACGACACGCCCAAGTTTTCCGGCCTTATCTAGGAATTTTTCCAACAGGACACAATGATGTGGCGCGTATAGTCAATTCTACAATATGCTGGCTCATTTAGGCTGTCAGTCACACGGCCAGTGCACAACAAAGGCGTCGGACGAAAAACAGTTACACAACACTTAAACACCAAAGAAGGTATCACGAGACCTAGATTAGGGCCTTGGGCCAGAGCGCCGTCAGGCCACCATCGCTCACCGACTTGCACATATAATCTTCGGTCCCTCAAGGCCTCGTGGGAAACGAAGGACCTTTGATACCTTAAAGATTAATATCAATGAAATCGAACTTAACACCGCCCGCCTAAGAGTCCCAAGAAAGTAGTAGAATGTCGTGTGAGATTGGTATTGCACGTCTAAATGGGTTCATTAACCCTAACCCTAACTATGCATTGCAACAACTGAGGTAGGTAACAGAGGCATGTTTTCATAGCAATCTGGCTATAATTTATAGTCATGTCGCGTCGCTTGACTGTTCGATTAAATGTTGAACGATGTTTAGCACTAATGGCCCTATCGTCCACACAACTATGGTCCACACAACTATGTGAGGGAAATGACAAATCCTGGACCTCACATGGTCTGTTTATGCTTGCAATCTATGTTCAAGTCTTATTAAGGAATGAGAATAGGGCGAAGCTAATAGAACAAACTATATAATAACACGCTCCTGAAGAATTACACCTCCACGCCTGCAGCATGGCGTATGCCATTCTATTGCTCCCTTCCTGACTTCCGTTTCCGACTTGACTCTAGTTTCATGAGTCTGCTATCATTCAATCCCTCCACAACAAGCTGTTATTCCAAAGTCCCATCGCTTCTTTTTCCTGAGCTGGCCCTCGTGTTGTAGTTGGATCTCACATAATGTCTCAATTTTCCATCCGATGCTGGCACATTCATCAAACAAGTGTACCGGATCTCCTCCATCCTCACTTGTTCGTCTTCGAGCCCCGTTGTCCAAGTGCGCTGGTTTGCTCATTGTCTGTAGACTGTCTTCTAGTTACTTAGCCTTCCCAGTCCTAGACAAGATCTACATGTCTCATCTGGTCTTATAGCTCTCCCTCCTCGTTGATAGTATATCCCATCGCTTTAAATAGCCGCATGGTCTTCCCCTCCTGTGGGTTGCAAAGCGTAACCCCCCGATCGCTCAGATACTGCCACGTCTCCCTGATAAACTTGCGGGCTTTCTTCTCAGGAACCCTGGTTTCAATCTCCATAAGATGCAGCCCCCCAACCACCACGTCGTCGAATTTGGCCTTGTGGCCATTAATTCGTATCTTCCACTTACCGTCCGGGTAAGGCCCGTACTTAACGAGTGCACTCCAGTTTACATGTTGATACCGTTCCGCGAATTGTACCTGCTCCTCTCGCCAGATGTTCTCCGGTGATACTGGGTCCAGAGGACATCGTTTCTCGCAGTTATACGTGGGATCATTTTTGCCATAGCGATCCCATCCGCATTCCACAAAGTCTGGTACATTGGCGGTCTCTTCATCGAAGCTGACTTTGATGGTAGATAGCGGCCGACCTTTATTTGTTTTTGTTCGAAACATCATGCCCGAGAATATATGGATCGGAGGCTTTTCGTCGTAGTATGCGATCGGGTTCTCTTTGTAAGGGGGTGTTGTTGGGTCGAGGCCGAGCTTGGCGAGCGTCTCTTGGGGAGTTGAGTCGCAAATGGCCCATTGCAGGCTAATCTTGTTTTTTGCCCTCGCAAAGGAGAGTGCAAAGAGGAGAATCGAGTACAGCGCAAATTGACGCATTGGCTTGATCTGGAAAAGACGGCGTTTCGCTTTCGATGGAAGATGCCTGAGTCGAAGAAGGCGGTGTATACGTGGAAATACTGTCCCCCGAGAACTCGCTGTGCGCAGATGATTCAATTCATTCAAGGGTATAGTCGAGGAAAGTTGAGACAAGAATGAAATGAACGAAAGACAACAAAGTAGTTTAGTCAATTGTTATGCGTTCTTTGTGAACACGTCACAATTGTGAAGAAATGACGTGGTGAGCCTTCGAATGCGTCCAGGGTAGGGGCCGTTGGGGACGGAGTTGTGCACGTAATTACTCGATTGTTCCTGATAGTCGCCAGAGCTTAACGCTTCTGTAAATGGCTTGTAAGCTCGCTCAGGGCTTTGTAAAAGAAATCCAGTCCGGAATGTAGTGTCAGTGGTAACTTAGTATAATATTTAGGTTTCGTGAAGACTGTTGAGGTGGAGCGTGGCCGAAAGGGAGGTCACCAAGTTGGGCAGCCGTGTTTTAAATTCACTCCTCATTTTTTCCTCCGTACTCCGTACTCCGTACTTGAGCTGCTGCTACCCGTTGGCAACTACGTGGCTCGTCCACTTAGTCGCTGACGGGTAAGCGTGAAAGACGTTGTCTTACCACAGCTGTGGCTTATGCATCTGACAAAGGCATAAGACTACTCAGGCATCAGGACAACCCAATCAAGGATGGGTTGCCATTCCGCCATGACATCAGCGGCTGCTGGCATGGAGACAGTACTTTAGAAGTTGCAAACCCAACAATCTTCTCCCCATTTTCGGTTGGGTTATTGTTCAGATGAAAGGCTCCACATACCAGGAGCGGCTTTTCGGTGATCAAGCACCGCCGAAAACGGTAGTGGAATATGAATAGGGCGTGTCAGCAGCTACTCGGCCAGACAAGTGACAACATTGAACTTATACCGGCTGTAGCTTCTTGCAAAAAATTTCAGGACAGGGCCCTACATGCTGTGTATATTGCAAACAACCCAGCATCTTCATACCTGTTGAGTCAAAAATGTGTCTTGGGAGACGAATGATGGCGGTAGTTGCTTTTTTTACTCCGTGGAGCTGAAATCATGTCTCACATTCAACGCAACGATACAGGGATCTTCCCGCCAGTCCGACCGCATCACACGGAATTACACGGCACATGGGGGTCACACAAGGGGCTATGATCACGAGACCAAGGGCAAAAGGCTGACCGACTTGTTGATCGACCTAGTACCTGGTTATCGAGGCCCTGATAGGAGCCAAAGAGCTGCAATTCCAAAGACTTATTTCAGATGAATTGAACCTTGTTGTTCCAAGCTCTCTACTGAGCCCTTGTCACAGACCAGGTAACTATAACAGGGTCCGATATAGCATTTTCAGAGACATTTCATCATCAACGAAATCACTAGGATTGTCACACGGCCAAGACCAAAACGAAGGCACCGGCCACAAAGGTTACACAATAACAAAGGGAGTCATCACGAGAACCCGTAGTCGGACCTCGGCGAGGGCAACCTCAGGCCTCTAGGACTCACCGACTTTTTGTATTTATGAAGACTTCTGAATCCCTCAAGCTCTCCTAGAGCGCCGAGGATCTTGATTACCTCAGAGTCAATTATTATTTTAGGAATTGAACACACGTTCCAAGCCCAGTTACCCTGCTCATGTCACACTTATGGAGACAGAGAATGCCCGGGTAGAAATAATGGCAGGTATATTTGACACTCGCGCACCATCTATAAACCGCGAGGGAGAAAGTCGTGTAGGAGGCGGTCACTATGACTATGCCCAGATATACGGCCTTGTTGCACTCTCGTGGCTTGCTCAATTAGGAGATGACAGGAAGGAAAGCCGATGATCCGGCTCCGGAGTGGAAGACATCAAAACTGAGAACATGGTCAGTATTCTGCACAAAGGAACACGGTAATTGGGGGTAGCCATACACGACGATTAAGATGGCAATATACACCGAGAGGAAGCCAAGCCAGGTTAGCCGTGCCGTTTTCTAAAACTTGCGAATACTGCTCATGAGAAACACCAGGGCGGTAGCCACCAGCATGAAGTAGTTTGTGCAGGCGGCATGGTTCGACAAGGCGACGAGAGCCACCGAGGTGTCGAATATTCCCGATGCACAGACAATAATGTACGTCGCGAGGAAGAAGACTCTCGTGACCTCCTTTAACCACAGTCCGCAAGCCATCTCGGCCATGTCCGCAATGGAATGGCAGCCGGCATGCGAGCTGCGAAAGTCGCCTTGGATAATGGCACAATGCGTGTTCAGAAACCATCCACGAACAATGAGGGCACCCGGAAGCGGCCCCAAGACAAGCATTGCACAGAAGGAATGGTAGGAACGTCCGTCGCAAGTACAACTGTCTTCTATTGGTGAGAGTGTCTTTGCTGCCATAATCATGAATCGCAACTTTGAGGAAGATGGCTGAGGCATGGATCCATCCCAGCGCTTTATTAGTCAACCTGTGCAGGCTGATGTCAGGAACCGGGCGAAGCATGACACACCGATGGTAAGAAAGTTGATAGCTCCCTCGCGCGTCTTGAAGACTTGGGAGGAGTCATTGTCAAGTTTCATACCTTAAATGCTGTCGCTGCTACGGACCGGGGCCGGTGTAATAGCATCAGACCTTTCTGGATCAGACAAGATTATGGTATACGCGGTCGAAGGGGGAACAGTCAAATTGGGTGTCGTTAAATATTGAGATGTCGACGATATACAATTCCATCACCACCAATACCAAAACTCGGCTTATCGTGGTGGTCAGACAGTTCCGCGAAACACGTAAAATATTACAGTTGACCCTTGTCTACCACGCGAAATACAAACTTCATCCTCATCTCTTGGCGGGAAACCGGGGAACTTTGTGGGGTAAAAACACGACGAATCACGAACGTTGGGGTGCTGAAGGAGCAGCTGAGCGAAAGTCATAGCACGCCAGTTAAAGCAATGACATGGTAAAAGGTGATTGCTGTACGAAATTTCGAGTTTCAATCACTCGATAGCTAATTGGGGCGCCCAGGTGCCGCTGGCAGCAAGGCACCCGGAGCAGGGGCATTCTTCGACTTGAACTCGTCGCAAATCTGCTCCATGGTTACAAATTCAACACCCTCATGACTCTTCATATGCTCAATAAGTCTCTCGTGCATCAACAAGGCGTGCGGACGACCCGACACGTCGGGATGAATCGTCAATGGAAAAATAAAGTCGTCATACTCGCGGTAAAAGTACTCAAAATGGTCGCGCCAAATGTCCTCCACATCTCGTGCGTTTACAAATCCATGGCTGTTGGGAGCATTCTTGATGAACATCATTGGAGGCAAATCGTCAAGGTACCCTGTCGACAGAGTCAGCTCTTACAGGACCAGACAGCAAAGCAGGTACAGCGGCCGGGCCTCACAGTTTGCCGGAATCTCAACCAGGCCAGTCTCCTCGCCCTTGACACAGGGGCGCATCCAGTCGCTTGGCTTCTTGGAATAGTCTATCTTGGACCACGCGTCACCGGTGCGCAGATAGTAAGGCTGGCAGTCGTGGTGGCTCATGCTGTGGTCATACTCGATGCCGTAGTCGAGGAGAAGTTGAGCTCCCTCTTTGCTTGTTTCCCACCACGGCGCAACACTGCCACGAGGAGGCTTGCCGCTGAATTCGGTGAGCATGCGATACGTCTTGTCCAAAATCTCTCTCTGCTGGTCGATATTCAGGCGGCTGGGGTTCTCGTGGGAGTAGCCATGCAGGCCGATTTCATGTCCAGCATCGCGAACCGCCGCCATGTCTTCTGGGAATGTCTCGAGACTGTGGCCGGGAATGAACCATGTTGCCTTGATGTCGTATTTGGCAAGAAGCTTCAGTATGCGCTGCACTCCCACAGTTCCGGCGAAGTAGCCTGCAGAAAGGTTAGAGTGATGTAGAAAAGGTGTCAATGATGGGAGTACCTCTGCTGATGTCATGAGATGAATCCTCGCCCCCATATGACCCGAGCCCTGCGTACACATGTTAGAACATGCCACGACGGTAGGTCTGCAGCTGCGTACATCCTGCGACGGCATCGACGTCAACGCCATAAGATACCAAAACTCTCTTCTTGGCCATTTCGAAGCTGTCAGTGTATCGGGCATGAAGCGATCTTGTCGGGTTTCCTCGCGGGGGCTGGGGCTGGGGATGCGGAACCTGCAGGCTTAAACACGGGGTTGACCCTGCAAGGTTGCGTCACCTTCATGTTGCCGGTTCGTTCTATGCATCGTGTTAGTGTGGTCTGGTGGATCTAGAGATGGAGTCGATGTCACGTAAAGGGACATCGGACGTTAACATGAGTGCGGCCGCTATGGGCTATCGCGTAGTAGCAGTTGACAACCAGCCGCCCCGCGGGACAGCGACTTGCCAGGGAGGTATCAGATGCTTCGCAGCCGGCATTGGTCGTTGACTGATCCAAAGAGTCTGGTGGAATACTGGAAGCTTATCAGGCTATCGACTTCCGGGGGCAGATTGGTTGTCGACGTGGCTCAGGAAATAAGTGCTGTGTGCGCCTTGGACAGATCCAAAAGTCCGTTGGATGGCTGGGCCCATTTGGATTCAATCAATCAAATGGTATTGAGATTTTGCAAATGGCCAAGGCGCGGCCCCTCATCCGAGCCAGGTCTGGTACATATCCATCAAACACGGAGGGGCATGAGGGGCTGTCAATACGTACCGTGGAGCCTGCCCCCACCAAGATATGACCGACGTCGGCCCAACTCATTGGGTGACTCGACTAGAACAGACCATGTAGGCAGAGTCTTGCATGTTTTTATTTTATTTTATTTTCTCTTGCTGCCTTCCATCACCACACCACAACACCACGCCCAACTCATTTCGCTCCTGCAACCATGTCCAAAGGCCGTGTCTGTCTGTGAGTACCTCCAAGCCACCCAATTCCTCTTCATTGAGACCATTGACTGACCTGATGGCTCCTCCAGCGCCTACTCTGGTGGCCTCGACACCTCCACCGTAAGCTTGACGAATCCATCCACGCTGGATTGTACACCAGCTAATCTTGTTTTGCATCAATAGATCTTGGTCTGGCTTCTTCAGCAGGGTTACCAAGTTGTGTGCTACCTCGGAGATGTCGGCCAAGATGAGGACTTTGCCGCCGTCGAGGCCAAGGCCCTCAAGGTCAGGACACGATGCCGCTCTCCTCGCGTGCCATTGAATCCTTGCTTACCTTGTCCTACAGCTAGGTGCCGAGGCTTTCGTCTGCGAGAACCTTCAGCGTGAGCTTGTAGACGACGTCGTCAGCCGTGCCATCATGTGCAACGCCATCTTCGAGGACCAATACCTTCTGGGTACCGCATTGGCTCGCCCTATTATTGCTCGAAGCATGATCCGAGTAGCTGAGAAGCACAACTGCGCTTACTTGTCCCACGGCGCAACAGGCAAAGGCGTATGTATCACCCTTCTCTGGGAGTTTCCAACACAATGCTGACCTTGGTTATAGAACGAGTGAGCGTCCCATATTGAACAAGAGTACGAATACGGCACACTAACACTGAGCTTAGCCAGGTTCGATTCGAGGTTGGTCGCCGCCCGTGACTTTATACGCCCTGATGTAGGCTAATCATGCCTTTCACAGCTCGCTTTCATAGCCTTGAACCCCTCTATTCAAATCTTGGCACCCTGGCGAATGCCAGAGTTTATTGAGAAGTTCCAGTCCGCACAACTCAAATCTGCCTCTGCTATGATTACAGTGGGACTGATTCTTATTCCCCAGGGGCCGCAATGACCTTCTCAAATTCGCCGCCGAGAACAACATTCCCGTCTCATCAACCCCCAAGGCACCATGGTCCATGGATGAGGTAAATAGGACCCTTCTATTTGTTCTTTTTTTCGCCTGCTGACGTATATTGTCCAGAACATCATTCACACCTCTTATGAGGCTGGTATTCTTGTGCGTTGACTTGGAACGTCTCATACCCGCGCTCTACACTTATCAATAACAACAATAGGAGGACCCCGATCACACACCGCCGAAAGAGTTGTGGATGCGAACCAAGTAAATAACTGCGCTTCTATTTGGCGAGTTCGTAGACTGACAGTCGTTTAGGGATCCCCAGGACGCTCCCAACGAGCCCACCGAGTTCTCCGTTCACTTCGAGAAGGGGTACGTTGCCTCGTATTGTCGGATCAGTCAAACCTCGCTAACAGAGACTTCAGCCTCATCTCCAAGGTCGTTGTTGGCGACAAGGAAGTCACCGATTCCGTTGAGAGCCTTAAGTTGCTGAACAAGGCAAGTTTTGCTGCATGTTGCGGCGGTGACTATGAACATGGCCTAACATGCGTCTAGATTGGCTATGAGAATGGCGTTGGACGAGTTGATATCGTGGAGAACCGTACGCATGGTCTAGGCGCCACACTGGTTGCGACTTGCTAACATTGTATGACAGGTTTCATCGGTCTGAAGAGCCGAGGTATTTATGACAATGCACAACTGTACTCATGACTAACGTGGACTAATTTTGCGCCCCAGGCTGCTACGAGTAAATATACTCCTCTGACCCAAATTTGCCCCTATCAAATACCTTTGATAGCTAACCTCCGCCCTGTATCATAGCACCCCCGGTCTGACGCTCGCCCGTCTGGCGCACTTGTCCCTCGAAGGCTTGGTCATGGATGGCCGCGTCCGTGAACTCAGGGACCAGTTTTCCAGCATCACTTGGTCTCGTCTCATCTACAACGGCATGTACTTTAGCCCCGAGCGCGAATTTGTATGTATTCCCCAGTCCCGACTTCAGTCGTATGCTCGCCAACAAAATATTAGGTCGAGAACTCTGTCGTCTTCTGCCAGCACAACGTGACTGGTGTTGTCAGGCTTTCCGCCTACAAGGGCCACGCCTACGTCCTCGGTCGATCCAGCAATGCTTCCAACCTGTACTCGGAGCAAGATGCTTCCATGGACTCTCTCGAAGGGTTCTCTCCCATGGAGTATGTATGAATGAGGCTCCGGTGGAAGATTTGACTGACATTTGCCTAGCACTACTGGCTTCATTGCCATTCAGGCCATCCGCCTCAAGAAGTATGGTGAACAGAAGATCAAGGATGGCCAGCCCCTCAGCAAGTCGTGATTTGTTTGTAGATGAACATTGTACGTCTACGGGAGTAATATGGGTCCATGACTGGACAGGCGTCAGGGAGCACCATGGAATCATCTGGAACAAGATGCAGTAAGCCGTTTTTGGGATGGCAGAAAAAAAGTTGGAGCGGCTGGTAAGAGCGTCCGGGACGCATAGCACTATGTTTCTTTGAGATATTTAACAGAGATGATGAATTCCATATCTCATGGTGCACTATTATGGCGCAGCATGACGCGTCCAATGCGAGTTTTTGTAGACCAGTGATGCATGTGTTGGGGTTGCCGGCCACGTTGCGTGAATGATGGAAAACCACCCGTCGTGCACACATAGTATAGATGAGCCAACACACGAGCGCTAGCTGGCAACAATCTTCTTTTGATACCATGTTTACATGTACTGGTAGGCTAGATCAAAGGCACACAACTAGCCTGTTACGCAACCGGCACGCACCATCATCACCAGAGTGTTGGACGCTGGGGCAGACGTCGTAGGCACAACAACATGCGAGAGCTTTTGCAACTCGGCAGCGTCATTCACCAGCGCACAGGGTATTGTACATAACCCCCATCAGCCTGGATACTCGGCAGGCGGCAGCACCTCTAGCGGTGCGGCACCAATCGGCTCCGGAAGCGTTGATGTTGCCCTCGACACCGATCAGGGAGGGAGCAACACTGTTGCGGCGGCGGGAAAACTCACCCGTCTTGGAGCTGTCCTAGAGGACATTTCTGCTCGTGCCGCTTCATCTGCAAGTGCCAGCTGTGTGGACGCTTCAGCACCATATTTCCAATTCCGCGGGCTGGAGACGGCACGGCTGCCTTGGAGCAACTCAAACTCCCGGAAGCTCTTCCCGTCAACGAAGAATACCCTGATCAACGGACTATACCCATCTGCTAAATTTCTCGGGCTGTATAGCAAAACGCTGAATATTGGCCGTCAGATTCGTGATGTGTACCAGCGCGTCTTTGACAAGTGCGACGTCATCATACCCACAACACCATTCGTTGCGCCGCGGCATGCGGACTGGAAAAGGCACGAGGTCCTCGAGTCCTTTGAGCCCATTATTTGGTTGACCACAAACACGGCCGTGTTTCCCGTCACGGGACACCCGGGCATAAGTCCTAGGCGCAGCCGTCCTATTCACGTATATATAGTAATCACTCAACCCCCACTTGTTGCGAAAACATCAAAGACTTTTAACATTCTTCGAGATTATCGTTGAATCAAGTCTTTTGCTCTAAGCCTTCGTATCGAGCCCTCGTCACAGTTCCTCTTGGGTTTCTTCCCTCTGCGGACGATCAAAACGTTCGACTGCCCGTCGGTATGCAGATTGTAGGAGGTCTCTATCAGGAGGAGACGGTACCGATGGATGGACATGCCTGGGAGTCAAATTTGACTGCACAGCGCAACTGCCCCCAAGGACGATGAAATACTGTGTTTCGGAGGGCTCAGAGCCAGGCTCCTGGCCATGTGACAAGGGTTCAAAGGCTTGGAGCACAGGACTCGATTCAATGATATTCTCGAAGGATGTTGAAAAGAATTTGGTGTTTTAGCAAGAAGAAGGGGATCAGTAATTATTAGATATACGTGAAAAGAATGTCTATACCTAGGGCTTCTGCCGGGTCATGTGTTCAGTCTGTGTAGCCCCTGGGTCCTTTGTCGGTGAGGCTCCTTTGTTGGGCTTTGTTGTTGGGCCATTTCCGTGCAATACACTCGCTGATGGTCTTGTTTTGTGGCCAAGGAGTAAAGGCTGTTGTCATGAAGAACGGAAGCCAGAATTGCAAGGCCTGTAATCACAGGCGCATTTGAATAGTATCACGCATCTAGAACATAAATCCTTAGAGTTAGAGCGTACATACACAAGTGACTGTGACAAGGGCTTGACAGAGGGCTTGGAGCATAAATGCCTCGATTCAAAGATATCTCGTAGGATGTCAAAGGCCCTTGATTTTTTGAAAGGAGGAAAGGGACGAGTGACCGCTATATATACATCAACTAAACGGGCATGACTAAGGCTTCCAGCGGGTCATGTGTTCAATCTGTGTAACTTCAAGGTCCTTTGTCGGCGATGCCCCTTTGTTGGGCTTCATTGTTGGGTCTCAACCGTGTAACAGCGACCTTCACCTACTTCGTATTCCTAGTTTATCGTGTACCCTCCGTCCACCACCAGGGCATGGCCTTGAATAAACGACGCCTGCTTTGAGCACAAGAACAAGACCGCATCGGCAATCTCCTCTGGCCTTCCCATGCGCCGCATCGGCGCAATGTCAATGGCTGGTCTGACGCGAGCCTTAATCTCATCAGAGCCCGTCGTCATGGGTGTGGCGGTGACGCCTGGACAAACGCAATTCACTCTAATATTATCGGATGAGTAATCTATGGCATCAGAGCGTGTCATGTTCATAATGGCGGCCTTGGACGCGCAATATGCGGCCGCAGTCGGCCGGGCCACGATGCCCAGATTGCTGGCAATGTTGACCACGGCACCACGCTGCTCTGGGTGCTCAGGGAGCGGCTGCTGCTTGACCATCTGGCCCAGCACGGCGCGCGACAGCAGCCAAGACCCCCTGTAGTTGACGTTGGTGATTTTGTCGAATTCCGACACTGGTGTTTGGTGGGAGCGCAGGGACGGACCGAGGATGCCGGCACAGCTCACGGCGTAGTCTATGCGGGTGAAGATGCCGGTTGATTTCGACACGAATTCATCGACAAAGGATTCATCAGACACGTCGCCGGCTTGGCTGGAGACGCTGGCCTTGGGGTTGATCTCGAGGATGGCCGCACGAGTGCTTTGTAGTGACGTTGGATTAATGTCTGTGATGGCGAACCTGGAACACCCCGACCGAGCAAAAGCCTTGCATACAGCTGCTCCAATACCTGCACGCGGTTCAGTATTCGCCGGTTGTGTGATTTTAAATTGCGGAGAAGAAGAGAAGTCTGGTGATGCTGACCTGTGCCACCCGCACCGGTGATGAGCGCTACGCCTGGGAGCCTAAACATGGTGTTTGAGGTGTCCGGTATTCCTGGTTTGACGCTCACATACGATACACCCGAGATCCAGGTTACTTTGGGGCAGTATTCTGTATCGCCACCAATGGTGATCTCTTTTGCGATGGACTATAATGAGCCCCTCTGGATAGCCCGGCCATGGCACTCCGTCTTATGTGGCCAGGACAAATCCGAGATGGCACCTGAGCGCTCGGGAATCGATATTTGGGGTCCTCCGTACGACTCTGTACGAGCCTGACCCAGCCAATAAAGTTTTATTCCGTCTTTTGGGCTGATTTGCTGGCTTGGAGTACTGGCTGGAGTTTCCCTCAACTACCCCAACATCCCAACCTCCACCGGTTGACCAGTTGACCTCTATTGCCATTCCAGCGTGCCCAGCGTAGCATTGAATCACTCCGTGTTACAGTGCATACATGTATTGTCATGCCTGGCGCCACATTTGACGGTGTCCACGGTGATCCCGTACGCAAGCGCAGACACCGAAGAGAGCCTGGAGACAGACTCTGCCTACACTGCGGTTGCTCATTCAAGCGGACCGAGCATTTGGAGCGGCATGTGAGAACCCGTACGTACTGTACCCCAAAGCGAATGCGAAACATGTCTTTAGTCCTAGCAGATACAAAGAAGAAGCTGTTCGGGCGTAATTAATGTGGAGTCAATGGCATTTGCGCGGTGCGACTTGCTGGCTTGTTATCGGCGAATCACGTCAATTGCACGAAGGTGTCAATAACCCACGAGAGCCCAGAAGGCGAAGACGAACATCGGACAGCGACACCGGGGAGTCGCCCAGAGACACCATTCAACTCCTGGTAGCCGACCTGGATAGCCTCACTATCTTCACCTGCTCGAATATAGAGCGTCAGGTGCATCACGAGCCGATCCTCGGCTTATAGGGCTTCGGTTTAGGTACTGCACGCTTCCATCCAGGACTGTTGCGAAAGCTTCCGAGAAGTCCTCGACTTGGACTTTATATTTCCTTCCGCCACGGATTCCACCTCCATGTTCCCTTTATCCATTGGGATACATCTCAGGTTACCGTCTTCTACCAAGGAATCGACAGCCACGACAGCCCTGCAGTGGCAGCTCGCGAGACATGAGACTTCCAAGTAACAGCAGTTCTTCCAGGAGACGATATCGCACTCGCTAAGGAATCGAGACACTGCCGCACCGTTGGATCCTATCCCGACACCCTTGTGGAATTGTGTCTGGTCTTGTTACACGGCCTCCTGCACCAGATTTACATTGTGCGCGACGTCTCTCTGCCTGTCATGGATGGTCTGGCAGCTCTGCCCGCCCAAGAGGTTGAAAAGCTTGGGTCAGTACTCACCAAAACGATTCTTGAACTACTTGTCATGTGGCTCGCGCTGGTGGGTGCGTAAATAGGCGCAGCTTGCGATCGCGGACGTCGGGCTGGCAGCAAACCCTCCGAGTCTGAAGAAGCATCAAGAACTCCTGATTCGAAGTAGGCGAGCCGTCTGAAGCTGCAACCAGTTAACAATGCAGCAAGGCGGTCAACATGGCCGAATTACCCAGGAGAAGCTACGGCGTTCTATTGGGTTTGGTCTCTTCCCATCTATGACTGCGCCCGCGCGAACTCCGGCCCTGCCTCCTTCCAGCCTCGGGGCAAAATCTGCGTCCTTCTATTGAACAAACGGAATAGGGTTCCGGTGCATGGATTTCATGATTTTTCATATCATTTAGAAGAAGCGTCCCTGCTCTTATCGAATCCCATTAGCCGTCCCTTCTCGCAGAGGAGCAGGCCTAAAGACATCGCGCCCGGGGTATTCGATGCACTCCTAGTAATATTAATAGCAGGCGACGAGCGATCCTGCGCCACAGAAGCACTACCAACCGCACGCTATCTATCTCGTCAAATTTTGAATAAATGCTCGAGCTACCACTTATCCCCTCCCATTCTGCTGCCGCTGTGAGGAGCCTAATTACCACCTCGGAGAGACCAATGCGACAAGCTAGTACTGCCGCATCTTTATTGAATTTATAAACCGTAAACCGAAGCAAAAACAGTGTTGATATAGAAGCACATACATTGCGAGCCACAAACCAGCTTCTGATGCGGCATGGCAGAGGTGAAACAAGATAGGTCAAGCCTCGTACTTGGCAGTCCGGCGGCATGACGATTTGGCCAATGTGAAACTTTTGTATCATGTTAGACAGGGGTACCTGAGGTTTAATTTTCCCAATGAGAACCCAGGGGGAGTAATGAGGAGCGTTTAATGGCGATGCTTTGGTCTGGTGTAACCAGTCAACTAGCTTTCAGGGTGAAATTAATGAAGCCACAGAACACTAGGTCAGACACAGCACAAAGTATCAGTCGATAGGCTGACATAGACTTATAATACCAATAGTTACCTATTTTAAATAAACTTGAGATGTGGCATTTTGGTCAGTCTATTGCATGAAACTGTAAGCGAGTAAGTGTGCGACTACGGTACGTAATAAGATATACTTGACTCGCGAATGCAAGTGAAAACTACCCACACGAACTAAATACCCTGCTCCTTGCCAAGCAGTTCCGCGGATATTCTTTAAAAAGACGCGTGTCGTCTTGTTTCATGAGGCACAATTAGCAAGTATACAAGATTCACTGAATTATGCGAAATGCTCAAGTGCTGCATAGACTAGATTATCAACTCTGAACAGCGTATAAAGTAATTCAAGTATCCCCAGTCACAGCTACAACCTATCCAAGACCAATCGATCGGCATTCAAATCAATACCTACGACACTACTTTCATAATGCATTTGAGCATTGCTATTATTGCGCTGGCTATCGCCGCCCCGGTCGTTATAGCCGAGGAGCTCGATGCAAACGACGTCCCGCCAGCATGCGCCGTAATCTGCCGACCTATTGTCTCTTTAACGAACATGTGCGACATCAATCCAAACGAGAAGTATGACGATGACCACATGGGTAAAAGGCAGCTGCTAGACGCCCGTGACGCAGACGACCCCGATGATCGTATTGAAGCAGAATGCATTTGCAAGAACAAGAGCTTCAATGTTCCAACTGTCATGGCTCTCTGTGCGAGCTGCATCGCACAGAATGGACGCAAGACAGAAGGTATGAAGGGACTGACATAATTCGCATAACTTCAACTTGGCATCTAACATTAGGTTAATTAGATATTAACGAGATCATGTCGCAATGCTCCTTCTCCTCTGTCTCTTATGCCCCGTTGTCGACTGGCATTGTCAGCGGCATCCAAGTTCAAGCAACAAAGCCAGCCGGGGGAAATACTCCGGCGCAAACAACGTCTGCTCCAGCTGCTACTAAGACATCAGGAGCTGGCGGTGTAGGCAAGTTGGCCAACTCGGCAATGGCTGTAGTTGGTGTAGTTGTTGCAGTTGTCGCAGCAGGTTTGCTGTGAGACTGTCACACGGAAATGGGCCGGTTACACGAGGGCTACGGTCACGGGATTAGGGCAGAAGGCCCTCACCGACTTCTTGTATTTAAAGACGTCTTTGACCTTCAAGGCCTTGAGGAAAACCAAGGACCTTTGATACCAAAGCCTGTTATTAGATGAATCGAGTAATTGCTCCAAGCTAGGCCCTTGTCACAGAGACGGAATGGCTGGATGCCATGGTGTGGCGGCTGTGCGTCGCGTTGGACGATTTATACGTCATCTATCCAAGTAATTGACGCCATTTTAATAGTTGACGACCTCGGATACCCTTTTTTTGTAGCCCGTGAATTTCTGTTGCAACAGCTAGTGTTTGGGGTTGCTGGCACCGCCAGGGTGTTTATTCTGTCGGAAGGTGTCAATGGAAAAGGGCCTGTATTCTAAATACTAGCTGCTACCCAAGCTGTTTCTACGGAGGTTGGAGGCCTTTGGAAACCTCTGAAAAAACGGGCGATTCGAGGTCATCGTCAACTCTGAGAGAGGCCTCAAATCCCTCGACGGAGAGCTTCAATCCATGGCTGCTTGATCGTGACAAAAGTCTTTTTAGAGAGAATCTCTGTATAACGTGCGGTTCAGCACGACAATATTACATGTCATCTAGTGGCTAGCAGGTCAAAACTAGAGACTGTGACAGCTACCGCCGCCGCCGCCCCATCTATATGATAATGCTATAAACGGCATAATACTTTCTGGACGGTCAAACTAGGCTTGGAATAGCTCCCTGGATATACCCATCTCGTATGATTCTTTGAACAGGCGAAATAGCCTAAAATTAGGTCGATCAATATTTAAGGGGGCATAAGTAAAGCGTGCCATCTTGGAAATCTGCCGCGTGGTAGCCGGGGTGGAGGCTCCCCACGAAGAAGCCTGGCGCTTATAAACAGTTGGCAGCATATAACATAGTGATTCGTGTTCCTAGAGGGTAAAATCTCCTACGATGCATTGAAATTTCGGACTGACTGACAGCTCTGCATAGAATTGCAAAGGTTTTTAGGGACAACTGCCTTGATAATAATCAGGCTCAATTGCCACAGCCGTCTTTTGCAGAGGACTTTTGCAAGTCTTGATTGAACAGAATGATATTTCCTATTCAAATTGAGAAGATGAAACAACTCGCTAGAATGACTGAGCAACTGGATCCGTCAAGGTCGAGGTATGACACAGCTTATCTCAAGAAAATTCATATACAATGAGGCAAAACTAAGTGCGTGAAGGAAAGTACCCAACTTTACAGTGCAATGTGTTGGATCACGGCTTCGATGCCTCATTGGGGCTCGACAATTCCGATGCCACGCAGTATGTGTTGCAACTCAGCGTCGAATTATGGCGAAATGGCTGAAAAACAATAGAAAGCGCTCATTTCCCATTGCAAGCTACGAAGGCTGTGTGAGTGACGTTTGACATTTTGTTGGCCGAAAAAATATAACTCACTGCAGCCCGAGGAATCACGGCATAATATAGGTGCAGGTTCTACCACGACAGAACTTGCACATACTCATTAAAATAATTGGAGTGCTTCGACGAAATAGTTCGGTATACAGAAAGCGTACGCTCCAGGACATCGCGGACATCACGGATATGGCAACTTCCCTGCGCCGCAGAGGTATCGACCGCCTTCGCAAAAGCGGTGCCGTGTTCTTGGGCAGCAACCAAATCTTTCTTCGAGGCCTGACAAATTTGCGATATTCGTTGGAGCCCTGCTGTGCTAGGCCGACTAGCCGGCGATAGTCAAGATGGTGAAAAATCTAGACCAAGGTTCGCCATGATGCACGTGTTGACATGTGTACTACCCAGCGTAGGTGTAATCTGCTGGTTCTGTGGGTTGAGTTATTAAACACATTAACCTCAGTACAGGCAGAGTTGCATCTGCTATCTCGTAACAGATATTGCTAGCCTATGCCGTGAGACGTGCGTGATATATGCACTATCCTACTAGAATAGGTAGACCAATGGCAAGATTTGCATACAGCGTTCCACAAGACACTCTTGCTCGGAAGTAGAATCGAATTGTGGCCTTCCTTGATGCAGGAATGCATCATGTGCCCAAAAAACAGAGCAGTGTTACAGTAAGCAAAAAGCAAAGATGCAGTGGCCTTGAACTCACTGCTGGTAATCAAGGAAACGTAGACGTCGCCCTCCAATGCTGTGGCTTTTAGGCCGCTTCTGAGTTCCGGTCACCTGAAGCGGGCAGAATATTGATTGGATAACTATAGTAGATGTGTCGCTCGCGTTGTAGTTGCTTACCTGCGTGAGTCAGCACATGCATAATATCAGATAGCCCCAAGAGCTGACCACGTTGTACGGCTCGCTATTCGGCTGTCGATGGATTTCATACCCGCGTCTGATGCACGGTGTGTCTCCTAGCTTCATGAGTCGAAATCATGACACGTTGAAGACCCGGGAATTCCAACTGGTCAAACAATCTTGACTTGAGCTGCCGTGCTTGACAACAGGAAACCCCACGGCAAAAGCTGAACCGCCAGTGTGCCCAACTCGCTGATCATTTCCCAGACAGGCTAGATTTTACGTCTCGCTGGTCTTCTATTAGAAATTGATCGGAAGTCGACCGAATGCAAGGCTAGGACAATGTAATCCAGCGTAATATAAAAAGGCATCGTCTATCCCCAACACGCTGTTCCATTAAATCAACACGGACTTCTTGATCAATAGCAACTACAAACATGCACATCTCCGCCATTATTCTCTCAATCTTATTCGCCACCCTTAGCTATGGCGACAAAAGCACCCAAGATGCTTCAGGCATAGGCGAAAGGGCAGCCGATGCTCAATTTGACCCCAACACCTGGTACCGCCTTACCAACACGTATCTTGGCTACTCCCAGTCCCTCGACGTCATAAATGACAACGGCCCCAATAGCAGCGGCACTTTGACGATGTCCGCAACCGCCAGATACTCTGGCCAATTCTGGCAGCTTATTCCCCAATCTCCTGGGGTCTACAAGCTGCGCACACTGTTCCTCGGCCCCAATCGGGTGCTCGACGTTTGGGGGGACGATAAAACTAAGCCGCACCTAGCTGAAAAGGGGAACTACTCTGGACAACTCTGGACGATAACGAGCTGGGGCGACGGGACATGGAGGCTGACAAACGCATATTCGGGGCCGGGCTTGCATTTGGATACATATTCGGGTACTCACGAGCCATTCATGGGGAGCGGCGACCACACAGGCCAGCATTGGCATATTACAGCCATCGAGCGTATCTCGTAGTGACGGTCTTTGAGGGTTACATCGCGCTGCAGTGTCAGAATGTAGCATTTGTTTAATGCAGTGTCAGAATGTAGCATTTGTTTAATGCAGTGTCAGAATGTAGCATTTGTTTTAATCTCAATTTTATCTGTTTCCCACGTGATCCGCTATTGGCGTTTATGAGTGCTCTGCATGAGAATTTGTAGCATTAATTAAAATACGCGCCAACTCGATACGTAATTCTAGATGCTTATCCTTATGGAGCAATGGCGAGCTGTTGACTAGATCAGCTGGCACATGATTTTTCTCATCAACAGCATTAACGTCAGTCCCGTTTGCCACCAGTACACTTGCCATGCCAACAGCGCCGTGGACCATGGCCTAGTACAGCGGTGTTATGTCTTTAATGACACCAGGCGACTCGTTGTTGTTGGGCTGAAGATGCTCAACGACGCGGGAGCCCTACGTGCCAACGTCCCGGTTAGACACGCGGAGTGCTTCGCGACCAGTCGTTAAAACAGCCAATATGGTAACCCAGGAATCAACTGGTACACCTCTAGCAATGAATTCCGTGGCCAGTTCTGCCAACTTATTATTACTGCCCCTGTTATCTAGATAGAGCGATAAACAGTGCAACGATGTCCAGCCCTCAGCTGTGTATGCAAGGGGATCAGCGCCATGATCTAGGAGAATTCTTGCCGCCTGCAGTGTTTTGTAGTACCGCGGCACACAGGTACTTGTCTGAATTACAGCTGACAGGACTATGTAGGGCAGACATCAACGGGGTCCCGTCGTTGTCGTTGGCGGCATGGACATTTATACCGGACGATAATAGAAGCCGCAATATGTCGATCTTCTTACCGCCACTAGCCCAGTAAAGCAGTGTCTGCCCGCTATCGTTCTTAATAGATTTCAACGCGTTGCCATGTAGACTATTGACAGGAAGGATAGTGGTGTAGAGGGAGAAGATGTGTAAATTAGATCTAAACGCAGCGTAGTGCAGCGGTGTGTTGCCAAGTTCATCCTGGACTGTGAAAGACACGCCGTGTTACAATAATAATCGAATTCCTGTTTCGTGAAAGCACTGCTTGGGACCTCTCCTATACACACTATGCTCCGGTGACCCCAGATGGTGAAGGGCGGCGCCCCGTCCGTTCGGATCAGCGCCCTTTTCAAGGAGCGCCTTGAGAACTCCAGCCAAGTCAACCCATGTTGCTGCTTCAATGAGTGCACATGCAATATTTGCCCCATCAGCTGTGCTATTTGGGTCGGCGCCTGCATCTGCAAGCCAGCTGATGAGCTGTTGCTGGTTCATATAGTCCAGGCCACCGTGTTCTGCACGATTATAGGGGGGCAGAGGGGGCTTAAAGTCGGCTGCTCAGCAGAGACATGCATTAATACAGAGTGGCGAGTAGTTAAAGCAGGCCAGCAGAAGCCGGACGACTTTAACGTTACATCTCAACACGGCGTGCTCAAGGGCATGCTCTAAGGAAGCTTCCGACCAGCCATCAGCCCAACCCAAGACATCCTCGACCATGGCGATCTGACCAATAAAAGCTGTTTAGTCTCTAAGAGTTTTTAACAGCGCTGTTACGAAATTTCATCGTTTCCCAGGGCCATCTTCTCGTATATTCGACGGAACGCCGAAGTTTTCGCCACAGTTTATTCACTAACAGCCCAAGGATAGTTGGTACTTAAGATAGTTTTGACTACCTTTTGCTAACAAAGACCAATAAAGGCCGGGTAGCTCAATGGTAGAGTGTCTGACTACGCAGCGAACCAGTATTATTATAGTATTCTTACCCCGTAGTCAGAAGGTTGTAGGTTGGAATCCTGCCCCGGCTAACCTTTTTTTTTTTTTGGCTCCGGCATCAAGGAGGGAGGATATTCTACCGCTGCCATGTTATCGTATACTACGGCGACTTAAAGAGCTGAGCCGAACTCTAGGTCAAGCTCACCAGTCCCCCTGATCGGGAGCAGCTCTCGCAGCGAGGATAAGTCGTTGCGGACGCAGGCGTGCAGACGTGCTTCTGGTTCGCCATCGAATGCATATTTCATATGCACCCAGAAGCGAGTACCGACTTCTGCGGAGAGCTTTTCCTCCTGATACCCGTCTGGGAATGAATCCGATGTTTCTGCTCAAGATGTTCTAACTCTAGAGGTACTATTAATAATAAATAATTCTTACTTGTACTTTCTAACCACATATTCGTGATAGTAATACACTTCTTTCTTATTACTACCTTAAATGTATTAGAGACTATACTTCTAAATATATGATAAACCAGGGCGATATCCTTTATTTACGACTATTATGCGTTTCACATACGTGATACAGTCCTGTATAAACTTATCTGGAGCTTCGGGATATTAAATTAAGGCAGAAAACGACATAGCGGTACGCGATAGCGTTAAGGCGGGAGATGTACAGGCGGATGACGGGGTAGGGGCAGGCGATAGTGTAAGAGATGTTGGCGTTGACATTGTAGTTGATAGGAACAGTAAAAATTTAGGGCTACAAGTTCTATCAACAACATCTAAGCATGATGTTGCATACTATGTCAGGCAATTGCTGTTACGTTGCCCGATTGTCCCTTTTCAAGGAAGAGAACCCTCATAGAAAAAGCAAAGTAAGACTGCATGTAACCATATCAGGCAAAACTGCAGCCAGCAGCCGCTATAACCCTCTCAGTTTAATCTATTTATAGTAGTTAATGGTCCGACCGGTCCGACCGGTCCGACCATGGTCTCGAGAAATCCTCAGACCAGACCAAGTCTTGGCGGTCTAGACCAGACCGGGACCAAGACAGACCAGACTATTCCGATCACTGGGCCCAAGCCCTTCTTCTTGTACCTCAACTACTTGACTTGTTTATATATCTCCACATCTTCCCTATACTTTGTACTGGCGGGGAGAAGAGCTGCAAGAGCATTTATTATCCTTGCAAGACCTTGATGCGAACGAGTTGTCCCAGGGGTAGGGAAAGTGCGCGAGAATAACTAGACGTTTCAATTATTAATATTAAATTACACTTAATCCTCATATTAAATATGGAGCTGTAAACAGAGCTTATATTACTTAAAATAATAATAATAATTTTATAAAGAGAAGCTTGGTTAATAACAAGTCTTGTACCGTTACAAGTTTGGCTACTAGGTTAATAAAATCGTCTATTGATAAAAACACGAACCAAGGTAATTGCTATGTTGAATAACAAAAATACCTTCTATATGCCAAGTAGTGAATAATCTTCTGCCTATTTACTATTTGACACATAAATTCACCTACACTAACCCCCCTTTTACTTGCTTTTGTTATTCGTAGCCGGGCTAAAATACCAAAGTATAGTAGTAACCGGCTAGCCTAATCGGCAATCTTAGTCTGAGAAGATAAGCTCCTCCGTCAGATCCTGGTGAAAAGGGTCAAATGTGCAGGTATAAGACCCCTAATAATTTATATATTAGTAGTCTAGTATAGGTTTCTTATTAGTAGGGACACACCCGGTCTTTGAAGCCTGCGTTTATCTGGCATTCGCACTAAGATTAAATGCTACGTTAGCAACTTCCTTGTTTTTAACGTGCTCCTATGCGGCCGAATTATACTCACGTCGCGCTCCTTTTCCTGGCAAAGAGGACTAAGACCATCTTTGGCCTATCGTAGGTTATTAAATTAGTAAATCTCCTATAACGGACAGCTTCGCAAATAGTCAAGTATAAAAGCTTACAGGTATATCTTTATTAGGCTATTAATAGTTAGTATTAGATCAGAGCATAGAATTTGAGATAGTAGACAGTCCCAGGACAGCACTTACCCGTATAAATGATTCACAGGAAATTCTACCCCTCTACAAATATCGTGTTAGCTATGGGAAGGTTTGGTTAGGAGCATTATGCCTAGCTACCTGTTCTTCTTTGCACAAGAGGTCTTCGCCCATTGCTATTTCCAAAACTCGCTGCGGGGTCTGTGCTCATTTAAGAGTTAGCTGTCTACCAAAAGGATTACATATTAAATAATAATAAAATTTGCGTACGATAGTACCCATATCCGCCATAGTCAGGACAGGCGTTGTTTGTGGTGCTGCCAGGGCCAGACTGGCGAGAGTCGTAAATGCAAGATAGGTATACTTCATCGTGAGAAGACTATCAAATAAGGTAATAATATTTTTAAAACAAGTAAAGGAGAAAAATGCTAATTTTTAAGTACAAATTAGTATATAATATTCAGCGGATCTAGCTCTTATATACTATAAAATCTTTCTAAGCTCCTTTAATCTGTCTTACTAATTTGCCTAAACTAAGAGGAAGTATAGCAACCTAGCGTAAATTCCTGCATAAGGCGAAACGCGTCACCTGTTAGGCAATGACTCAGATATTAGCCGATACGTCGTGTCTAGAATAGAGCTGCCCAGCTGCCGGCTCCCACTTTACCGCTACATATATATTTATGTATAACGGCGCGTCTAAGGACCCTGGGGCGTGGCACAAGTATAGGGATCCAGATAGCCCCATAATATTATGCCTCAGGTTTATAGTACTAGAGTGTTTACTAATTCGGACCGAAATATTTTAATTTATCTCTAGTCACTCAACGTTTATACGGCATACTAGAAATTTGCTCAGTTAATATAAAATATAAGAGGTACGGGGCTTATTTAGCCTGTAGTATACTGTAAGGGAACGGCCCCACCTTAGAACTTGAATAGCTCGAGTCAGGTCCCACCAGCTCGACCTTGCTCGTGCCCTTGCATATGTACTGTTACATACATTACAGACAAGAATTACTCGTGCCACGCCCTGTTTATTTGACACTTGCAGAACTCGCACTATTAGGGGTGATGCTTATTCCCATAACGGACGCATGTAACGGTTGGGGCTCCCAAGGGATAAACCGGTCGGGGTCGTAATAATGGGCAGATTGTGATGCCTTTATTCGGTGGTGCATTTGTTATCAGCCGGGTGCATCTCAACGACCCAGCCGAAGATCCACGACAACTAGGGACCCGTAAAATAATTTTTAAATAGAGATTATTAATAGTATAGTCGCAAGAACAGGCGTGCACGGTATACCAAGAGAATTTAAATTTCCCATAAGGGCTATATAGCTAGACATCTATACTACGTAATATTAGCTACGTCATGTAATCTTTCTTTAGCGATTTTACCTCTAGAAGACTAGTTGTGAAGCTACATGTATCTACACAAACTAGAGCAAACGCTCAAGACAATATCTTTTTCTGCTATAGCAGTATTAGTACATATATATTATTAAGCCTATTAACTAATTCTACATTCTTTCAAGAGAGGGCCAACAACAAAGCCGGAGTCTTCCAACATGAAGGCCGTACCTACTCTCGCTTTGCTTTTTGCCAACCTCTCTATCGGTGGATTTTGCATTATTTATAGTACGCCTATCGAACAGACACTCCAGACACTTGAGAAATCGGCAAAGATACTTGAGAGTGGTGTTAAAAACTTGCCTCTCTTGGTTGTGCCGGACCGGGGCCTGGCACAAGGGAATGTCCATGACATGCTAGCGATTGGAATTACAGATGAGAGGGGCTGTTATGGGATTTCAGAAGGCGGCAGACGAGGCAGCTCAAGCCGTGCAATGGGCTGTCACTAACCTGAATGCACGTCAGGATATATGTAGCGACATAGAACGTATTCCCGCTACAAACGAGAATCTTAGTTCTGCGTCAGAGCTACGTTATTTCTTTATATCTGACTAAGAATGTTTTGCTAATAATAGCGATAGCGAAAGATTCTCAAATCCGAACGCCCCTTGTTGGGTTCGGGATATACGTGAACGCCGCGTATAAAGTTCTCGTCTGAGTATCAATAATGTATCGCTATATAATAGCCAGTATTGCACTACCTTCTATCATACTTGAGAGAAGCTAGTTTCAGTTATTTGATACAGCTATACATGCCTTTTTGCCGCTGTCTAGCTCTCGTCGGATCGGGGTGGCAAAGCAGTCGTAATACTACGTCACACTTTGCACTTTAGAGCGGTGGTGCAAGGCGTACAAAGCCTATGATGATAGCTGCGGTACCTAGTAACGTTATTTTGGAACGTCACTTTGGACGTCCCGCTTAAAATGGTCCAACAGATGCCAAGTATAAGGCTGCCGATGACTGTGGCCCTTGAAGCCAGCAAGTAGATGGACCTGATTGAAATTGCAAGTCATGCCTCCCTCGCAGTGACATTGTACCAGCGCCAAATTCAGGTAGCATTTGTTATAACATAAAGCGTCTGGTATCAATGAATTGCTTATGACACGATGGACATGTGCTCAGATGCTGGCATAAGTTTTCTCTACTATGCGCAGCCTTCCGGCATGAAATGCCAACGAGTCAAGTTTACCTATTTATAATCAAGTCTTGACACGGATAGTGGCATATTTCCACGAGCCCAAATATCCACGCAGGCCACTGACTCAAGGCTTCAATCCGAGGCTTAATTTCTGGGACCATAGGGGTAGATCCTTGAATGCAAAACGTGAATTACTCGCGGCGATATTAATTTTTACTACGGGAACGGCTAGTTAATAGTTAGTGGGTCAATTTTTGCGCGCTTTGACCTACTAATTATGTATTAGCTGTTCCCCTGGTAATAAAAATTAATAACGCCGCGAGTAATTCACGTATTAAATGGATTGTATTGATATGTCTGGATCCACATCCAGCCATGCCTTAACGACTGCGGTGGTCAGACTCACAGGACTGCCTGATTCGGTCATGGCTAAAATTACCCATTTGGCGTATTATTGTAATGGCAATGTAAGTTGCTACTGCTTTAGACCAAATTAATTAATGAAATTCATGCTGCTGAGAGAAGATGCTCGAGAACGAGTCAGACTTTAGGTGGAACAAGCCACGAGACCTGCGGGTATTTAAATAGCTTGACTGCTCTACAAAGCTACACTCATAATATATAACACTTATACTTTAGATCAATTTTACTAACATTACAATATCACTCGAAATTCTTACCATTTCGTCTCTGAAATAGAGGTCGCCATCCTCTTGCTCGCCTATACAAAGCGTGTCAACTCAAGTCGCTCATGCAAGGTGTTACGACCCATTTCAGGGCTGAACCTGGGCAACGCCATGCCTGAAAAACGTGCCCTTGACAAAGAATTGTCAGTAAGCCGGCCGCAATATTGTGAATTTTCCCCGGTTCAAAAAGCTGCCGTGGTGGCTACGTTATCTGCAGGTACGCTTGCAGCTTTGTTCAAAACCACACCGCGTATTCGAGGTGCTTCGCAACTGGACTGCAGAGAGAGCCAGAAATCCTCCAGACCACCATTCGTGCAGGGCTCATAAATTACGGGTGAGAGTCCAACATAGCAAGCTATACAAAGCACCTATGGCTATTGAGCTCCCTGCTTATCCAGCGAGGGATGAAGTGGTTACTTTTCATTTACCGTAGCACACTGTTTCTAAGTCCCGGTTGACTCAGGCTCTACTACACCAACCGTTCATCTCTCCGTCTTTTTATCTTTTTTTAAGGGATTTGCAGACTGTTCGTGATAAATCAAGTAGATTTGAACTCTCTACCTATGAGGTGCCTGTAAAAATACAGATAACAAGCGGTGCAATAATTGTATTACCGCGTTCCGCGGGTAAAATACCAATTGTATTATAGCACTGCAAATTTCACCACATAAAATTAGTTCTGCCTGGAGCTAATTTAACCCGGCGGCCCATCGCTTTCCTAAGAAAAAGCCTTAAATGCTCTTCAAAATATCCCCTACATTCATCGCTTGAATCGCCTTGCTGCCATACTGACCAAGAAGAAGCCTCCTTCCATCCGGACTAAGTCCAAACTCCCTTGGAAACAAACCCGTGGGAATTCTGGGAAAGCCCTGGACACCTCCTAACGCCGCCTTGGTATTAACACCGGTCAGGCGCGTCGTCGCACCAGTGTGGTGAAACCTATTCGAATCGGCTGTAATAATACACTTCCCTCCATCACCGTTACCAAGACAGAGCCGACGGGCAAAGTACCGACTTGAACTTCAGCCAGCAGAGCATCAGATGGGCTGCAAACTAGTTTTGCCGCATCAAATGCAAGGAGCTCGTTGCTGTTTCGCGCCGTAACCCAGATGTGCTTTCCGCCCGGCGAGGCGAGTACTCGCACGGGCTAACTAGTTTATCTCTTAAAAACCTTAGCCGTTCCATTTGGGATACAGCTGCAGCTATTATTATTATCCATAGCCTGTCGGTGTGAGGTGATTTGTTTGCTTTCGAAATAACGCAGGAAGTTTACTTCTTATTGGCTTGTTTCCTTAGCTTTGAGGGTGCAAAACGCTTGGATATACCCTGAGTCTTTGATGCGCCGGCAGGCTTCCGTCTTGTTTGGCGCAAAGGCTTCACGGTCTGCTCAAATAAAGGCAATATAACTGGAGGGTTTTTAGCCTTGTCCTTGAGTCGTTGGCTCCTCCGGGGGGGGGGGGGGGGGGGAGCTAACTGGGTCTTCTTCAACTATTGCAATCTTCCGGTCAGGCAGTACAGCAATGGTGTTGGATGCGAATCCAGTGGCAGCATTTTGATCCACGTTCGATCTCTGCGGAGATACAGCCGCGGCTGGGTTTGACGGGAGGCTCGAACTTGATTTGTCCCTTATGCGAGATGAATCATGTTCCAGGTGATTCTCTGCAGCATCATGCTGTTCATTCTCTATGCTTTCAATCATTCGTGCATGTGGAGGCGCTGCTGCTGAAGAATTCCGTGGCTCAATAGTCCCCGCAATACCATTCTCCAACGGTGTCTGCATTTCCTGGCTATGTGATACATGGGCATCCACATGACCAAATCCGTATGTGGGTATTATCCTTGGCTCAAGTTGATTCTCGACAGATTGCGCATGGTCCGGCGAAGGATCACGGGTGGGCGGCATTACCAGAGGTCGTTCATATTTCCACGACATCCCAGGAAATTCACGCCATTCATCATCCCAGATGGCCCGTTTGACCCAGGCTCGTTGGACATTTTGGAAGGCCAATGCATTAATATCGAGATTCATGGTCACAGTATCTCTTGAATGGGTCTCGAGTTGTTTACTCTCTCTTCGCAGCTGGTAGAGGAACTGCTCGAACGGACGGGAGGCGTTTCTCTCTTTCTCACGGATGCCTCTCCTTATTTCTCGCCGCTCAGCGGCTTCCCAAATTTCTTGGTCGGGTTTATTTGGTCGTGGTCGTGGTCGCGGTCGCGGTCGTGGAGGATTCGAGCTGAAAGAAAATGGAGCAGCACAAGCCGGCGTCTCAGATTCGATTTCCGAATCAGAACACGAATCAGACTCGGGAGGCTCTTCGTGCTTCCAGTCATATTTAGGGATTTCACTCCAGTTGTCTCTCCATATGCCTTGTTCTACCCATCTCTCCTTGACTCTTTGATGACTCATGCTATCAGGACCGCGACCCGGGCCCACGTGCATGGGATCTAGACGTCCGCTGAGCATATTTTTTGTTGACTTCGTTCTCAACCTCCTTTCTCTCATCATTCCATTGGTCCATGAACTGGTGATAGGGACATGAAGCACATCGCTCATGCTGGAGCTTGAGCCTGAGCTCCGATCGTGTCAGTGGGGCTTGTGGTTCTTCGAAATCAGGAACCTCAAATTCTGTGGTGGCAGCGGACCGACAGGGCGATGTGTAGGGCGGGGGAGGTTGGTTAAAGCGCGCCATATCTCGGTTACGTGCGTCGGGGTCATTGGCGATTTCTTCAAGGGAAGAATTAAGCCAAGGGCCTCTTACTATGCGGTCCATGATAGGCTATTCGTGGCAGTATTGAACACTCGAAATGCGATGGGGGGAACGGAGTCCGTCTATTCGCCGCTGTATGCATGAGCGCTGTAACCCACATTGCTCCACAAGATGATACACACACATCTAGGCTGCCACACCCTTTTATGTAAGTTCTGTGTAATTGAGTGGAAATCGTGATATTTACTTATAAATTAAAGGCCCAAATTGAAGGTTGAAATTGAAGGTTGAAATTGAAGGCTGAAATTGAAGGCCCAAAATGAAGGTCAAAATTGAAGGCCCAAAATGAAGGTTGAAATTGAAGGCCTAAATTGAAGGTCGGAATTGAAGGTTGAAATTGAAGGTTACTGGGCGCGTGGAGGAAAATAACATATTTCCATTTTTTTGTGTGTAGAACACACCAAGGGGTGTGGGTTGTGGAGTCCCCGACCCCATTAGGTTAGTCGTATGCATTGTACAGCGCTCATGCATACAGCGGCGAATAGACGGACTCGGGGAACGACCCGTTTTGCAGATTGGAAAACGACGGTGGGTCAGATAATAATGGGTTTTCCGTGCCCAAGCCTAGCCACAGAACAAACAAAAGAATGGCATTATTAGCCATGATATTCGATTCTCACAAACAACTTGGGGCCACCAAGTTTCAAATGTTGTGGACAAACAACAGAATGGAGGGAAACAATGGAATGTCTGAAAGGAGGTCTGAAAGGGTCTGGTCCAAGGTGGGGAGCCTGATTCAGTTTCGTGGGTGTCTGGAGAGCTCGAAGCGGTCCATGGTAGGTACTAGCTTAGAGCGCCAACCAATCAAGCTGCATGTGGGTATACGGAGTAATGTGACTAAGAAACTGGCTGGGGGCATGGTCTTAGTAGTGACATGGCGGTTCGGCCCGGACGCCCCATCTGCCTCTCTTATAACGTGAATGTAGTGGAGAATGGCGGCTTCTTCATAGACAGCAGAGCCCGACTTATTAAATCTCCCCATTGTTCAGAAATAGTTTAAGAATACAGGTGTTGCGCAAATATGTGGTATTCTGCGCTTTCCATGGTTTCGTTGTTGGATATTGCTGTACACTCGCGCTCAGAAAATCGTTAGCTCTGCACAATTGCAAACACTTTTATGTAAATTGGTTGGTCTCGACTGCCTCAAGTTTGGTAACACAGGGCGCCACGTCCTTTATTCGTATTGGGTGAATGGGGCTGGCACTATGTACGTGCTGTGCACCACGTGTATGCCGGCACCAAAATCTGTTGGCTGCTGTACATTGCATTTCAGCAAAGTGGTTTGCTCGCGGCCTTTTAATTGTACCCTCATGCATTTGGGCACGAATAATTTCTCTAAAAATACCAATTAGAAAGAGTACATATTATTAGCTTACGCGTCTAGAGATGGTGGGATGGTATTAGCGAGTCCGGTGTAACGTGCAAAATTGGGCTAGGAGACAACTCTTCATTTTTTGCAGGCTGTAAGTATGAAAGGAGTACTGATGAAAAGAAACAGCCGTTACCGGCGGGAGTCTCCCACCGCCAAATGTCCCGAAGGCCCCGCTGCCCAAAGACTATTCGTATCTCCTTCTCGGACGGCCGCGATGATATGAATATTGAAACCGTCTTGACTCTTCCCTCCTCCTTGTCCACATTATTACCGTTGTGGTCCCACAGTGTCGGCTCCAAGGCCTAATAATCCGTACATGGTCATCATACGGGATCTTGCCTTCCTCGACGACTCTACTGTTGATGAGGGCGAGGTAGTCAGGGGCTTGCTGAAAGTTTCACAGCTTGGTTAGAAAAGATGTTAGTTCTGGGTTTCCGCGCGCTCTGACCTGCTCTTAGAGAATTACACCGTGCTCGAACCCCGTTCACGGCTCGTGCGCATGTTGGTGATTTAAGGTCCCGCGGACAGCTTCCATACGTAGGCGTCAGACGGGGAACTCGAGCGGGCTATTTTACTCCGTGTACGCACCGTCGGGTTCATATTCAGTTGTACGATGCTCAATAGCACTCTGGTAATACAGAACCATGCCATTGCACGGAAAGTCATAATTGCAATCCGGTTAGCATTAGCTCTGCCATTCGATTTGTTTACGAGGCTGCCCAAATAATGAGGTTGCTTGGATAGATCGACTTTACCTAGTATACTAAAATCTCGCTCATAGTCCGTGGTAGCCACCGCGGCCCCAGGCGGCTGAAATCGTAAACAGGCAGCTCTTGACCGCGAAATTGATAGAGCTCAGATCCTTGGCTGTTGGCGGCATAACCCAGAAGCGGATTAGTGCAGCGGTTACGTACAATCCTGGAAGAAGCCAAGCATCATATAATTCAATCGGGTGGTCTTCCGCTAGAACTTGGGCTTAACAAGACAAAAGGACTGGGCGAAATCCTGGCTTAGTCCAAGCGGCAGGGCATTCGCCGGAGAACAAGTACCACGCGTCATGTTGTACAATTGTTCTCATCTGAGCGTATCCCAAGCTGTGGTCTGTTACCACTTCTTGCCATGGATTCTAGACTCCGGACTAGGCAAGCATCGATGTGCAGCGAATGTTAGGTAGCCTCGTACACGACAGCTCACGGCCAATGGGCATGACCGGACTTTACGAGGCTGGCATACACTGTAGCGTGTCACTCACGGAAGGCGGACACTGGCCCGGACACAGACGCGTGAGGTCGCATGACTAGCGGGACGCGTCTATCCCACGCGTTGCATGTAGTACTCATTGACACTTCGTTTATGATGTTCGTTTACTACCGTGCTATATCATATTTTACCGGCCCCAGCATGCTCGCAAGGACATTAGATTGGTCTTAGCTCTTACATGCACTACGGAGTACTCTGTACGCTTGCTGAACAGGATCAGTAATATCCAACCGGCCTGTGAGGATAGATTGTGCATTAAACCCCGCACACCACTTCGGTGTATTCACTTTCCCATGTTGCCCAGCCTTTATTGGAACATCTGTTGGTATGTCGAAAGGCGTCTCAGTGTTTACGGGGACTTTAACAGGAGCTGCATTGGAGCCACATGTCCATGCAAATCTGCCCACTTCCGGAGCATCGACCAGGCTGCCCGTAATCCACCGAGCTCGGCGAAGACGCTCAGTTACGTCTAACAGGTAGGATATGGCTCTTTGGTATAAATGGAGGGCAGCATCTACCCAAAGACAGTCGCTTTACAGTAGTTCTTTAAGCTGCACCAGACACTTCCTTCACGCACTCCACGCATCCACTTTGGACTAGTACACATCCAGCCATGGTTCGTGAACAGTTCGTCAAAGTTCTGAGTTTTCTTCGCTAACTGGGTAGAAAGGCTGTCGATAACACTCAAAACGCGCTTGTGAACAAGTCCAAGAGCCTTTATGCGAAATGCCCAACTGTCAGTTGTATGGGGGCACAGGTGAAGAGGGGCGAGACCTGTAGCTGTGGATGGACGCGCCCGGAAAACGATGATTAAATCAAAGGCTACTAGTCTAGTAGTCCTCGTATGTAGTCAAGAATTTAGAGTACTATACTAGTCGATATTGAAATGACACTTGTGGGTTGGGAGACAAGTTTGTTGCGTATTTTGTGCCGTTACAATATTTTAGAGTCTTAGGCCATTCTGCCAAAAGTGGAGGCCTCACATAATTGCGAGGTTTAATTTGGTAGATCCTCTGTTTTCTCCTTTCAACATACAATTCGCGTCTGTGCTTCAAAACATTCCGCAACTGCGTCCGAGGCAAGTTGCTTGGGAAACGCTGCGACCGAAGTTTAGCCAGCTCACACCGAAATGTGATTTTTGTCCCTCGGTATTTTTCCCCAGATCTATTCACCAAAGTCAGCAACGAACGGTTCCCTCCAGCCACGGCTAGGCGAACCCGAAATTACGCTATATCAACGCTGAGTGCCAGCAAAAAAGACTTGGTTTGTCCTTTGTATCCTGCCAGCGTCTGTCCTCATGCCCAGTCCATCTTCGACATGAGTGGAAATCTATCGAACAATGGTGCCCCTGTGCTCAACTGGGCAAATACAGATATCGACAAGGAGGTTGCACTCGGTGCTGTTGACTGGGATGCTCTTCTACAATATGCCCAAGCGACTAGGCAGAAGATCGAGAAAAGCGAGGTTCCACTTACCTGCCAGCTCTCTGTTGAAAACAACAAAGGCGGTAGAAACCTAGTTCGACGTCTGCACTTCCAGGACGGCGCCTGCTGGCTCGTACGAATCCAATTAGACGACCCAACACCAGAGTCAATCCAACGCCTAGAGCAAGAAGTCCATACAATGTCGGTGGTCCGAGAGCGTTCAGAGATTCCCGTCCCCGAAGTGTATGCTTACGAGGCCAACTATGATAACGTCTTTGGTGCCCCATTTATGCTCATGGAGTTTTTACCCGGGGATACAATCATGGATTCATTTGGCGGCTACCAAGTTCACAAGGGCAAGATTCCCGAGAACTTTACACCAGATTTCCATGCTACATTGGCAGACATTCAGGTATGACATGATGCACCGTTCTTGGTGAAGTTATCTAACCCTCTGGACTCTAGGTACAAATGTCAGCTATACGCTTTCCCCAGATTGGAGGCATCGTCAAGGCTTCAAACGGAACCTATTGCGTAGGACCGCTCCCTGGGATCGGCGGTCCCTTCGATTCACCAGCGCAATTTTTGGAAGCCTGGGCTGACAACCTCAAGTTTCCTTACTCTGAAAAGACCATCCGTGAACGAACACCTCCACAGTTGTTCGATGAGATACTAGAGTCAATCCGATCATTCCCGTCCAAACTCAAGGAGCTGGCGAGGGAATATGGCTTCCGAACAGGCCCATTCCCCCTCTTCCACACTGATCTATACTGCAGCAACATCGTTCTTGCCTCTCAATATTACGTCATTGACTGGGAAGATTCATTTATTCTGCCATGGGAGATGGTAGAATTTGCCAAGAATCTATGCATGTTGCCGCCGGCTTTAGACGGACCGCTCTACCACGAAGACGAGACGGATCGTAAGCGGTTGGCGGAGCGCGAGAATTATATAAAGTTAGTTAGGGCGGCGGAGGAGTCTCGAGGACTTGACCATCATTTGTCTGCAACGCTTGCAAACTCTACTGTGCAGAATTTCGCACATGCTATGTGGCTGTATCGGATCGATGGAAGGATTGGGTTTTACAACGACGTCATCAACTCTGTGCTAGCTAGATGAGCCGCGTTGTTCTCACCAAACAAGGGAACTACAAATGGGCACTCTTGGAAAAGGGGCGCTGGTAATTCCTCTGCTTATAGCAACCGAGGACTTTCAATTTGTGTTATGCGTTAAGTATCAGAAAGGATATTAATTCCCTGATTGTCCAAATACAATTAGATGCAATTAATATAGTTGACAATTAACGACGAGACTCCACTCAGTTGCTAACGGACGGGTACTAAAATAAGACCGTACGTCAACCGAGGGCCCCACTTGGCTAAACTAAACTTGGTTAATCTCAATCTTATCGCAATGCAATCTCAAAAACGTTTCGCCAATTGCCCCTTTCTTTCCAACGCCGTGGCTCGGCCGTGTGTCCTTGTTCCTTCACACCAAGAACCCAAAACGGTGCCGTCAGCCAGGCACACATTCACTCGCTCTCACGCGGCAGCGCTTCAATCCATAATGGACGGCCCAATCACTGAAGCGCTCGGTGCGCACCACCCCTATTACCCCCTGGGCGTGGCCATCCCGACATACGTCGCCAACACCATGAACGCCGGTGTCTTGGTGTCCATCTTCGCCGCCGGCTGTGGCGTTATTTTCGTGCCCACCTATCTGTTTGCTGTGAAGACCAGGCCGGCCATTTCCTTTGGCGAGGTGCTCGTTGCATTCTGGTGGGTTCTTTGCGGCTCTATTCACCTGACGTTTGAAGGTAAGTTGTCGCTCATTCATTCATCCAACCCATCCACTTGACTCATTACACGCCTAGGCTACTTCTCCTACAATCACTTTGACATGGCCAGCAAAACCGACCTCTATGGTCAGCTTTGGAAGGAGTACTCCCTCTCCGACTCGCGCTACATGACCCAAGACCCCTTTGTTGTCTGCATGGAAACCGTCACCGCCTTCTTCTGGGGCCCTTTGTCCTTCTTCATCGCCTACGCCACCATCACGAACCACCCCTGGAGACACCCGCTCCAACTGCTCGTCAGCATGGGCCAGCTCTATGGTGATGTGCTGTACTACGTCATTTGCTGGTACAATGAGTATGTGAATGGGGTGGCCTACTCCCGTCCTGAGCGTTACTACTACTGGGCTTATTTTGTGCTGTGCAATGCCTTTTGGATTGTCATTCCGCTGGCTCTGATGGGATACAGTGCCAAGACCATTGCAAAAGTCTTTGAGAAGACCAAGGTTATGAATGGCTCTGCGAAGAAGCACCTGTAGATGAGAATGGGTCACTTTCTTTCCCCTGCTACATCATCTCATTGTCGTTGATGTAGGGCATTAGAGATGGACAGACGATAGATATATGAGGGTTGGCTTACAGCTCTCGCAATTTGAAGGAAAGGGGCGGAGAAAACCGCCGTGGTAATATAGATAGCTATGATAGATTACGAGGCTTGGAAAGAATGGCATTTGTATGTACTCATTCAGATCACATAGCTTACTGCTTGCACTGTTCAGACACTGGAAACTTCTTCCGCCGCTCTTGCTGCAAAGTCTATGCTCACTTTACCATAACATCTCCCCACAGAGGCAATTTCTGGCGAAGTCTTTTGGGCGTATGTAAAACCGCAGTACCGTTTCCACCGTCTTGGGCATCGGGAGCACGACTCCAGGCTCCCTAGCTTTCGAGCACAAGTAGAAATGGCAAGATACATGTACCAACCTCAGGCCAACAGATTATGCCAACACGTGAGCACTTACATAATATCCCTACCTGTAGGCACCGAAAAGTATCCGCGGGTCGTTACTCTACCAGCACGTTAGTCAGCGCGACGTAGCTTGGACTTCAAGATGGTCATCATCTCTAGAGTGAATCTGCGAGCTCTCTGGAGGCAAAGGCCAATAGGATTGTTTTCTCGCCCTCGTCAATCGTCAATGCCTTGCTCGAGATGGTCAAGTCACATGATAAATGAGCCTATTGACGAGGAGCTGCTACCAGGCGACCGTCTGAGATCCTTCCATCCTACCCGACCTGGTGAGATGCTCAATGGCAGGTTCAAGACAATCACAAAGCTTGGCTATGGGGTCGGCTCTCCCGTTTGGTTAGCAGAGAATATTGTGTTGTGAGCCTCGATACTACGCGCACCTGGTTGCTTCTTCTAATGTTTCATCTTAGCGAGAACTCGGCAGATAAATCGGCACCTCGCTACGTCGCTGTCAAGATCGCGGCCCTGGACCTAGACGCAGGCTGGGAGGCAGGGGTCTCAAAGTTCATAGCCAACGCTGAGCCGTCACATGTAGGACTAGACTTTATCCGAACACACATTGGCGAGTTCCAACTAACGGGCAAAAATGGGACGCACACTTGTCTCGTGTACACTCCCATGAGAGAAACTCTTTTCCAGCTTCAACACAGACTACGGGGCCAGAGACTTGCACCGCCTCTTGTCAACTTTTTTAATGTGTCTCCTTGAAGCTGTTGACTAGCTGCACACTAAATGTCGCCTCATTCATACAGGTAAATTGAGCTTAGTCCCTCTGAATACCATGAAGCTAACTATGGCCCGTCAGACATCAAGGTCGACAACATTATGATGACGATTGAAGGTGAAGCTGTCAAACATCAAATGAAGAGCCCCCAGCCGAAGCACATTCGAATCCAGGATGGCCGCGAAACTTACCTTTCGCAAGGCAACTTTGGGCCCTTGCAAGGCTCCAGACTGCTTCCAAAGCTCGCCGACTTCAACATCGCCTTTCCCGTACTAGCTAATGGCAACGGTCACCTTTCTGCAATCCAATCCCATCGTTTTCGTGCCCCCGAGGTTATTCTAGGCTGCCCATGGTCATACAGTGTCGAAATCTGGAATCTCGGCCTTCTAGTAAGCTGACATGTTCCCAGCCCTCAAGGAGGTACTGACATTTGTAGATGTGGAACCTCATGGAAGGTATTGGTCTGTTTGACAGGCCGGCTGGTGAAGATGGCGAGTACAACGCGCATGTTCACCTGGCCCAAATGGTATCCCTTTTAGGAGAACCTGATGAGGAGTGTATGAAGAGGGAGCGCTTCTTTCGTAATTATCGACTCGAGAAACCTGTCGTTAATTCGCGTGGCAAGGAGTGCAATGCCATGACTGAGTTCTGGGTCGGTCCATTCTTCAATGATGAGAGTAGGTCGGCCAACATTCATGAGCCATGACACAAAGACTTACTGCCATTTGCCGGTAGATGATATTGTTCGTACGGACCTTGTGGAAAGGAAGAGGCTGGAAGATACGGTAACAGAACTAGTTGGCCATGAGAAAGATGTATTCCTTGACTTTGCGTCTGGGATGCTCCAATAGATACCGGAAATCGCAAGACTGCCAGGGAGCTGCTTCAGCATCCTATCTTCCATTCTCTGAATGAAAGGCGTGCGCAGTAGAGAGAGTGATTCTTCACGGAGGCGATAACCCTGGTGCTAATTGCAGCGTATGGAAACACCGCGAAGGAATCGTGACAGACCCGTCAGAAAACCGTTCTGCTCACATCACCACTATGATTCAGGCTGTTTCACTTACAACCGTCTATTGTTTTCTGACCATAACCTCTACTATTTCCCGCCCATCGAAGGAGTATTCAAAGAAATATTCTTGTCTATTCATAGCTGCATCAGTGTTATCATATTTTCGGATGGCGCTTGCCAGGTGTGAGAGCATATGGCAATGTTTTTCTCTCTCCTTTTTTTACATCTCAGAGCCTAGGTCCGAGCATCATTTTGCAAACTAGCAGATTTGTAAAGAGCGGTATTGCGAAGATGAACCCTAAGCTCAACGAGCGGCGTTTGGGCAACTATGGGAATCACCTGCAGGCCATGATTTTGGCAGCCTGTTAGTCTCCTCTTCCTGGTTTATCGGCCCATACAGAAGACTGACGATACCCAGCCCGCATATCAAGAACTGATATGCTAGCATAGCTCAGCGTATTGGGCTTGACAGTACTTGGTGTGAAAAAAGTTTCAGTATATGAAGACTTGCAACTGTGCTCATATTGAATCTAAGAACTTGCTTTGACATTCAAGATCCTTGGTTTCTTCCAACGCCCTGTGGTGTTGCATGGAAGTCTCGTAACATTTCGACAAGGACCGATCCAATTTCCACCGTTTGATCAGACATTTTTCGAGTTTTTTTGCTCGCCATGGGTGACGGTGATGGGAAAGAGTTACCAACAGGAGGTGTGAACGCGGCCAAGGTCGTCATCCGCCAGCAGCACGACTTGGTGAGAGCGACCTGCCAGACTGAGGTACCGTCCAGCTTCTCACGTCAAAGACATATGTCAAGTGCGATTTGACAATGTATTGACCATGTGCGGATGAACGAGCAAGTCTAGCACATTTCAACACCAACAGCAACCGCACATCACTAGACGCATAAAAGGTGCCGTCAGCACAAGAGTGAGTATTTTACTAGCACTATAAGGCTGAGCATATTGTATCCCATTCATTTACTTGAGCATCTTCTCATAAATAGCCTCAAGATCCTTGGCAGGGTCTTCATTCTCCACCATTCCCAGCCAACTGCCCGCCGGCTTCTTGAACCCCAGCAAAGTCTGCATCTTGGGACTCATCTTCAGCACCTTGCTCCGGGGCACACACAAGAACTGGTTCTCCTCCGTCCGCAGAGTCCCCCGGCAAAAGACGAGATTTGTAATCTTGCGCACCTCGCCAGGAATAGTATTATATCCCGCGCCGTGAGCGAGGGTGCTAAGAAAAATAAACGCAGAGCCGCGCTCCATTTCTGCACACCACGCAGTTAGCCCCGAGAAATAAAGTCGACTTGTAAAACAGAGCCTTACCAAGGAAGGAAACTTCGTCGGGCCTGCCGCGTCTATCGTGCTCCCACTTGTGGGAACCGAGAATGACCATTGTGCCGCCGTTTTCGCGCGTGATCCTGGTCCCGGCGAGGAAGCAGCTGAAGCCGTCTACTTCGTTAATCTTCATATTGGGGCGATGCTTGCTGGAGAAGATCATGTCGTCTCTGTGTAGGGCCTGGCGCGGAGAGCCGTGGCCGACGTGGAAGCCCATGCAGATACTTAGCAACGGGTCCACGACGAGCTCTTCGGTGTGCTGCTCGAAAACGGCGGGGTACCTCTCCTCTAGAATTACCTTGAGCAGCTTGTCTATGGTTTCATTCGTGTCGAGAATGTTGGCAATGGTGTCTGACTTGCCGACTAGGCCGGGAATGACGAGCGTCTTTTTGCCTATAAAGTTGTTGTAGGAGTCATCATCGACAATGGACGACTTTGTGTAGGGCTCAAGCTCTTGGTCAATCTTGTCCAACTCCTGTAGGGAAACGAAATCGGTCAGAATGACACCGCCGTCTCGCTCGAGGATAGCGAGAATGTCTTCCAGGGAAGATGTTGCGGGAATCTTGGTGATGGCCTTGGCGGGCTGATACGAGTCCGGAATGGGAGCCAATAGACGTGGAGCAGAGTATTTCTCGTCGGGTTTCTCCACCTCGACTTGTTTCTGCGCCGACTGTGCGTCCGAATTGATCATGGCTGGGGAGGCTTAAGGGAAGCGTGGTGTTTGAGGATGGGCTGGTGAAGTTGGCAATGGAGGACAAGTAGTGCCGTGACACTCAAAAGAATAGACGCACAGTTGTTCAACGAGCCTGCGGCAACATGAACATGTCCAACAACAGAGCTTAGACGGGTGTGTTTTAAGGGCGATAAGCTATCCTGGCTCTTGATTGAATGGGCCTCGATGACCAAGACGCGGCAGTGTTGAAAGGGGAAGAAAACCATCGGATGCCGCATGTATACACATGTGATAGGCCACACCGTTTGGTCAGCGCGGCTCCGCATGCGAATGGGGAACGCAAAGATATCATTATTCATAACATGGGCTGAATGTATGCTGAATGCGACAACTGACGCTATTGCATGCGCATGAACGGGCTCGACCGAGTTCGTCGGCAGATGTAACATGACGACCTGCTGAGCCCGAGTGGGTGCCTCCGACCTTTCTCGCCATGGCCGGGGCAGGGCGTCCGCCGTAGATGCGGTAGACCATGTTCGGTATTCATCTCTGCCATGCTATAGCAGCGTGATGAAGGGCACTCCCCGTGTGCCGCGCGGCAAAGGCCTTCTCAGACACTCCAGGGTGTGACAAGATAACATGACCAGGCCCTTATGCACTCACCAGTGGACCCTGATGCCTCCAACGCCCCCAGGCCGTCGATAAATAAACTTTGGGTGCTGAGCTGAAACCATGGGAGCAGACCAGACTCTTGTTCAGATTCCCTTCCCCATTTGGCGGGATGCATGCGGCGGCGAAACGGCACGGCTGGCGGAAGGGTAGCCACGTCAAACGTGTGAGAGATGACCGACAGAGGTTGCGGGCATATGCATACGGGGTCTGGACCAGATGATGAATGAGATCTGCACTCATGCAGTTCGTGACGTGTCATCTGTGACACATATAATTGCATGCATTAGCGTCGCCACTGCGGCACGGGACGGCAGGGGACCAGGCACGATGTATGCACGTTGCATCGCATATAATTAGTTTTACGGAGCGCTCCATCTACCGGGATACCTTGACTTGGGCTATTCCTGAAACGAAGAATAGGGTTGTCGTACTAATATGCGTTGATCCAGCTTAGCATCAACACCTAGTATGCTGAAATCACGCGAGGCGATCCGGCTTGGTGATGCCGCGTCTGCCGCATCGGTGGCTTCATGCGCGGCCGCAAAGAGTCTCCGGTCGAGGACTGTTCCATTGTGTTCAAGCCCATGTCCCTTTTGGCACCTTCTGCAAGTCGGAAGCACAGTGGAATATCTATAAGAGTACATGAATTATACTTTATTTCCTCATCACGACATGCCAGATGCTTCCTATATCCCCATGTTGACAAAAGTATCACGTTAGTTGCCGCGGGGTCTTGTCAAGTTTAAGGTTTGACATTATTCATAATAATTCCATTCTGCATACAGCCAGTCAGCCAAGACGGGTTTGCAAGGAATACCATCTCCTTCCACATCTAGCAAAGCCGTTGATACAGGAACCCCTTTTGCCCTTACTGCATGTGTGCCACGGTGGTAGTCGAGCATGTGGTGTAGGAAAGCCCGTTCCGCTCCTGTTTATACTCGTTGCGCCGACTATCGTCGTCCAATGCGTGGCAGGACGCCGAAACCTTGCCATCAACCCCCATCGTATGAGCGCTCATCTTCTCATTCATCCCTGAACTCGTTGTACAACTCAAGATGAGTGGCATCTCAGATCACGACTACCAAGTCCTGGTCAACGAGTTCAACGCCACTGACGATATCTCGCTGCTAGGTAGTCGGCTGGACCAGCTGTTTGAACAAGTGGCGGATCGCTTTCCAGACAACACAGCCGTGATTCACAACGAGAATGAGGTGACCTTTAAACAACTCAATAGCTCTGCAAATATCCTCGCGCGATGTCTCGCAAAGCGAGGCCTACAACAGGGCGATGTAGTCGGCCTAGCCGTCTCGCGCTCCATCGACCTCATTGCTGCCATGCTGGCTGTGCTCAAGCTAGGCGCCGCCTATGTTCCCATCGACCCGTCATTCCCCGCCGAGCGCATCAACCAAATGGTTGAAGATGCCGGGCTCAGACTTATTCTGCTCAGCGGCAGGCCAACCAAGGGCCTTGGGCGTTGGGCAGATCTATGCTTGAGCGTGTCCGAGGCAAGAGATGGCTCAGTCACGGATGGTACCAACCTCGAAACCGAAATCCAAAAGCGGGACTTGGCATATGTAATTTATACATCTGGCTCGACTGGGCGCCCCAAAGGCGTCGAGATTAGCCACGGAGCCGCCGCCAACTTTCTGAGCTCGCTGCGCAAGCATGAGCCTGGTTGCAGCGAGCGTGATCGCCTTCTTGCCATCACCACTATATCCTTTGACATGTCGGCCCTGGAGCTATTATTGCCACTTGTGTCTGGGTCCGCAATGGTTATCGCGAATACAAGTGCGGTCAAGGATCCGCGCGAGCTTATCAGCTTAATGGCACGCCACAAGGTCACTATTCTGCAAGCGACGCCCGCAACGTGGACGATGCTTCTAGAGTCTGGCTGGAAGGGAAATCCGCGACTATCCAAAGTCATTTGCGGCGGGGAGCCGCTCTCTCGCCAGCTTGCAGACCGCCTGCTCGACGCTGCCGATTCCGTATGGAATGTATATGGACCGTCCGAGACGACCTACGGAAGCGTGGGCAGAGTCGGGCAGGGCGACATCGTCGTCGGCAATCCCGTCGCCAACGGTAGGATATATGTCCTCGACGACAACATGTCGCCCGTGCCTATAGGATCCGAGGGCGAAGTGTACATTGGCGGCGGCAGCGTGTCCAACGGGTACCGGAACAAAGCTGAGCTCACACGCTCCCGGTTCCTCGTCAATCCCTTTCATGGCGGCGTATTCTTCCGCACCGGCGACCTGGCTCGCTTCATAGCGCCGGGAAAGCTCCAAGTCGTAGGCCGCATAGATGGGGTGGTCAAGATCCGCGGCCACCGCATCGACGTGGGCGACATAGAGGCCGTCTTGGTCGATCACGCCAATGTGTCCGAGGCGGTGGTTGTCAGTCGCGATGATCGTCTGGTGGCGTATTGTGTGCTTCATGCGCCTTGTCACGATGCAGCCTCCCTAGACGGCATTCTACGCCCGTGGGTTGCCGAGCGCCTCCCGGCATACATGCTGCCGACGTTTTTTGTACAAATGGATGCGTTGCCGCTGTCTCCCAGCGAAAAGGTCAACAGGAAGGCGCTCCCTGATCCGATAGAGGCGATGCAGCATCAAACCATGATACAGCCAACCTCTGAGCTGGAGCAGCGGATACAGGCTATTTGGTCGGATATTCTTGGCCACGATCGCTTTGGGACAGAAGACAACTTCTTTCGAATCGGCGGGGATTCTGTGCGCATAATTCGCATGCAGGCGGCGTTGGAGAAGCAGCTGCACCGGCCGGTACCAACACCAAAATTATTTGAGCACTACACGATCAAGACACTGGCTGCCTATCTTGCCGGCGCTGGCAGAGAAAACAATAACGAGTCACAAGCAGTCAGTCAGACGTTTGCTGGCAGTCATGAGGACATTGCCATAGTCTCCATGGCCTGCCGATTACCCGGTGGTGTGGCTACGCCAGAGGCTCTCTGGCAGCTACTCCAAAGCGGCGGCGACACGATTATCGATGTGCCCAAGGATCGTTGGGATGCAGATAAACTATATAATGTCGACGCTAACATTGACGGCACGTCGTATTGCCGCCGAGGCGGCTTCCTCGACGAAATATATTCATACGACGCGTCCTTCTTCGGCATATCGCCCCGCGAGGCACAGGCAATGGACCCAACGCACAACCTCATGATGGAACTGTGCTGGGAAGGTTTTGAACGAGCCGGCTACACACGGGACCAGCTCAGCGGTAGCGCAACCGGAGTCTTCCTCGGCGTCAGCAACAACGCCACGACAAACGGTACACCGCCAGACCTCGAGGGATACTCCATCACAGGAAGCGCCAGCGCCACCATGTGCGGCCGTCTGTCGTACACCCTCGGCCTCCGGGGGCCATCTCTCGTTGTAGACACGGCGTGCTCATCGTCCCTTGTCGCCACGCACCTGGCGTGCAACGCCTTGCGCCAAGGCGAGTGCAGCATGGCCTTGGCCGGCGGCGTGAGCCTTCTCACCACCCCGGGCATTCACATTGAGTTTAGCAAACTCGGCGGGCTTTCGGCAGACGGTCGCTGCCGCGCCTTCTCCGATGACACGGACGGCACGGGATTCAGCGAGGGCGCGGCGATTGTAGTTCTGAAGCGCCTGTCCGATGCCCGCCGGGACGGCGATGACATCCACGCCGTGCTTCGTGGGACCGCCGTGATGCACGGGGGCTCCAGCGCCGGTCTGACGGCTCCCAGTGGCCCTGGCCAGGTAGCTCTTCTTCGGAATGCCTTGGCCCGGGCGGCACTGGAGCCAGGGGACATTGACTACGTCGAGGCGCACGGCACGGCTACCAAGCTGGGCGACCCTATTGAAGCGACTGCGCTGGCCGAGGTCTTTGGTACGGAGCGCTCCGGCTCGGATCCTCTGAGAATAGGCTCGGCCAAGTCCAACCTTGGGCATACTCAAGCCGCGGCCGGGGTGGTCGGCTTATTAAAGGTCGTCTTGTCCATGAAACATGACACCCTCCCGAGAACATTGCATGTGCGGGAGCCCATGGCAGCAGTCGACTGGAAGCGCGCCAACATGGAATTGGTGCTGGCAAATCGACCATGGCTGCCAAATAACAACCGACTACGCCGGGCGGGTGTGAGTGCGTTTGGTATTGGTGGCACAAACGCCCACGTCATTGTTGAAGAGTCGCCTACTCCCGCCGTAGAAGAGACTAGCAACATTGCGCCGCCGTCGCTCCCGGCTACTATCCCGTTTGTTTTGTCGGGGCAAGGTGATTCCGCTCTCAGGGCACAGGCGGAGAGGCTCCGACTGCACATCGAGAGCGGCGCCGGAAAGGACAGCCGCCTGCGTGATGTGGCCTACTCGCTTGCCACATGCCGCTCACACCTTCACCGGCGATTGGTAGTGATGGCTGGAGACAAGGCAGAGACTCTGGAGAAACTTGCATCTGTAAGCTCAGGTCCTACCCAACCCCTGAGTGTGAACGAGGTCGGGAGTCCAACAGTAGCAATGCTCTTCACGGGGCAAGGAAGTCAATTGCCAGGAATGGGCAAAGATCTGTATGCTGTCTATCCCGTTTTTCGGGATGCACTCGACGAAATTGCCACAAAATTCACAGATTTGGAGCGGCCCCTTCTCGACATCATGTGGGCCGAATCGGGAAGCGAGAATGCTGCCCTGCTGAGCCGTACAGATTTTGCCCAGCCCGCCCTGTTTGCCCTGGAAGTTTCCCTCTGGAAGCTGTGGCAGAGCTGGGGCGTGAAGCCCGACTTTTTGCTCGGCCACAGCGTGGGGGAGCTTGCCGCCGCTCATGCAGCAGGAGTGTTGGACTTGTCGGATGCTTGCCGGCTTGTCATGATGCGCGGTCGTCTGATGCAGGCTATCCCTCGCCAGGGCAAGATGGCATCAGTGGAAGCTAGCAGCGCCGAGGTCAGCGCCGCGATTCAAGAACTAGGACAGCATGACAAGGTGGAAATCGCAGGCTACAACACGCCCTTGCAGACGGTTATATCAGGAGACGTGGAGGCTGTTGAGGCCATCTTCGACCATATGCAAAGTTTAGGACGCAAGACAAAGCTGCTTGATACGAGCCACGCCTTCCACTCGTTCCACATGGACGGTATGCTGGATGACTTGAGGGCCTTGGCCCAAAATATCCGGTTCAGCCCACCCAAGATGCGCATAATTAGCAGCATGACTGGTCGATTAGCCGGGTCAGATGAGCTTGAACGGGCCGAGTATTGGGTTCAGCAGGCTCGCAATGCTGTCCGGTTCAGCGACGCCTTCCAAACGCTGGCCGGCCAGGGCGCAAATGTCTTTCTGGAACTTGGACCCAGTGCAATGCTTTGCGGCTTGGGCGCGGCATGCCTCGCCGATCCTGGTCAAGTCGGCGCTGCCCTCTGGCTGCCCTCTTTAAAGCCAAACGCGGATGGGCCGTCGGTCATCCAAAGCAGTCTCGGCGAGCTACACGTCCGACATGTGCCGGTGGATTGGGCTGCATATTTCAAGCCTTTTGGCTGCAAAAGAGTCATGCTGCCCACATATGCCTTTCAGCGGGAGGATTTCCGGCCCGCAAACAAAGCCATTTGGTTTGATGTCGTGTCACCCAGCACTGGGACCGATGCCGCGCCGAGAGTGCAAGACATGATGTTTGAAATCAACTGGCGTCGCGTCGAAACTAAAAGCATCCAGCCCCGCGGTGCGTGGGGCCTTCTCTGCCCGTCGGGAGAGACTGCGTGGACAACAGAGGCACAAAGGGCCTTGTTAGCCACGGGTATGCAGTTGGTGGCAGTGAGCGAGCCTCATGAGGCCGACCAGCTCGACGGCTTGCTGACTCTGTGGGACTCTGACGCCGACACTGTCCAGATGGCACACAGGGTCACTGCAGTAGCGCTGGCTCAGTTGCAAGAGGCGATCCGAACTGGCCTTGGCGCGCCCATAGTATGGGTCACCCGGCATGCCGTGGGTGCTGGAGCCGACGACCGGCCCGTCAATATCGGCGCCGGGCCGTTGTGGGGCCTCATGCGCGCCGCTCGGAGTGAGCATCCGGAGCTGCGGCTGCGATTGATCGACGTCGATGAGGAGACGGACCGCGCCTCCCTCAGCCAAGCGCTGATGCTGGCCGATCAGACAGAGATTGCTGTCCGCAGAGAACAGCTGCTAACGCCCCATATGGAGCGCGCTGGCCCGGCCGCACCATTGCCAGTCGGACAACCATTCGTTCGAACCGACGGCGCTGTGTTGGTCACGGGCGGCCTGGGTGATCTCGGAAGCCGCGTAGCCCGTAGACTGGCCACCGCCCATGGGGTTCGTGACCTTGTTCTGGTGTCGCGGCAGGGGACGAATTCCCCCGGTGCCGACGCACTCGTCGCCGAGCTGGCTGAACTGGGTGCCACAGCCACCATAGTTGGCTGCGACTTGGCAGACCTTGACAGTGTCGGATCAGTTGTGCAGTTATTTACACCGGATCGGCCTTTACGCGGTGTAGTTCACGCTGCCGGGGTTGTTGACTCGGGCATTCTGTCATCCTTGACTGCTCGCAAGTGTGCCGCGGTTTTCGCGCCAAAAGTCGACGGCCTATGGAATCTGCACCAACTGACCAAGCACATGGACTTAGACCTGTTCATGATGTTCTCCTCCATATCTGCTATCATCGGCCTACCGGGCCTAGGCAACTATGCCGCCGCCAACTCCTTCATCGACTCGCTCGCACACCTGCGACGAGCGCAGGGCCTGCCAGCCAGCTCTGTGGCCTACGGCACGTGGGCTGGAGACGGCATGGCGACGACTCTCGTCCCAACTACCCGCGCCCATCTCGCGCAGCTCGGACTGGGTTTCCTCCCGCCGGAAGCCGGATTAGAGATTTTCGAGCAAGCCGTGTATCAAGGCCGCGCGCTGACGGTAGCGGCGGTCCTTGATTTACAGCGTCTCGGGGCCTATTACGAAGAGCAAGGCGGTGTCCCCCCCTTGTTGCACTCGATGCTGGGCGGAACAAAGGTCCAGAAGCCGGCTGATGAGGTCGTCAACTTGCGCGACTTGTTGGCAGACGCTTCTCCGGAAAAGTATGGCAGCATCGTGTTGCACATGGTCCAAGAAACAATTGCCAAGGCATTAGGGTACACGAGGACCGAGGACGTCGACGCCAGTCGACCCATGCACGAATTGGGGATTGACTCTCTGACAGCAATTCTGACTCGCAACCATCTGGCGACATTAACGGGAATGGCATTGCCACCCAACATTGCCCTGCTCTACCCCAATCTCAAGTCGCTCAGCGAGTTCCTGTTGTGCCGGTTGCTGGACGATGTCGAGGGCAGCACGTCCAGTCCATCAGATACCGATGGCGCAACACCAAGCACGCCAACGTCGGCCGCTTCTTGCGTCGACATGGCAGACATCCGAAGGGGCGTTCTTGATTCCACATTCCAGTTCAACAACCCTGTTTCTCCTGGTGTCCCCGAGACCGTGTTCGTGACTGGCGCAACCGGCTTCGTCGGCGCCTTCATGATACACGAGTTTCTTCAAAGACGCATATCAGTGTACTGCCTCGTGCGTGCCAGCGGCTCTCAAGAGGCGCAGCAACGCATGATTGCCACGCTAAAGCAATACGGCCTCTGGCGGCCCGAGTACGAGCCGCTGCTTGTCTCGGTGGCCGGCGATCTCTCCCAGCCCCTACTGGGCCTCGGCGAGGTCGTCTTCGACGACTTGGCGAGCCGCGTCGACGCCATTCTCCATTCAGGCGCTCTTGTAGACTGGATGCGCCCGCTGGACGACTACATTGGCCCCAACGTCCTCGGCACGCACGAGGTCCTGCGTCTGGCGTCTTGCGGCCGTGCCAAGGCCATCCATTTCATATCCACCATTTCCACGCTGCCCATCCATGCGGGCTACGGCCTTGCAGAGCACGACGGCGAGTACGGCTACGGCACGTCCAAGTACCTTGCTGAAAAAATGGTTGTGGCCGCTCGTTTCCGCGGCGCAAAGGCATCGTCCTATCGGTTGCCGTTTGTGGCTGCCTCGGCTGCCAGTGGCCGCTTTAGACTTGATCGTGGCGACTTTTTGAATAATCTCGTTACGGGAAGTCTGGACCTGGGCGCTTTTCCCTTGATCAATGCCGACTTGTCCTCTGTGCTGCCGGTCGACTATCTGTGCGGGACGATTGCTGCCATCATGACCGAGGACCAGGAGCGAGTAGGCGAGGACTATGACTTTGTTAACCCGCAGGCACCTACATTCAAGCACTTCTTTGAAATGATTTGCGCTGTAGGCGGTGGCAAAGAGACGGTTTCCTTTGGTGAGTGGCACCGCCGCGCGCTCGAGTATGCGGCCGCCCACCCGACAAGTTCGCTGGCCCGTATTGCTACTGTTCTTGATGGCTACAATGATAAAACTGTAGGTAGCTTGGTGAGTGGGAGTCCGGTCGGTAAGCATGTATTAGGACTGGATGCGTATCGGGCCCCGCCGTTGGATGAGGAATACGTCCGCAGGTATGTGCATTGCATTGAGGCGGCAAGGGCTAAAATGCGTTCGTGAGGAGGCGTTGGAATGTACATTACACGATGGATTATGGTAGATGGTATACGTCGTTTGTGTAAATCGCACGTAATGGATTCGCTGCTTGTGCGTTGTTGGTCTCATTCTGTTCCCAACCCTGGGGTGAGCTGACCTGTCGAGTCTATTTTATATTACGTTCTAAGCAGGTTGTTTAAATTCCTGTATCGTTTTTTTATTCTTTCCATTTCACTAGTTATGCCTGGATGCACTATTCGATATTCAAGCTAAGTCTCACCATTTTGTTCATCAGACAATTGTTGTGGAATTATACGTTGTTTGGGCAGTTTTCATCACTGTATAGTATAATTATAGTGTGAAAACAAGGGTTTTCAGCTCGATTGATAAATAGAAAATTTGCCATGGCAGCTTTTGGTGATTTTTAGCCTTGATACAATGCCTTATTTACATTACAGTATCGAGTCCGGATGCTCGTCAACCTGGGAGAGTCCGTCTCGCAAACTTCGAAAAGAAACACCAGGAAAGTACTTTTCCCTATGAGCTTCAACCTTATCCGTGGGAATTGCGCATGCTTGGCTGATAGACAACAGGTAATAGTCAGCCAGGACCTCGGTATTCTCATCCTTCGCCGTCTTAATCATGCCTGCAACACTATGCAACGAAACATGTTGTATCGGAATACCAGGTCGATACTTTTGCACGGCGAGCCTGGTAGCTTTATTCCAGCAGCTGCGCTCCCCCGACATGAAGGTATACGGCTCCCATGAACCGCGCGGTGCCTCAATGAGGGATACTAGCCCTCTCACAACATCGCGCGCCCATGTGAAATCCACAGGCTCATTCCCTGTCCCCGGGATTACAATCTTGTTCCCGGCCCAGTTCATGGGATGGAACTCGCCAATCTCTTTAATGTGTCGATTCTTCGACGGCACAAAGTAGTCACTGAGCCAGCCGATGCAAACCAATGTCCACTCGAGATCCGTCTGGCCCCGGAGCATCTCACGTATCGGCTCGTGAGGTGCATAGTAGAAGCCGGGCTCATCTGGATACGCCTCGATATCGGCTACAAACTCGGCGGGAATGAAGCGCTTGCACCGGGGGCTCTCTTGGCAGGCCAGGATGAGGTTTCTGTGGACATTGGTATAGGCCGACGAAATATCTGAAATTGTCGATATCAAGACTTCGCAATCGGCCAGAGGAGCTCTCAGAGACGACGGGGAATAGTCGGTAATAGCCTGAGCCACTCCTTGGCTCTCGAGTTGAGGTTTGTAGCTTCGGGTCAGGATAACGAGCACATGGCCGGCTTTGACAAACTCTTCGCAGATGTAGCGAGTCAGGTCGCCGTAGCCAGCAATTGCCACACGCATTGCTGGGAAGGAGAGCAAAGTTGCGCCTCAAAGACAGCGATGAGACGTCGGGCAGAGGTGTGAGGTGTCCCCAAAACTACGTAGGCACTTTCTCGGCGTACAGCAAAGCGAATAAGACCAGTCCCGCGAATACAGTCCACTAGACTTGATCAGACAACAACTTTCGAGTCTCGACTCTCCCGGGTGCGCTGAGCACGAACCGCGCCTGCATCGAAGCGCGGCTGGTAGTCCGTTGAGTCCGTTGTGCATGAACTACTGTTTCTAGCCGTGGGCAGCTCGTACGGATCTGAAGCCGGCATATACAAGTGTAGTAACCCGTCTTTGACGATGCTAGAGACGCAGGAAGCACGACATGGTTGCTTGCGGTGCGCCGTATCCTGGCCGCAGGGAGTCTCCATCACAAGCATTCTGCATTATGGACATTGCAGCTTACCATCCGCGTTCCACTATGCAATGCAATGCTTGCTCCTGCACAAGTGGGCTGGCCCAGAGACACCTGCCGAATTGTACAATAACTGCATAACTTTGCGATTTGTAATTGTTGACCAGTCTGGCGAGAGACTTGTCCCTGCAGCCAAGATTCCCCGTGGGCAACCGATCCAGTCACTGCATGCAGTCTCTTGCTTATCGCGCCCTTTGGCGGACACATGCAGAGGGATTAGACTATGCAGTATAGTATTTACTACTGGGTAACTGCCTAGGTAGTTAAGCTGAGAAATACTTGGCAACCGGGTCGGCGTATATCACGAAACTAGCTCAAGTGCCACCACGACTTGGGCAACTTGCGTGCTTCCAAAACCTTGCACTATTGCAAAAGTATTCGCTCATCATCTTCCTCGCCTCTACAATGGTCGTCGTTGCCGTTGCCGGCGGCACAGGCGGCGTCGGGCGCACCGTGCTGGATGCCATTGCAAAATCAGGCCAACACCAAGCCATTGTGCTTTCAAGAACAGTAAGCCTCCCGGTGCCGTCCTGTTCATGTAGCAAGGAAACTCACACTTTTCAGACTTCAATTTCTACCGCAGTCGACGAACCGGAACGTTTTGCGGTAGATTACAACAGTGTGGAGCAGATGAAACAGATTCTGCAAGAGAATAATGTTCAAGTCGTTGTGTCAGCCTTGCTTCTCGTTGATGAAGCCGTTGCTCAAGCGCAGATCAACCTGATCCGGGCCGCGGCTCAATCAGGCACCGTAACCAAATTCATTCCTAGCGAGTACTATATCGATTTCCATGCCCCAATCCCGTACGTTTCCCTCCAGTCAGCCCGTCAAGACAGCAGTGCTCACTCTTTCCAACAGCGGCGCTGACCTGTTTACCAACTTTCAACTCGAGGCCGAAGCTGAGCTCGCGCGCCATGCGCAGTTGACGTGGACGCTTATCAGGGTCGGCATCTTCCTTGATCACTTGACGATGCCGCATAACCCCAAGACAACCTACATTACTCCATTCTGGGTATTTGTCGACATTGACCACGAGCAATGCGTCTTTCCGGGCGACGGGTCACAGCCTCTTGTGCTCACGCACTCGCAAGACCTCGCGGCATACATTGAGCGTCTAGTAGGTCTGCCGGCTGAGAATTGGCCGCGTGAATCTGTCGTCGCGTCAAACAAGCTTCTGGTAAAAGACCTCGAGTCGCTTGTGAACAAGGTCACAGGTATATAGCCAGTATCTAGAAAGCACATATCCACGCTGCTGACATGTTTGCCAGGGAAAAAATTCAAAGTCGCATACGACTCGGTGGAAGACATTCACAAGGGTCACATCACACAACTGCCTTCTAACACGGCCGTGTTTCAGGATCCGGCCAAGGGGGAAATGTTTCGCGACGTCGAGCGCCAAGTCATGCTTTCCATGTTGAGCAGAGCGCACGACTTGCCCGGTAAGAACCTCGCTGAGCTTTTTCCAGAGGTGGAAACGACGGATATTGAAGACTTTTTCAGGGCGGGCTGGACACTCAAGCAGAGCAGAGCACCGTAGTTAGGTCACTGGCAGCAGGGGGTCTGCATAGATATGCCTGGTAGCCAAGGAGTCGAGCAGATTGCTCCAAATTGCTGAATGTAAAAAACATTTATTTAATGGGGTAGGGCAGGAATCGAGTCAAGTAGTTGCCATGTTGGGAACTCTCATCACAAAGCAGTTTAGAATGACTTGTTTGACAAAGTCGCCGGAACATGCAATCCGTGGCTGAATACCAACTTATCGGGCGTGCTACAGCTCTTCTCTCTAAATCTCCATAACCCTATAATTCTTCTTAGCGTAGAGAATCCAAAGCGCAGCAATAAACGTGGCAATGACGACCAAAACGCCCGAAACATAATTCATCTGGCTCGGACGTACCTGTGCATTCGCAGGAAAGCAATAAAAGATGAAAGCCACCACCGTCCACGCCAGCATTATGAAATTAGCAACGAGACCCAACTTGGGATACCAAAACTGGCCGTGCCGAAAGTTGCCCCTGCCCTGCCACAAAACCAGTACAGTAGGGATACTATAGCTAATATACTGGAGCAGAATACCCGTTGCGATGAGCGAGTTAAAGGCCAGCTCAGACGCAAGATACAAACAACCAAACAGGGCCGTGCCAACGGCAGAACCCACCAGCGACCAGATGGGCGTGTAAAAGGGCGCCGGGAAGATCTTGCTAAAGTGCCGGTGCAGCGGGAACCCAGACTCGCGGCTGATTGTCCACGCCAGCCGAGACTGCCACGTCTGGATGGACCATACGGACGCCAGGACAAGAATAAGAACGGGGATCCAGAGGCCAATAGCAGCCGCCTTGCTGCCCGTGATGCGGTAGAAGATGCCGATCCCCGAGTAGTCGCTCACATCCACAGGACCCAGGTTCACAAGAACCGCCAAGACGACCAAGAGGCCGCTGGTGGATGCTATAAAGATGGTCCAGAGCAGGGCTTTGGGGATATTTGTCCCGGGGGAGGGAATCTCCTCAGCCAGGTGTGTAGCAACGTCAAGGCACGAGAAGCACCAGTTCGCTCCGTTCAGACCAATAATAAAAGCCACGCCATCCGGCCACCCGGAGGTATTCACAGTGGTGAAAAAGTCCTTGGCGCTCGTGCGGGCGTCGGCCATGGCGAACAGCGCCACGATGATGACGCCCACGGAGACGATGTTGAACAGCAAAAACGCCTTGGACAGCTTGGGCAGCGCGTGCTCGAAGCAGGCGCCAAAGCAGGTGACTACGTTGATGGCCTGAAAGGCCGCGAACCCCATCCACCGGCGGTAGATGAAATCCGGCTGGAGAAGCGTCACGATGGAGAAGGCGTTTAGGGGAACGGACAGGTTGCCCGAGGAGCCGGTGGCCACGGCGGCGACCCAGCTAATCATGGCCGTGGTGTAGGACAGGCCGCGGCGGTATCTCTTGGGCGCCAGGGCGTTGACCCAGATGTACTGGCCGCCGGGGTGAGGCATCGCGGAGACGAGCTCGGCGAGGGTGGTGGCCGTGGCGAGGCCGACGGCTGCCATGGCGAGGCCGACGGCTGCCATGGCGGTGCTGAGGATGAGCGGGATGCCGACGGCCGTGTTGGTGACGCCGTAGCCGATGCCGATGGCGGAGAGGGTGGTGAATGGCTTTTGCGTCTGGATGGGGACGTTGTCCTCGCGGATCAAATGGGCGGCGTGTTCGTCGACTGGCTTGGCAGCATGTTGGGGTGGCATTGTGCCCAGTTTGGCCATGATGGGTGGTTGTGACGGTTCGCGCGTCATGCTGGGCATGCGAGGACAATGGCGGAATTGTCTCTGGTTGCTGGATCCATTGATGGGTAGGTTTGGGTCTTGGGTTTTGATGCTGAGGGCGAGACATGTTCTGAGGACAAGTTCTGGGGGACATGAGTTTGTGCGACCGAACAATGGCAGAGTGAGACAGAGTGAGACAGACGTGCGTTGTATAACCGTTTGCAAATCCTATTCCGTGGTACATGCCAGTTGAACCATGTAGACTTTTTAAAATCCGCCACTCAGCCTTCCCCGCACCGCCATGTATTGCAAACGTCGGATTGGGAAAGACATGATGGCTCTGTCTGTCAGCTTCAGCTCCTGGCTGGAACTTGTAGTAAAGGGATGGGAAACAACGAGCCTGTTGGCTACGTTTATACCCCGTGCTATATCCGAGAACAATGATTCATAGTTAGATTCTTCTAAGCTTTACGCATCTTTGTCCGGGCATGTCAATTAACGACGTGCCGTCATTTTGTGCAGCCACAAGCCCTTTGGATGGATGGCCTTTTCATCTTTGACCAGAGAAACAACTCTACCTCTCCTCTCTCCCACTAGCTAAGCTTGCGCAATGTCAATGGGGACTGAGAAATGATTCTCTCAGGGGACAGCAAGCTCCTGATGTGACCCTTCCCAGCGCCCCCGTCTCGATATAGACTGCATCCGAGTGTGGCGGCAGCTACCTGACGCTGGACAGGGTTTCACATGCAACTGTCGGAATCCGGGGGTCCAAGACATGGATCCGCGAACAAAGGGACCAAAAAAGAAAAACCCCAGGGCCAGAAACCCGCACCCGCGCCTGATACAACCTCAGATGCAGCGAGTCCACCCGTGACGTGGCAGCAGGCGGCAGCAGCGGCAGGACTGGGACGCCTCGACAAGGGGCCAAGCGTCTTCATGTCAGGGACTCGGGGTCGAGAACGGGTAGAAAAACCACGGTAGAATGCATTCAACGTTGTGCTCTTGTATACGAAAAGGGGGCGACAGCGAGCTACGATATCCCGCGTCACCACAACACGGCGCACTTGATTCGCACAGCCCAGTGAACACAGCATATTCCAGAATCCAGACATCCGATCCCCTCGCGGCCTTGAGTCGTTATCCGCCAGAATGGGCGCCTTTCCTCCCCCCATTGACCCGTCTTATATCCCCTCCGTCTCTCTGACAAGGCTCCCCGCGACGGCACCAACCGCCGACATCATCGCCACCCTGGAGCGCGATGGAGCCCTCATCTTGGTCGACCTCGTGTCTCCCCAAGATGTGGCGGCCATCAACGCCGAGATCGAGCCGTACATCCAAAAGGCCAGGGCCGAAAGCCACGAGGCGTACGACCTGATCCCCAAGCAGACCGTCATGGTCCCCGGCGTCGTGGGCAAGTCGCCGACAATGGCGAGGATGGCCGAGCTCGACGTCATCGACACGCTGCGCACGCGGGTGCTGCAGAGAAAGTGCACCGCGACGTGGGAGGACCGCACCGAGGACTTCTCCATCGACCCTCTGCTTAACAGCAGCCTGACGTACCACATCAGCTACGGCGGTCCGCGGCAGAGGCTGCACAGGGACGACATGATTCACGGCATTTACCACCGCGGCGGCGAGTACAGCCTGTCTGACGAGACGATGCTCGGCTTCATGATTGCCGGGTCCAAGACGACAAGGGAGAATGGGGCGACCATGGCCATTCCCGGCTCGCATAAATGGGATCATGCGCGGGTGCCGCGGGTTGATGAGGTTTGCTTCGCGGGTGAGTCTCTGAGATGCCTTTTGTCCATGGTGCCAAATGTGCTAATGTTGATGGGATCGTGACAGAGATGGAGCCGGGCTCGGCGCTGGTCTTTCTGGGCACCGTGTATCACGGCGCCGGGCATAACTCGGTGCCGGACCAGGTGCGCAAGATATACGGCCTGTTTTTCATCCCGGGGACGCTGCGCCCCGAGGAGAATCAGTTTCTGGCCATTCCGAGGAGTAAAGTGCTGGGGATGAGTGACAAGATGCTCTCTCTTTTGGGTTATAAGAAGCCGGGTACTTGGCTGGGCATTGTGAATAACGGCGACCCGGCGGAAAACCTTGCCGAGGTGCTGGGCATGGCCAACTCGTGATGGCGGGTATAATGGTTGAGAGGTTGCTGCATGATGTGCGGTGCGTGGATGTTGTATTTACAATTTACGATTTACAGTTTCCAATGACAACTTATCCACACGTGTTTCTCATGATGATGGCTGAACCGCAGCCTTGAAAGCGTTTATCATGTTGCAAATCATGTGTTGTAGAACGCCTCTCTATTGCTCCCGTGTAATGAGGCGACCTCGACAAGTCTAGCTAGATATGGAGGAAAAGGTAAATTGTATTAACTACTAGCCTTTACACCACCACGGTACATGGAAACGATACATGTACTGGAAACGTCGTTGCATCAAAGCTATAATAGTTCAACCACTCTAGAAATACTCTATCCATCGTGTAAATTCCCCAAACCACCATCACCCCAGCCCAAACTCGTCCCTCACCGCCCGTCCAAACTGCGCAACCCCCCGCTCCAGATCCGCCGCCTCGGCCGTCGCCACAACCGTCATCCTGAAAAAGGCGCGATCCGCACCGCCCCCGACGCGGCACCAGCTGCCCCGCGCCACCAGAACCCCATTGGCCTCGGCGCGCGCGCAGATCCCGTCCTCGACGGCGCGGCACAGCTCCGCGTCGGCGTCGGCGCCGGCATCCCGGTCCTGGTCCCGCGCACCCGACTCCTGGTAGCGCGGGTGCCTCGCCAGCGCGGCGCCCACCCACAGAAACATGCCGTGCGTCGGCGCCGTCCACGCGCACACCTCGCGCGGGAGGTGCCTCTCGCACGCGGCCACCATGACGTCGCGCCGCCGCCCGTACTCCCCCGACAGGTAGTCCAGCCAGCCGGCGAAGCCCTCCGGCCCCCAGCTCTCGACGAGCAGCTTGTACAGCATGGCCTGCGAGGGCCCCGCGGGCGACGAGGGCCCGACCTCGGCAAAGTTGCCAAACATGTCCACCACCTGCCTACTGGCCGTGAGCCACCCGCAGCGCAGGCCCGGCGCGAGTATCTTGGACGTGGATTCCACGCGGACCACGCGCCCGGCCGTGTCGAGCGACAGGTACGACGTCGGCAGCGACTCTCCCCCGCCGCGCCCGAGCCGCAGGAAAAAGTACGGGTCGTCCTCGACAATCAGCAGGTCGTGCCGCTCGGCGACCTGGTAGACGGCCCTCTTGCGCGCCGCCGACTGCGTCACCCCCGTGGGGTTGTGCCCCGACGGGATGGTATACAGCACAAACGGCTTGCGGCCGCTCGACGCGTCCCACCCGCGCAGCGCGGCGTCCAGCGCCTCGGGCACCAGGCCGTCGGCGTCCATGGCGATGCCCACCGTCCGCAGGCCCTGCGCCCGCGACGCCATCAGCGTGCCCGGGTACGTGAACGCCTCGGCGAGGATGCAGTCGCCGCGGTTGCAAAACATGCGCAGCACCAGGTCCACGGCCGACGTCGACCCGCACGTCAGCGTCGTGTCCCAGTCCGCGTACGGCGGCCGGTGCGCGCGGCCCGTCGTCTCGCGGAAGAAGGACACCAGCTGGCTCCAGCCCGAGGGCTCGCCGTAGTTGAGCGCCGAGGAGAGGTCAAACGCCGCCTCGCCCTTGGAGCACGTCATGTTGGCGGCGCTCGTGGGCTTCAGCCCCCGCGGCTGCCGGCTCGCCTCGGTGCCCGCCATGCTGACCGATTGCCACGGGTAGTACAGCGCCGTTGGCCTGCCCGTGCCCAGGGGGATCGTTGCCGACGCGTTGACCGTCTTGGACGAGTCCTTGAGCGGGGATACCCCCTGCGTGAGGCTCTCCTCGCTCCATCGGTGGTTCCATCGCTGCGCGAGTCTCTTGGGCGCGCTGTTGTGTGTCGACGCCGGCTTCACCGTGCTCCAGACCTCTCCCTCGGGGGCGTCGTACACCTTGTCCCGTTCCAAGTGCATACTGGCGAATTTTGCGTGTTGCCCCGTGTCATAAGAGTACTAACCGAGTAGAAAGAGTCAATGTCGTGAAGCAGGATTCATGTAGAAATTGCGCGGCGTCGTTTACATACGTACTTTTGTCAAACCGATGCACAACCCCCAAATACGCCAATCGTCTCAATTCCAGACGTGATGACGATTCTCTGCCAACCACCTAACAGCAGTCAATGGTGGCAAAAAGATGGGACAAACCAGTGGGATCAAATGGTCTTAATGCACGTCGTATAGTCACAGGGAGGCAGCCACTACGTGCGGTATTTCAACCATCGAGTGGCACCACGTCCAGCAGCAAACGCAATCGAAAACAACATCAGACAGGCGCCAGCTGGACCGCTCCGTCAAACACTGCCATCAGAGGCAAATACCGCTGCAAGACGGCATGCATCTGGACTACTAAAACCAGTATTCCGCCAACGAGTGGATCGCCATTCAAGCCAAGCCATGCATATCAATGGGTCCACGGCAGCAGACACTGCAAGTCACCGGACGGTAATATGCGTCAACAATTATGCCTTCATGCTACCCTGTGCCACTTGCAAGTTCCGTGTGTCGCCGTGCTTGCATGGAATCTCCTGCATGGCGGGAGCGGATGCCCAAACCAGAACACACAGCTAGCCACCGTCACCGACCCAGACAGACGACGTCTCCAAATGCAATGCTTGCTTGCATGCCTGGTCATTTGTCAAGGACGCCAGCACATGTTTTTTTTTCCCCTCAAATCGAGGGACATGCCGACCGACCATGGGGGCCAGCACATTGTAGACTCCCGCGAGTCCCGTCGCAAATTCCAAGCGCACGCGGGCAGCGAAACGAGTACTTGATATACAGCCCTAGCATTACTAGATAGCCCATCTGTAACCACAGATGGCATATACGAAAGGTCAATATACATCATTCCAGTCATCAAGTGTGGTCGCGTGAAACTGATGAAACCAAGCCAGTCACCCTCCCCAAATAAATCCCTTCCAAACAGAGAGCAACCTCAATGAGTATGGAGAAACAAGCAGAAAATAAAAGAAACACAAAGGCAACCCTTCACTTTTCCCTCTTGGCATAAACCAAGCCAAAACAAAACCGCGGGGGGGAATAGATTCCGGGCCAAGACGTTGCCGCTCAAACACGCAACGCATTTCCTCCCTACTCCGCCATGTGCGAATCGGTACAAAAATGTGCAAAAATAGCATCACGTCTCCCTGACAAAGGTGCTTCTTGTAGCTTCCTCTAGCTTTGCGAACGATCCAACGTCTGCAAAATGTGCTCCGAGGATCCCACAATCCATTCCAGCCTTCGTCGCTCCAAAGCATAGCCTGTTTCGTACTTTTCCATCAGTGTGTTCAGTTTTCCAATGAACCAACAGATGGTGTCGTACGCCTGTTTCACCACTTCGCGTCCCAGTTCCCTCCAATCCTGTACCCAAATGTTAGAACGTCACTTCGCTACAGACCACATGTTCAGAGGGGCAACTTACGCGTTCCGCGGCTCTCCTGTCAATGGACCGCACAGCCATCTCAATCCAATCAATTCGCTGTTTGAGCAAGTTATTGACATCCAGGTCTTTCGAAATGGCGCCAATGGCAGCCAAGAGCAACACTGGTGGGAGATGCTCGAATCGGCTGGGTGACTGCAAACTGAGGCTGCGCTGGAAAACTTCCCTTTGGTGACCGCCTTTGATCCATTTCAGCAACGCTTCCTGCAGCTTTTCGTCCTGTATCAGCACCTCAACATCATGGACATCCCTGTCCGCCTCGGAGTCGACATTGCTGCCATGGTTGGCAAAGGGGCCGCCTACAGAGGCAACCTTGCTTGCGGAAGTCACGTCTGTCTGGGAAGTGGAATCTCGAGGGCTTCCCACATGTTGACCACTGCGCAAATAGTCAGGCCCGGCCATGTACTGTTGCTGCTGCTGCTGTTGCTGCTGGTAGGTAGGAGGCTGATTTGTCTGATAGCCGGTGAAACTGGAATGCGGGTTGGGTCCCGCCATGAAGCCATTGTTGGGGTAGCCACCTTGAGGACCAAAGCCCCGGAATCCAGGGCCGCCATCTCGGGCTTGACTTTGGAGCCCGGAAGCCCCCGGCAGCTCATGGACGGGCTGCTGTTTCAACTTCAAAAACTCGGCTTGAAGCGAGGACTGGGACGCAGCCATTGTGGACACCATGTCTGTCAGGGTGGTGACATACGAGAGTAGCTGGTCGATCTTGCTGCTGTCGGCAGCATGTTGGGACTGCATCTGCTCAAACTTGTCGTTATACTGCTGATGAACTTCGGCCGCGGCTTGCTGGGCCGACTGGGTGGCCATGTTTCGGAACGTGGGAGTTAGGCGTTGGCTGAGCGTAGCAACAATCTCTTGCTGCACGGTCGAGTTGACAGCTGTACCAACACGCTCGGCAATGGCTGTCACAAAATCCACAGATCGGAGTGACCTGTTCAGAGCCTGAGGCAGGGCACTTTGAATCTCCTTCTGCACGGCCGACGCGACATTTGGTTGAAGGCTGTGCTGGAGCACGTCAGAAACAGCTATGGTGGCCTTTTCACCAATAGCAGGGACCAGCAGCTCAGTAAACTGGTGATGAATCAAGGACTCCAAGACCTTTTGCGTATTTTCGTTCAGCACCTCGGACACCATGTCCAACAGCTTAAGTTGGTGTTGATTGAAATTCTCGTCCCGGAGTCGAGCACTTTCATCGATCTTAACATGGAGATTCTTGAGAGAGGACTTGAGAGTATCGGATACGACGGCAGTTAAGCGTGTTTGCATGGTGTTGATGGTCGAGTCAAGGACTTCAAAAGTCACACCAGAAGCAACAGCCGCGGTGCTGTTCGATTTTGCGGCGGATTCGGCTCTGCCTGCTTGTGTCCCGCGAGGTGGGTTGGTAGCTCCATTAGCTTCTGCTTCCTTGGCGGCAGCATTGCCCTTCTTCTTTCGAGACTTGCGCTCCGGCTTTTCGGCCTGGCCTTCCTTAGAGGACTGGGCAGGAGTCTCGGCCTCTTTTGCCTCATGACTCGGTTTTGAGGGAGTGGCTGCATCAGATCCACGTTGAGCGGCATCGCTCTGTGCAGCTGACGTGGACTGCTGGCTCGGCGATTGCTTGGGTACGGCACGATGGGCAGTGTTCTTAGCCTGCTGGTTTCCGCCGTGACTTGGATCAACTGCCTGGGGTTTATTAAAGTCGGAGACGGTAACAAGACCCTCCTTGACCGCATCGAGCACAAGGGTATTGTCAGACCCTCCAAGATCACTCTTCTTGACCATCACGCAGGCTACGCCCTTGGAATGCATGGCGTATAATTCGAATCGAAGACGGTCCTTGTCTTTGGGGTCCTGGCCCGCCATGTGTCCCATTCCTTGCTTCGCGATCGGGGTATAAAGAATGTCCAGGCTGCGCAGCACGCCTCGATTTGCGAATGAATACTCGCGGAAGCCACTAATGATAGCCGTACTACTCGGCTTTCGGATTAAGCAAGCTTCGTTGGGTTTCAGAGGTTGGAGGAGTTTCTCAATGTAGTCAACCTGGGACACGTTCTCAAGGCTATACTTAGGGGCCGAAAAGTGTGCAAAATAGACCGAATTACGGGTGGGATGGCCAATAACAATCATGCCACTGGCAGGGTGGTACATGACGCTACAGACGGCATCGGATTCCTTGCTGTGTGGGAGGTTGAACTCTTGAACGGCCTTACCGAGAGCCAGGTCCCAGACTTGGAGAGTGTGGTTCTGCTTCATACCAACCACCATGTAGCGAAGGGGGCCTCTCTGCTCATATGCTTTCTTCCTATCCAGCAACAAGACCGAGGTCGGCCACGCTTTCTCGCCTTCGGGGGTGGTTGCCAGAGTCATCAGAGGCTCCTTTACTTCCAATGATGATTCGGCAGGCAGAGGGTAACGGTAGTCAGAGTCTTCCTTGACTTTGGTGAGCGCACGAACATCCCAGAACTTGACTCGGCCTGATTTGTCAAGAGACACGACGACTGAATCGTCCTGGCTGAATGTGAAGTCCTTTCCAGCCTTGCCAGTGTTGATCTTGAGAGAGCACTGGGCGAGGAGAGCTTCGGTATCAACAACACGGTCGTGGCCGGCCTTGAAAAGCTTATGCTGGAGAATGTAAGCGGGCCAGATGAAGTTGATGGATTTGCCACGCCCAACGGCGAAAAATTCGGGGTGGGCAGTGGAAGCGCGGGCTCGAGTCTTCAAGAGGCCACCCGGGGCATCACCGTCATGCGAGGAGATGGGAGGAAGGGCGAACCCATACTGCTCCAAGTGCGGGTCCTCGATGTGATCCTTCTCCCCGTCCTTAATCTGCACCCAGTAGACAGCACCGCCGACGCCAGTACCAATGATGGCTTCCCGGTGAACGTTTCCGCTCTCGGGAGGGGTGACAGACATGGCAACATTGAAAATGCGGTCCTTTGTGTCCGTGAACACCTTTGCATCCTTGCCATCATCTTGGCGAATAACACGTAGACCGCCCTGTTTGGACATGCCATAGGTCATGTACGTCTGAGAAGCGGTGAAAAGGTTGCGGTCGATCTGGTCGAATTCCTTCTTGAGACGGGCAATGTCCATGATGGACTCGTCACGGAACTCGGGTCGAATCTCGTCTGTTTCTTCCTTGAGGGAAATAGAATTCCACGGCTCTTGGGGGAACTTGTAGACTCGAACCTGAGGTAGCTCCTTCTCTTCTTCCACCTCGATGGTCTCCTCCAGATCAGCACTCTCCCAGCTATCAGCCACGCCGCGCACATTCTCGCCTGTAGCATTGCCAGAGTCAGATGCATCGTTCATGTACGACATTTCAGTAGCGCGGTAGACCTCGTTCTTTTCAAGGCCATTTTTGATATTCTGAACAATCTGCTCTTCAACTGACTTGACGATCTCGGTGTGAGCAATCTTGCTTGGCCATTCCTGACCAGAGGCCTCCTTGGATCCCTCGTCCTCGACGAAGCCAGCAGGGACAAGGTCGTGCTCGGCTCTGTCGAGAGCCTCCTGGGCATCCTTGTCAGCCTGGTCAGCCAGGTCATTCACGGCCTCGGCAACAGTCTCCCTGCTCTTCTCTGCGGAGATTGAGCTCTCAAACTCGACCGGAAGGGCCTGCTTGGGCGACTGCGCGGTGGACTTGTGCACGTGGAGAGACGATTTGCGGTTGGTAGCGTGGCGACTCTGATCTGGAGGGCTTGCAAGAGGGCTGCGTTCACTTCCAGCGCGGGGTTGGGAACCAGCGGGCGAGGACTGTTCTTTTTTGAGGATTTGAAAAGGCGGTTGCGACAAGTGCGAAGCAGGCTGGGAGGTGTGTGACTGCGGCGACGACTGAGTGAGGCTCCCCATCAGCTGCTGGAACAAAGCAGACATGTCAGCAGGGTCAGCAGGGGGATCCTGTGATGCGAGCTGAAGCTGCTGGTAGGCATATGATGAGTCGTTGGACACTTGATGGTAGGCTTCTCTCATAGAGTTGGGCGGCTGGTGCTGATGAAACTGCGGTTGAGCATGCTGGTGGTGAGCCTGTTGCTGGTAGGCATGAGGCTGCGGCTGCGGCTGCGGCTGTTGATGCTGGTACTGGTTGAAAAAGCGGTTCGAATCAGTGGTGATCTCGGGCGACTGAGACGCTGCACCTTTGGATCTTGAGGTTTCCGTCAACATGGGCTGGTCATTCTGACTGGGCTTGGGGCGGTTCAGCAAGGCGAGCAAATATGACCTGGTATCGTTCGATGGCGAGCCGTTTGCAAACGGGTTTGTAACGGCAGGCTGGGTCTGCTGTGTAGGCTCATGGCCCGCCGGAGCAGGAGCAGGAGCAGGGGCAGGTTGTCGAGCCTCATCATCAGTGTCGTGGGCATCATGGGCGCCTCGCATCAGGGCGGCGAGCAGGCCTGTCGGATCAGCCCCAGCAGGCGCCGGCTGGAGGATACGAGTGGGAGGCGACGAGTACTCGGGCTGCGAGTAGGAAGGTTCGCGAGACTGGTGCTGATGTTGCTGTTGCTGCTGATGATGCGACTGTTGCGCATGCTGATGCTGATGTTGGGCGTTGGAGCTGCCCGACCCACTGCTAAACTTGAGAAGGTTCAACAAACTCGCCGTTCGGTCCTTGTTGGAGGGCATTCCGCCGCTATTGACGGGAGGTGTCGGGGCCGGAGGGAGATCCATCGAGTGCTGGATATTGTCTGCGGTCGGAGGGAGGGAGGAGGCGAGGGTGTAGAAATACTCAAGGCCGCAAATGCTTGTGCCACGGCAGGGTCGAGGAAAACCCAAAAGACTCTGGTGGCGCAATTGAGAGCCACGGCCGGCTGCAAGTTTCCGTGTCGGTTCGATCGGAAACAGAATGAACAAAGATGCGGAAAGACAAGAACGAAAATGATGAAATACAGAGCGTCTCTCGGCTTTGCAACTCAGAACTCAGAATGCTTTCGTCAAAAGGATAAAGGACGGGCAAAAAAAAGAGAGGTCTGGGTCAAAAGGGCGGGAGGCTGCGAGGAATTGGGTTCGGCCAGAAAATGGAGAGCAAGGAAAAGCTCGACTAAAGCCGAAGTCGCCTTAATAAGCAAATGAGTGGCTGTGAAGCGCCCGTGGAGCTGACCAGACTCAGCCGCCTGGACATTGAAGCCCAAAACGTCCGGTGCAGCGGTGCAGCGCTGATGCCCAGCCACCTCACTGTGCTTTGGCGCAACTTGTCGACCAGTCAAAGCCCGTGCATCGATGGACGAAGATTGAACAAATCGCGAAAACAGCCGGTACTCGCAACATTGAAAGCGGTGACCAGCCTCTTGGCGAGCTGTCCTTAGTACCCCGTACGTACTCCGTATCGACTATTAACCGTCCCACGTTTCGACCCTGATGTCCCTGACGTCCGAGTTCCGAGTCCGCCTCACATGTTCAAAATAGCCTATAAATAAATCCATCGGATTTGAATGCTTTGGCCCATGTAAGCAAGTGCACAGGACTCGTGGAATGCCGACGAGACCTCCTAATATATATTATACGATCATGTTGAGATTTTAGAGTGAGTCACTGGCATATACTATATTTTATTCCACGTAATCAGTGGCTGAGGCTATCACGAGATAGCTTTTACCACCGTGCCTCGATACATCACGAATCTTGTTACCTTTTAATACATTGCTTTGTCGTGGTTCTCTGGCTTGGGTACGGCCGCACGTGATCAATTGATGTTACTTTCACCAGGCCTTGCCTGATGCATTGATTGCATGGTTATCTAGACGGGCAAAAAATTAAACTCAATAATAAATAAATACTCCGCACATACGAAGTACAAAGTAGGCAAATACAAGTCAAGGCAAGCAGATGGCCCACCGCCCTCTCCCAAAACGGCGCTAAGCCAAAACGACCGAGTCCAGCTCCGCGCCCCCACGCCATCAACACCAACAACTCTCTTACTCAGCCATCCTCCTCCCAACCGCAAACCTCAACCTAACCATCTGCCACACCTCGCATCACGACTTCTGCGCACCGCACTCCTCCAACGCGCATCACATGCCTCCCGCCTCGTAAACCACAATGTTCTGCCTCAGAAGGTAACAAAGAAATCGCCCCCAACGCCGCTTTCTTCTCCCGCTAACGCCCCCGTCGCAGCTGGCTCCCCCTCCTCTTCATCCCTACCAACGCCTCGCCGGCCTTCATCTTCCTCTTCTTCGTGTGCACCTACTTCCTCAACCGGCCCTGCGTGTACTGCTCCATCCTCCTGCTCATCCTGTTCCTTACGTCGTGCAACTGGTCCGACCGCTGCTTCTTCGACTTCCAGAGCAACTGGTTCCTCCCGCGGCCGAGCACCTCCGACCCGTCCTTCAACGCCACCGTGGTGCAAATGGCAAACTCGACGGCCAGGGCGCTCGCCGGCGCGGCTGCCGACGCCGTCTCTGCCAAGGGCACCGAGTGGACCGGCCTCGGGGTGGAGTGGCTGAGGACGTTGTTGGGCAGGAGAGAGTGGAAGGTGGACTGCATGGACGTCTATATCCAGTTGTGATGGGAGAGACTCGGATGGCGGTTATGACGGGTGTTTCGAGCTGTACGAATATGTCATGATAGTGTATATGAAGAATGGGTTTTTTGTTCCAATCACAAGCAGGAGGACACAACTGGGCTAAGTAGCGAAGATACCAATCAATAGCGCTGTTACGAATCGAACCGAAACCAACGTCCTCTATAAACGCAGTGTGTGAATTGATTTCCAAATAAGCCTCTTTCTACGCTGAATAGTTATACCCTGCATCTAATATGTCAATATAGCTGTAAATCACATCAACACAGGCAGCGGCGAGAGCGATATTCTATACATATGTCAAGTTTTTTCTTTTCTTTTATTACAAGCAGAACGAAACAACCGGCCTAAATTGCGAAGATTAATCGATAGCACTGTCTTCAATCGTGCACAACCTCCTTCATATGACTGGGTGCATAAATGTATTTCCAAACAGGCTCTTTTCTACACTGCTATGACCATACCCTGCATCTAATATGTCAATTTAGCTGTAAATCACATCAACACGGGCAATAGCGAGAGCAACATCCAGTATTCTACAAGGATCGTATATTTAGCCTATATTGAGCGCATAATCATACCAAATCAATCTTAATCGCCCGCTTGCAATCATGCCATCGTCATCACACAAGAAATGCATTTCCTAGAGTTCTTCACCATACTCATCACCACCCTCATCACCACCCTCATCACTACTCCCGTCACCACTCCCGTCACCACCCTCATCCTCATTCCCCGCGGCTACCTCCTCTGGCATAGCCTCTTCTCCAACAACCTCGGGCTCCTCAATATCCGGAACATCTTTGGGCGTTTCCGTAGGCAAGGCTTGAACCGTAACCGTCTCAACCATGGTTTCCGTAATGGTCTCAGACATCGTCTGTGTAATGGTCTCCGCCATCGTCTCTGTAATCGTCTGAGGCACCATTTCCGTAATCGTCTCAAACTTGGTTGCTGTAGTCGTCTCAATCATGGTTTCCGTACGAGTCTCAGTCCTTTCCTGTGTAACAGTCCTGGTAATCTCAATCGTACTCATAGGCACATCATTCAACGACGTCTCAGATACCTGTGTCGTGCTCGACGCCTGGACAGACTCCGTTATTTGAACATTGATTGCCTCCCGCGCTGTTGTTTCTTCAGCATCAACCTTTGGGGGATCCACGATTCCAGAAGCAGATTCAACAGGCTTTTCGACTACGACTTGAGCAACTGGCTCCGGAAGTACACCCTTTGCGCCAACGTCAGTCGGTGTCGATGCACTCCTGACAGCAAGCATCAGTACCACAAGACTCAACAGTCCTATCAAGATGTTCCTTTGGTCCTGCATGAGCACCTTGACAGCTTCAAAGATGAGTTCAGGCAGCGAAGAACCCTTAGAAGCTTGCTGCCTGCTTTCGCGTCGTTCCTCTCGTCTTTCGAGGGCCTCCACAGACGGGGAAACCGGTGTTTCCTTCGGCGCAAAATCCGAGCATCGACGCTGTGGAATAGATGAACTTTCTGGCTGAGGTGGTGGACTCGAGCCGTAAACCTCTCTCAACCTTTCCTCGTCTCCCATTTCGCAGTCGTTTTCACATGGCGGGCTGGATTCGACATGAATTTCAGGCTGCGGCGGCTCCTCTACATGGATGGACGTATCCATGTCCTCGGGCATATACGACCGTTCCGCAGCCTCGGCCTCTTCGTGTCGCTGAATCTCCTCGTCAACAGCCGCAGCCGCAGCCGCAGCAGCTTCTTCTTCCATTTCCAGAGCCCTCTCCTGCTCAGCAGCCAAGCAGGTGAGTTCCTCTTGGAGCTTCGAGTCAATGATGGGTTCCAGCTCGACATCGACGCGTTCCATGTCTTTCCAGCAGGCTTCCCAAGCACCGGCTCGCATCAGGCCATTGCTCGCATACACCTTGACTCGGTACACCTTGCCATCACCAAGCGAATCGTATCTGATCTGTGAGCTGCACGTCTTGCACCAATGCGTTTGTTCCACCATGCTCTGTCGAGGCGAACCGTGTTCATCATAATAATCCTCGTCTTCGCTTTCCATGTCCTCTGACAAGGACATTTTGTTGGATGGCCCCAAATAATGCCCGCACTCCAAGATTCGGGCTCTCCGTCGAAGAGGGAGGTCCAGAGTCTCCAGTAGCCGCTCCTCCAAGACTTCATAGTCATTCTGCGGGTGAGGCAACAGAATGCCGCGATCTGAAATTGTATCGGCTGTGCGGTCTTGCAACTGGTTCCAGGACTCCCAAAGGGTTTTCCCCTCGGGGCTCAATTCACTTGGCTGAGCATTATCCAAAACATGACCCCAGACCCAGCGTGGTGGGAGCACGGTGACATGCAGCAGTACTAGTGGCGGTGTGTTTCTCTTAAATCGAGGAGGAGTCTTAGTCTTCCTTGGTGAGTACTGTGCGGAGACACTCGGTGACCCAAGCCTCGAAACAGTCGATCTTGGAGTACGGCGACTAGATCTGGGAGTTCCAGTGGCCGACGCAGGCGGAGAAGACATCTGCATTGCCATTACAGAGGATGGAGATCTGAATGTTGGCCTTCGCGTGCCCCGTATAGTGGGCACAAATTCCTCGTCCGCATCAGACTGGGGAATATCCGAGATGCGGGCAGTCCTTGTCTTTGGCGGTGAAATTTGCTTGGCACCCTCGCGATCAGCCTCGGACATGGACCCCATTGAGCTTCGAGGACTATTGTCGCTGAACACATCATCCTCATGCTCGTGATGGGAGCTACTATCCCCACCCTCGTCCGCATGAGCGGTGTGTGCGGCATGGTCCTCCTCCGAGACCTGGCTCTGACCAGCTTCCGATTCCGCTCCAAGTGATTGTCGGTGGCTCTCAGTATAAGACTCGCTAACGAAACTGGCTTCTTCTTCTTCTTCGGGTGCGGAGGCGGCGCTCTGGATAGAATCACGAGGAGTGTCAGCTACATCTTCTACGATATTTTTAGCCGCAGCGTGAATCAGCGCCTCAGTCCGCATGGAGTGCCGCCTCTCCAAATCGCCATCGGAATCTTCCATGTTCGATGAAGCAGATTCCCTCCGTGAGTCGGGGTCGTCCTCTTCGGCCCAGACATTTCTATCAAGAACCGAATCGTCCTCGGGGTCGTCGACGACCTCCTCCACCGTTGGCTGCAAATTTTCGGTGCTCAGTAGCGAATCTTCAGCCGGTGTATCGTCTGCGTCTGCTTCTTCCACACTCTGCATGATGTCTTCATTGTTTGTAATCGTATCGTCTTGACCAACACTTGCACGTGAGCCTTGCTCATCATGAGTCACTTCCTTGGCACAGGCTACATCCTCATGCTCCATTGTAGGCAGTTTCTCATCCGCAGGCTCGCTTGCAGAGGATGGGTCGACGTGTATCTCAAAATCGAGGTCCTGATGGTGATTTCGTTGTGGCATCAGAGGATGAGAATCGAGACGGCGTAGAGGTGCAGGATGCAGGGAGAAAAGCTAAAAAGACGGGGAAATACGCCACGCGATATGGTTCAAATAAAACAAGATTTACAATGCAAAAAATTCTCCGGTGGCCTGATAATGGCAGAATGGATAGTTTTCGGTTCGGAGCTTGCATGTGGGACATGGTGGTTGGCTGGCCGAGCTCCTTGGTTGCCCGACTTTGTTTACATCCGTTGCCACGTCGACGGGTTTGTTGTGGGGCATTGCGACCAATCTTTTGACCTGCGGTTGTCGGTGACACTATTTGACGACGCGCAATTGTCAATTTGACCTGCTGATTGAATCTTTACAAAAATCGAAATTCTTACAGCAAATATATCAATTTATGGTTTTGCATTCCATATGTCCATATTCTCGGGGTCTTTGCGGGGTTGGAATGCGGGTGCGCCCGTTTCATAGTACTTCCCATTCTTCGATTGTGGCTCTGCTGGAATGCTAGTATCCTCATGCTGGGTGCAAAAAGAAACTAGAGCATTTAACGAATTTCTATTAATAGAACTGATTGATTCTTTGCTACATAACTGGTCTAGCGTCAATATCTTGGGCTTTTGAAACCCCAAGCATCATATGCAGATGGTGTCTTGTATGTATACTTCATCGAACAGCGCTGTCCACACCGGACTTTATGAGTTATTTATTATTTCAGTGTCGAAGATAAAGTTGGAGCTAATTATGAACTTCTTAGACCTCATGAACGCGTCTGGAAATAACCCTCGCTTACTTGATTCCACAAATGCGTGTGCTATTTGTACTATTCGGCCCACGCCTCACGTAGAGGCCCGTGTAACACTCAGTTACGTTAGATGAAAGCCACTGGTTTCTGCTGACAACCCATCGTACCGAAATTTGGCTTCAGAGATGTTTCTTTGGTGTGGCTTGTTCGTTCATGCCGGATCAGTGTGAGCCACCTTTAGGTCGACCCCATGCACACATTCCAGTATACAGACGACCTTTCCGATTCCAGTCAGAAGACGGACCTAATAGACGTTTTTCATCTTAGATGAGTCTTTTTAGCTATACCTTAGAATAAGCAAGAGGTATTAACTGAGTAAACTGCTATACAAGCAAACAGGATAATATATACTAATAGTTTCTGCTTTCCCATCATAAGCATATTGGGTAGCGCAAACTCAGGTAAGACCTGGCTAGGCTTATTTGTTTAATACAAGTGAGTATATAGTAAAAGGCCATAAATGGCCAGGAAGTGGGATGTCTTCTTTTTATTGCCAGCAACTAACCCTTATATAGAACAGAACCAGTATACTGGGACTCACTTGCTGACAGGAACAAAGGGCGTGGAAAACTAGGGGGTAAGAATACCAAGATGGCCTTAAATGGCTTCACGTCGAGGCAATGAGGTCACGAAATGTAACAATTGTCCGTTTGCTCAGTGGGTCAACAGATTGCGCAGCTGATAGTTGAGATCTATGCTTGTAGCACATAATACATGCACATTCAAGACATGCAATCTACTGTATTACTCAAGATAGAGTAACATGTACACAGATAACAGTTTGTAGGTTTCATAGATATTGAGCTTTCTCAAACAAGCCTTTACCCTATCCCTATTATGATAAATATACATTGATAAAGTAGTGTGGCAACAGTATCTATTAGACACCCGCCGTATCAGGCGGAAAGTCCAAGGTCGGAGTTTAGTCAAGGATGACACCTGGGCCATGGCATTTACCGAGCAGCGACTGAAGGGTAGCTAGTGGAGGTTCATCGCCTGATATTGATGCTGAACTCTGAGTGTCGTGTTTCGTATGACCCCTCTGGTGCAATTGGGACATCTGTTGAAGAGATGCTTCTCTGAAATGTCCGCCAGCCTGCTTCTGCCTCTTCCCAGTGCCTCGATTCTTCCCGCCGATTCGCTTGCCATCTATTGAGACCAAAAACCGGATGATATCATCGCCTTCTAAATGATTTTCGATATTACTAATCTGCGACTCCATATAGGTATCAACATCGGAGCAAAATGCCAGGCAGCGCTGCAGCATTTTGGCTTTATTCTGAAGTTTATCGAATGAGGCTTGCTCTCCCGCTGATTCCGCATTTAAGCTAGTATTTAAGCGCTCAGCGACAATTTTCTGGTATTTCTCAAGGTGAGCCAGCATAAAGCACATGTGGTGCATACAACCCTGGAGTCCCTTACCAAATAGCATCCCAGAGGTCAAGTCAGAATCCTGGTTTTTCTGAAAATCAGCCTGGATCTGTTTGATTTGCTCCGAAAGAACGGTGCAGAACTGGAGAGCCTTCTCCGTGCTCAGCCGTTCCTTCTCCATATAGCGGCGGATAATCTCATTCAAATTCGGGTCGGCAGCGACGCGCAGAGTAAGAGCTTCGAGTTTCTACAAAACCTCCTAAAGATGGGCTGTAGAGTGTTTACATGAGTAATATCACATGCGAGAGCAGCTGCGTGCGCAGGCTTGTTACATTGACGGCGATGCATTCCCTGAGCAACCCGGAAGCAAGTTGAAGCAAATAGACCGCTGCATCGAGTCACAACATATTGCAATGAAAATATGAAATTAAAGTCAGTCCCAAAAGATGGATAAACGAGCAGGGTTCTAAAGGGATAGCCTTTCCAACGGGACAGTACGTAAATGTGCCAGCCCTTTCAATGGGGCAGCACATGATGGGATGGCACATCCAATGGGATAGCCCTTCTAATGGGATAGTCCTTTCTTTCGTAATACGTAGTGTGGTGCCGTTCTTGCTCAGTCTTACGCCAGGCAAAATTCAGGTGCGGTCAGTCTGCTGCCTCGCCAGTGGCAGGCAGCCAGTCAGATGCCCCCCAATCTCAAGCCGTCACTAAAACAAGTGTCTCATCATTCACCACAACTTCCCTAAACCCCTTCGCCAATACTCCTTGTCTATCGGTAAAGTCAGTCACAGCAACTGTCATGTCTCAATCATCCACCACAACTTCCCAGGTCCCCTTGGTCAATACCACTTGTCTATGTGTGTTATCAACTCTCAGTAGGACCAGCCCCCAAACTTTGGTTTGTTGACTTTCTGGTTCGTGTCGTCTTTTTGGCTGGCGATTTCTCCTGGTCTGCAGGCCGTTCCGGCGGTGCTTGCCGATGCCTGATGACCGAACAATGCTCTACCTCCCACGATTTATGGGCTCGCTTGCGACATTATAAAGGCTATCAAACATTAGTCACGGCTCTGGTAGCTTCGGCTTTCACAAACCACATGCTTGATATCCTCGCGGTGGTCGGGGGTAGCAGCTTCGCCCGAGCATGGCAGGCCCGCAGGTGCTGGCCTCGCAGCCACGCTTCCGTCCTCGCCCTCACCAGCCTTTTGGCTTTCAAAGCCAGCCTTCTGCTGCCGGCGGCCACTTCGGAGGTCACTCAGGTTTTCGAGATATCCATCTGGCAGCCCAGTCACGTAACCGCCCGTAAATACGCCTATTTCCATATTCTTGATTGGAGTCTCGCCCTGAGCTGCTTCAATGCACGCCGCCGTTAGTCCGTTCTCGCCGTCGACATCTAGGAAGACAACTTCGTCGGCGCCTAGGTAATCGGCGATTTCTCGCTGCGTCCTGTTGTAGGCAATTAGAGCTGCGAAGGTCAGCGTCACAACCTTGACTCCAGTCTGCGGGCTTGTACAGTCAACGGAAATACCTACCAGAACGGTCCGCGAGGTCTATACCATACTGCACATACACTCAGTACTCTCAACGACGTATGCAAAAAAGGGATGGATGACTCACGATGTGCGGATGTGTGCAGGGTGGGGAGCATGAGACAAATACGACGCGAAGCGCGCCCGCTTCCCTGGCCAATTGGACCTGAATTATTAGCGGGAAATCCTGGAAACTAAAGGCAAAGCTGTCAATGCAGACTTACAATCTGTCGCGACGTTGCTAACACGGTCATTAGCCCAGACTCCGAAGAAAGCTTTGAAGATTACTCACTGCCTCGGACGATGCTGTCGTCGACGATGACCAGGTTCTTGCCTTGGAATTCTGACTCGACGAAAGAGAATTTACGGCGGACACTCCTTAGGCGTGAAGCCTGATCAGGCAGGATAAAGGTGCGGTGGACGTAGCGGTTCTTGACGAGGGCCGTCACGTACGGCTTCCCCAATTTCTGAGCTAAAGCAGCTGCGGCGACGTTGCTCGTCTATTAGCACAAGGTCAGCATCGTCGAACGTGAAGTCTACCCCAGAAATGTTATAATTCACCTCTGGAACTGGAATAACTGCGAATAGTCAGTGGTTAGAAAGATGAATCATGTTATCGATGTTTGACTTACTCGCGTCAATCTCCTCGACACCCTTTTCTCCAAGGACGAGTTTAATCTTCTCGGCCAACTTCTCTCCCATCTTTTGTCGACTGCGGTATACGGATATACCATCAATCCAACTCTCTAGTCGGGCAACGTATATGTATTCAAACGTGTCAGGAGTATAACCTCTCCGCGGAACGACCTGGCGAAAGATAGGAGTGCCGCCTTTCGGACAGAAGACGGCCTGGCCTGGCAATATATCCACAATATCACGAAAGCCAAGTTGCTGTAGTACAACTGACTCTGACGCCATGAAGTAATCATTTGCGCCCGCTATGGTAGCCGAGGGTCGTGACCCAATGCAAAGGGGGCGGATGCCATCAGCGTCCCTACATTTTGATCTTGATCAGATATTGGCACTAGAGTAGGAGACCGAAATGTGACTTGCCTGAAGGCCAGAATCCCGAAGCCCGCGATCATCCCCGTGCATGCAAAAGCCCCATGACATCTGGAATACACATCGCCCAATGCCTTGAAGATATCGTCGACTTTGGCGCGAGTCCTTCCCAGCTTGTGAAGGCCGTGTGCGAAAACATTAAGCCTTTGACAGATGAGATAATGCGCGACGATGCCGACTGAGCGGGAAGCAAGATGCAATCACGTACAGAAGCTCCGAGTCGGAATCGGAGTTGATATGCCGGTGAGCCTCCTCATCGAGGTATCTGCGGAGCTCCTCGGTATTAATGACGTTCCCATTCACGGTCAGTGAGATTCCGAACGGGGCGTTGACGTATAATGGCTGGGCTTCGGACCTAGAGTCAAGGATCAGATAATCAGATATAAGAAACGTTTTCCATCACCATTCTGTATACGTACGCAGACGCGGTACCCATGGTCGGATAGCGGACATGACCAATGCCTAGAGAACGGTTATTTTCCGTACAGACGTTGAGATAGCTGTTACGCACCCATATAGCCCGGAAGCTGTTGTAGCCGCCTGCCGTCTGAGAAGACTTCGCTGGCTAACCCTAGTCCCTTGCACTGGAAGACTCTGCTGCCCTGGCAAACCGCAATCCCCGCAGCATCTTGTCCTCGCTGATGACATCATCAGCATTTCCACCCAGTGACAGTTGTCGCTCGATCATTTCTTGACGGCTTATGGACGTACATGCTGGAGAGAATAAAGAGACTCATGCAGATCAACCGCGGCGCTGGTAGCGTCGGGATCGCCAAGCTGTTAAAGTGGTCAGCGTGACTCTTGCTGCCCCGCGGTAGGACAGTTTCTAGGAGCGAGGAAGAAGGCGTACCAATATGGCTGAGACACCGCACATTGCGTCGCTTGATGACTTTGTATGTCCTTTCTCACACTTGGAGGTTCGGTAGCTATCATGCAAATAATGCTTTGGATGCTGAAGAATTGACTCAATCGTCGAATCAGGGAAATTTTTTTTGGTGGTCGGGTACAATAGACCCACTACTTACATAAAATGACCATATCACCAAGTCGCGATTGGCTCCGCTTCTAGCCACGTGCCCAGGTGCACTGATTTTTCTCAGTTGTGCCAGATAGCGGGGCAGGCAAGCTTCCTTTATCGCCCCTCCATCATTGATCTTTCTTCTCTCTTTTCACCGGCATCAAGGCCGGGCCCCTAGACTCGAACCCTCGACGAAGTGTCACTACTGTCCAAGAGCAGCGCTGGCCTCACGCTTACGCTGATCAAATCTCAGAATTGACTGCGAGACGACCCAAACACCGCCGTGAACTGACGATGATCAACGCGACGGTGTCGAAACGAGTGCCCCGCACGCTTTCTGGAACCGGCTCGACTTAGAACGTCGAGCCCGATGGCGAGGCGCGCAGGAAGACAGACCAGCACAATGCAAACGATTTCCTTGATGCAGTCCTCGACAGTGCATGTCATTTTACGATGATATCACCCTTATGATGCCGACCTGGCTGACCGTCCTTGGATGGGTTGTCGAAATGTACCGCTTGGCGTACTATCCATACGAAGTTTGCTGCAATACGCGAAACGTCGACGAGCCGCCATCCAACAACTCAATTTTACCATTTTTGAAGATGGAGATTCGATGCGATAATCCGCTAGAAGAGAATAAACGGGTGCCTCCGCTTCGCTTCGCCTTTAACTCTCCCATGGCTCCATTGCCAACCTCATATCTAGTCTAATTCAGGCATGTAGAGTCCTTGCGCCTAGCCCTTGCCTGCGATGCGCAGACGGTAGAGGCCGCTAGACGACTTGCGTCGTCTGTACTCAGCATTTCCCGCTCGACAGTCTGCGAGCGGCCTGTGCCTGTTGCTACCAAGATGGCCGAGGGAACATTTGCTCTTTCAGGGCTGACTTTGCTGCTCGTACTATAGCCGTTGCGCAAGCTTCGCAAAAGTGATTTGCTGTCAAGGCGCCAAGGTTCAAGTCAGACGTATCAACATAGAGTGGCTACATAGAAACGATCCCACCACCCTTCTCTTGCCTGCAGTAAGAAGGGTCGACGGTGTTCAGCTTGCCATACCCGGCGCTGAAGTCAGGCGTTGCAAGAGCGAAAAGCAAAAAATGCTCACATTTCGCAACCATAAGCCCACAGACCCCAGAAATGTGTTTGCCCTTGCGGCACCCTACACTCTGACTCTGGACCGGTGTGTCTGCTTCAAATGATCAACTGATTCAGCGGATCAGTTCTTCAGCTGGGATGACTGGGCTGAATGGATGTATTGGCTGGACCTATACGTATCAAGCCACGGACCGGCTCGAGGCAGAGTTGCCCTCCTCCGTACGTCGAATGGAGAGTAGATTTGGGGCACCGAGGTCTGATGCCACTTCGTGCTTAGCCTTGAGGCGCAAATTTCGTATTTAAGGCTTGCCCGTTCAAGTCCGATAGGGTAACGACTGCTATTTCTGGCCGACTCTTTGATATCCCAGTTACGAGTGGAGCTCAGGGCACTCATTTCGTCTACCATGTTTTTCTGCCGTCCAACTTTCTTAATTGGTTACTTGTGAAACAATGCGCCTCTCTTCCAACATTTGGTCTTTGGGAATGTCTCTCAGGTGCTCAATGGTGGCTGCACGGCCTTGGCGGGATCTACACGTTCACGCATGCTGCAAAGATACACGACGCTGTCCTCTGCAAAGAAGGAAGCGAATTTGCGGAATTCTTCGGACGGCAACTCTGGTCTCAAACGTGCCATTTGGTAGTAGTTGTCTCCCAGTGTGACAAGAGCTAAAGGCTTGGAGCAATGACTCAATTCACCCAACAACAATTTTTGGTATTAGAGGTCCTTGGTTTTCCTTGAGGCCTAGTTGACCAAAGAGGTCTTTAAACACAAGAAGTCGGTGAAGTCTTCTGCCCTGGGTCCCGTGATCGTCGCCCTCGTGTAAGCGTGTGACACACGGGATGGGAGATTCCGGCGTAGAAAAGGCGTACACATTGCATCTAGAGAACCTACTTCGTGGGCCGTACGGCCCTCTTCCCGCCGAGTATGATAGCATGCGCTTCAGGGGTGCGACTCTTGATTCGGATGAGAAGGTGTTGCCTTCAGGCAGGCTCGCAGAATTACAGGTCCAGGCTGAGAGACTGCACCAGAAACAGGGTACCGACGAGCTCAGATTGGATCCAGAGAGTCTGAACAGTCTGAATCTTGATGCCTTGCGCAGAGTTCTAGCATCGACGCGGTAGCCGCCTTGCCATATATGATTTATCACGAGGGATAGCTGCGGGCCCATGGAAGTCATTCGTATCTTATAGTTAGATGATGGTAGCTTGGCATCCTTCTAGTTTGACTATTGGACTGCGCAGGACGTTTGTATTGGACAAGCATATTAATGTGCCAAGATGAACAATGACATTCTTCATGTCTTGATGATTTCCTTCCTATCGCGGGCCGCCAATTGAGACATATTCAAGTGCAGGTTGCTTGAGGATTCCGATGTGCATCCGCGCAGTTGGGACAACCATGTCTGGACAACAGCTATATTCTACCACACTATAGGTTGTGATATACTGGCATATGTATAAATACATCCCATATTGAGGGTCCTTGGGAAGATGTTGACAAGCCTAGGACCCTGTAGTCATGCAAATGTTACCTCACAGTGCTCAGTGCCACGGTGTTTCGACATGTTCTACAGATAGAACGCCTGTCTCTGTCTTGACATGCCCACAAGATGTTGCCCCTGAACAGCCATGCAGCTTGCCAGTGCATAAAGCCTCGCTCTCGCTCTGTCAATAGCGACACTTGCACCAAGGACGACCGGTGACCATGAGCATCGGTGCTTATAGATGACTGGCCCGACAAGCTCCTCGCCTTTATACACTGCTGGTATATTACAAAGCCGGAAAAGTGTCCGTAATTCTCGCATTCTCATGCACTGGACAGTGACTTGAGGCACGGAAAGTATGCTACGCTCGACGAATCGCCCGAAGGTTATTGCCTTTCCTGCCCCATCACAACACGGAGTTCACGGAGGCGTATATCCGCCCTGAGTATTCCTTCGGTTCAGCAACAGTCTGGCAAGATGGCTGCATTGAAGGGTCCAATATTCAATCCAACGCGGCGGTGCGAGGCAGCCCGGCAGGCGTGTCTGCTTGGAACTGTTCATCCCGGTAGTAATTACACGGGATCTGTGGGCACGCCTCTACTCCGGGAGCCGCATCCAACTGACCGGTATGTGGGGCCGGCCATCCGGAGGCCACCCGGAGTTGATGACCGCCATCTGCCAAGAGCTGTATGCGGGGCAGCCGCTCGGTTAGTTGGAATATCTACATTGTAAGTCATCTAGTTGAAAGCCTTCTCTGCACTGATTTAAAGTTTTTCACCGAATACGGGTTGCATCAGTTGTGTGCAATCTCGGCTGGGTGTATACGGCTACTATATAGGCGAAAAATAGTTCAGCTAAACAAGACTCCTATGGATGGAAAGCAGACAGAAAAGGTCAAGTGACAAGCTTTAGACTGGTTCACCTAATAAACTCCCGAGGTCCATGAACTAGGGTCAATGAGGACGGTCGACCACAGTGGCAAGAGGCCAGCCTACAGCATCTGAATATAGCAATGTCCAACTGTCAATAACGCAAAGAACTATCGTGATATTCCACAACCAAACGCTCAATTCCTTAACAAATAGTTCTATCCGAGACCCTAATCAGCTATCCATCCAACGCATACCTAGCCACTCACTACAAAGCCATCTTTTCTATCGCAAAACAGGACCCTTTGTAACTGCCGTCCAAAGCGCTCGAACCCTTCCGTCTTGCACAATAATCACGTCGGTCCCCTTGACGAGATCAGGCTCCACCGGAGGTCCAAACGACCAATTCTGAATGCCCAGATTCTGGGCCACGACGGTGTCCCCTTGTAGCCGAAACGCAAAGGCGGGATTTTCGCCCAAGAGCTCTCCAACGCGCCTATTCAGAGCGGCATAGCCAGTACGTACATCATCGTCCGCTTCGTACCAGACAATGTCCTCCCCGTAGATGCTCTGGATACACGCCTTGCGCGCAGTCTCGTCTCGCTCGTTAAAGACAGACAGGAGATTTGCTTGGATGAGCGCCCGGATAGTGGCGTGGCTTTCGTCGGGGCTGCTGGATATGCGTAGCGGCATGATGGGTTTGGTGGTCATTTTGGGGGATGTCGAGTAGCCGGGACTACTTGTCGGGTTTGAAAGTATGTGTGGTCGAGGCGAGTACTAATACCTGCCGCGCTGGTAAGACATGTTATCAGTGGCGTTTGGGGGGCGCGTAAGCTGCCGCATTCAGAGACGTGAATCAGCGCCCAAACTGTATGGGTATCTAGCAGCCAGGGCAGCCGGCTGCGGCGGATAACAGGCCAGTATGAATCCGGAAAAATGAGGGCCCCAGTTTCCTTTCTTGGGGGTTGCTAATAATTCTCAAGTCTTCCGGGGTGGTGTTTAATAACTCTCACGTACATTCAAGTACTTGATACATTTTTTTCAGTTCTGAAATAAAATAACATGATTCTTAAACGTGAGAATAATTACATGGATAGTACGCGGGACGTTTTCTTCAATTTAGTTAGCTTTGAACAATCGGCCGTCCATCATTCGCGATTTCTCGCTCTTGAGAGTCTCGGCGTGCCGTCTGTCAATCACCCGATTTCGCCAGACATAGTACAATTTAGCCAAGACAAAGAATCGGATATTCAAGACACCGAGTCCCACAAGCCCTTTATTTGCCTGTCATTCCGGAAAGTAGTATTGCTAGTCGGTAGTTTTCTTTTCTTCTCCAAGTAGCAGAATAGTGCAAGCGGATGTGGGCAGCCCACAGTACAGCTAGAAATAACTGAATGAATATTTGACCAGGTCAACTGGGCACAGCCTCCTCCTTTATTCTTGTCCCAACGCCGTCTGCCCAGGCTCTAATGGCAGGCCAGTCGCGCGAGTCGCCAAACCGCGTCTTGTCTTCGGGGACGCAGCACGCGAAGATGAGGCGTATAATCCACGGCAGATCCGCCTTGTCGAATGCGCCGCGGAACAGGCGATGCCCCTGGAGACGTAGGCGCTCGCGCAGCCACTTGTCCATGGACACCTCCTCCTTGGCGAGGTCGTCGTCGGTCGGCGGCATGCCGACGCTGAAAGCCCACACGCGTGGCACATCTGGATTTCCAGACGAGAGGTAGGGTTCGTTTTGCTTGAGGAAGCGCCGTCCCGGTGCAATCCACCGGCCGACGTGGATCGCGCTGCCGATCACAACCGCCTTGTACTTGTTGCCTTCGGGGCTGGAGAGAAGGGGCGTAGCGGCCGCCGGGATGCAGTCCACCGGAATGGGTGCGAGCTGTTGCGACAGTTGTCGGGCCACGGCCTCTGCTATTTCTCTGGTTGAGCCGTGGGCAGTTGCGTACGATACTAGGACGGCCATTGTGGTAAGTCTGTTTTGAGCCTCGGAATGGTACGATTTGCGGTGTGGAATGACCCTGGGTAAGGAGGTTGCATTCTGGCGTTATATCAAATTCACGTCGGAAACAGTGAGATTGGGCCTTGAATATCCAAAGCAAAGATATGGGCGGCAGGGAATTACGGTATTCGCGCCACGAGAGGAAAAGATGGAACGATGGAGGCCTCGTGATGCCGTCTCCGGAGGGACTGATAATGACACCATGTCACATCACGCCACGAATGTTAATTCGTAGCTGATGCGAAAGTGGCTGCTTTCCACGTATTGCCGGGAGGGTTGACGCCACGTTCATTTACAGTTATCTCCTTGTACATAGCAACACGTTGAACATACAGATGCAGATGCTAAACATGGAATTCAAGACAGGAAAATACTTGTATCGACCTACTTGTCTTGAGCGTATCATCAGTTAGGGTTCCATTCATTATCATTGTTCAATTTACCTTGTCTAGGCATTACACCAGATGGTGAAGTGTTTGATCAACCATACCGACACTATAGTTTCCTACGAACAAGGGACGAAGCTACACAGGCGTTGGCTAAGTGAAGGATGTTGACTACAAGTGTTCACGTAGTAGAAAACCATAACCCTTTCGCATGCCGTCCAAGTAAACACGGCGGTGCAAATACGGGCTGCCCACGCCACGGACCGATCGACGTGGAACCGTGCCGCGCCGTTTTCCCGAAACGGTAATTTTCGCTTCATGACGACGTCGGGCGGCGTTGACAAGTCGCTTTGGAAATACATACTGCTATTGCGCAGGCGAAAAGGCGTCTCTGGATCCTTTGCTGGAGGAGCCTCTGGGTCGGAAGCCGAGGACGGTGGACGACCAAACGGATGAGATGTTTGCGCTGTCGAATACGAAGGATCTTGTGGGAATTTGAACCTGTTAGTAATTTCCTAGTATCCATTCTTTAGAGTCATCCCTCTGAGTTGTCCATGTATGTCGTTAGCTGCGCTCGAATCTGCAGTGGAAAAGCGTCGTTTAACAGACAATCATATAACTATTCCCCGGACCATTTGCCATTGCAATACTAGGAACAGCCAGTTGTCTGATGTTCAACGTCCATCTTGAGTGAAGTCGATAAGCCCGCCTCTTCCGTCAAGGCACTCGGCTGTCCCTAGACAGTAGACTGCTGCCACAATAATTGCATGTAATCTTCGCATGGAACAGCACTCCACGCCGCCTTCTTCAAGACAGACGAAGGTCCTCAATCGTCGTCAAGTTGAGCGCCCGCAGCAACAGCAGTGCGTTTTGCAGAAACCACCGCTAGCTCCGGCCACACGAAGCGCCTGCATAGCCAACAAATAGGATCCAAAGAAGCCAGTTGTGAAGGTCATCTCGAGCCCGCCACTTCTCCCTCTCAGGCTCTAGTGCCACGCGTAATCGTGCCGCGTTCTCATCGAGTACCGGTGAGATACGCGGAAGCTCGCTTGCCATAAGATAGAGGTAGATATAGCATGCTAGTTTACATGCGCCTTCAGGGGATGGACCCATTTCTAATCGATTCGTCCGAGATCCATCCCCGTTGAGAAGAGCAAGATTGTATTCAATGCCGCCTATTATCTGGCTAGCTAATGTCTTGTCAAGCGTAGGACGCCTCGGGCCCATTACCGCAGATATATGCCGCAGCTCCCGTATGACCGGTACAACAGGCGACTCTGCATAATCATGTGTTGCAACCCGTTCATGTGTATAGTTGCTAGTTGGAATCTACCACGTAGATTCTGCGCCAACCCACAATGGTTAGAAACCCCTTGTAGAGAATTGTGCCAGTGGACTTGCCTCCCGGGTTACTACTATTGCAACAGCTGCAATTAGGCCGTCGGTCAACGGGCCTTCGCTCGCGAGATCTCTGTTGATCAACCGCATTGCCTCTGCAGCGTGATGCGAGTCCGAAAGCCTCCGCTTCATGTCAAGGTCGGTGCACGCCGTGCACAAAATCGTGTGCAGCAAGGCAGAGTTGGTAATAGAATTGGACAGTGGTCCTTGAAGTCCAGAGCCACCCTGTTCATCGTGTAAGCCTGGTGATCTTGTCCCGGTGTATTGGCTAGTTTATAAGCCAACATTTGTAAATGACCCAGCATACAGTACAGGATGAGCCTCCTGCTTTGCGGCCCTAGATTCAACAAAGTAGCATCAAAGGGATTTCACACGACGGGCCGAGATGGCCTGCTGCTTGTGCAAAATTTAGTGTTGGAAGAGAGCCCAAAGGGAAGTCGCTGGGCTTGTAGCTTTCTTTCTTTCTTTCTCTTCTGACCATGTGGCCTGTTGGATATGGTTTTTTCTTCTTTTTCATGCATGGTGTTTCATTGCTTGGGAGCGAATCAAGTTCAATGTCTGTGAACAGCTGCCTTGTGGTTCGTTGTCGTAAGCAATGGTCTGGCGGCATATCACCGCAATGCGAGGCATCGGCGGCAGTGGAAGATGCCGCTTCGCAGACAAAAATGCCAGGCCGTTAGTGGTTGAAGTGAGGAAGCTGGGTTTTGTCATCAAGCCACTCTCACCCTTTGATGGGACACAAAGTGCACGGCAGGTCTGTTTACTCCAGAAGGCATGAGTTGCGAGGTTTTGAAGTTTGGCACAAGGGACACGCCCGTAGGAGATCTGGCCAGGTCTCAAATTGCCCTCTATAAATGAACACATGAAAACCAAAAACATCAAGTAGAGTACAAAAACACAACAGAACCAGGTAATCTCACGCCCAATCCCACCCATGAAGTGAATACGTCCTTTTCAAAAACTCCACGGCCCTCGTAAACGCCTCATCCTTGACCTCCTTCTTCAAAATCGCATCGGGAACTAATCTCGTCAGTAGTACATTCATTCACAAAAGCGCCAAGTTAACCCATCACCGTGAATAACTCACCCTCCAAATACCCGTGAAATCCGTCTTGCGCAACAAACGTCTCAACCACATCCCTCTTTGCCTCCTTATTAATCCTCTCCTTGAAGGCCATCTGCTCCGCATACAAGATGTCAATCGCCGCGACCACCAACAGCACCCTCTCCGGAAGCGTCTCCGTCCTTGCCAGAACGGGGTTCAGCCGCGGATCATCCATGTGTTTGGCCCTCGCTGGCTGCGCATACGCATCAAACAGTGGCAGCAGAAACTGCAATGGATCCGATTTGGGATAGTTGGCGGGCTTGGGCTTCTTCCCTGGTTCCAGTCGCAGGTCCAGCGCACCATAGAATGTAACGGCTGCTTTGAAGGAGGTTCGTGCCGGCGCCTGGCAGTTGCGCTGCTGCGTAGCAGCCATGGCGAGATTGCCGCCGCAGGAAAACCCGCTGACTGTCATCAAGGTAGCGTCGGCGCCCCATCGACTCTCGGCGTGCTCCTGGATCCATTTTATAGCAGCGTCCACGTCGTCTATGGCGCATGGGAAGGTGTGTTCCGGTGCAAAGCGGTACGTTATGCTGACGACCACTGCGCCTGTCTCCTTCGCGAGACGCTCATCGAAGCGTGCGTTGCTCTCTGCCAGACCGCCAATGAAGGAACCGCCGTGGATTTCGACGTGTAGAGGCCGGAGCGAGCGGCCTTTTCCTGTGCCGGGGTGTTTGAAGACGATGGCGCGGATGGCGTGCGAGGGGAAGATGGGGAGGTATTCGACCGTAAATGGCCGGGAGAAGAAGTAGGGAAGAGCGTTGATGGAGTAGGTCAGCAGTGTGATGGGCTGAAGGAGGAGAGTTCGCCAGCGAAGATGGAAGGGGATGCTGGGGTTGAACAGGGCGACGAGCAGAGGGCGGTACCAGGTGGTAATGATGCGGAAGACACTGAGCATCATGATGGTGACAAAGGTTGCGATGGGTCTAGACAAACAACGTCGCTGCTATCTAAGACAGAGAGGCAGACGCAGATCGACGTCTATAGTGAGCGGCGCAGCCAGTAAAGCCATCTGAAAAGCGAGATTGGATGAAACTGCCTCGCGGCTTGTTCCGATAATCTTCCTGAGGCATGAATGGCTGCGGCTGGGCGGTCGCGTTGGTGATCGACAGTAATCGTGGCCGCATCTCTTACCTATTTCTCGACGAAAACATGTACGGAAATCTCGCTAAGAAAAGTCAATGTCTCGACTGGAAATAACAAAACATGATAAAATCCCAAATAAAACCACCTAGGAAAGATTGTAGAGGACCTGGCTAGCCGAGAAGCGTATCCTGAGACTACTGTGGTAATTTCAAATTGATCCAGGAGTTTCAACAGCCGACATCGGTTTTTGTTTTGAAACTTTAGGTGCGATAGGTCCTCGGGTAGCGCACATCGCTGTTCATACACGAGATGCTCACGAGCCATGGAACTTGACCCTGCAGGCCTTGTGTGCCACATGTTGAGTGTTCGGCGCTGCCACATGGCGCCGTATCCGGATCGTCACCCATGAAAAGATGAACCTGTAGGGTTTGGTTTAACATGCCAGGACCTGAGACCCTGGACGGTATATTTCTTTGTGTATTACAGTGTAGGAGTTGGACTGAAGATCTGTCATCTAAGCCGTCTCAGATGTCGTTTGTCCGTCATAATATCCGTTCATAAATCCCATCAGCTGCCTAACGGGTCGTCCAGGGCTAGGCGCCAAATGAGGACGACCAACCCAGAGAAACACAACGAAACTTGGCCTTTATATAAAACAAGAAAAACCACACATGTCTGCTCCAACTAGTCTTGTGAAACAGCTTACAAGTCCTCGCAGGAGTCGGCAGTAGAAGTGACGGTTGCGGTCTTGGTAGGAACGGGAGCGGTTACGGTAACAGCGGTGATGCCCCAGCAGGAGCACGCAGAGGAGTATTTGCCGGGATTGTTGCAAGAGGAAGCATAGGCAGGGACGGCAGTAGGAGCCTCAGTGGCGGCACGATACTCAATATCACGCTTTGTCACGGAAGCGGGCTCATCAGCGTCAACAGTAATGGTGACGGTGACGGTGCTGTTTGACGTGGTTAGCTTGGGATTCATCCATGCCTGGGAGCAGCGAGGGTCCCGTATTAGGGTCCGGATTCGCAACATACGTAGCTTCAGGGACCACGGTGGTCTTCATGAAGTTGGAGCAGTCGTTCTTGCGGGAGGTAATGGCAGTGAGGCCATCACGGGTACCAGTGACCTGGCGAGCGCAGTTGTCACCACCGCAGTGACCCTCCCGGGGCTCAATAGCGCCAGCAACGGCGGCGGCAACGAAAGACAGAACAACAGCGGCCTTCATTTTGAGATGTAGGTAGGTAAAGAGCTACTTTTGATGGATACGATCGGCGACTTTGAGTGTGATTTGCGAAGGATTGTCCTACGGGAAGTCGGTGACAAGACAAGGGCCAGTCCACCGGGTTGAAGATGGCAGAGGCAGTCTATATATGAGAGACAAGACCAACGGACCACCAAGCACAACCATGTCACTAGCCTACTGGGGCATTGGGAACGAGCTTAGACGGAGGGATCATTCAAAAGACGCAATGTTGCGATTCTTGGCGGATGCAGCCGAGCCGGCAGCATGCTCAATACAACCTCAACGCGGTGCGGCCCTGAGGCTGGGTTTGCAAAAGGTGTCACTAGTGCTTTCAACGCAGCACTCCGTAATCCATCGAGGACATGGGCAGGGGCCCATGCATAAGCTGTGCAACTCGAGTTGAGTCAACTAGCCGTTTATCGAATCTCACAGGTGTGATGGGCGATATTGGCGGACGCGAGAAGAAAGGCCACAACTGGGCACGTTGACTAAAGCAGGGCAAAAGGCACCGAGCCGGGGCTCAGGTTCTGGCCCAGGGTCGGTTCCCACCTATCAAATGCACCACCTCCCATATGAGGCAGGTCAACGTGCTCTGGATGTTGGGTCTGAGTCCAGAGGCAACGTGAAAGGCAAGCAAGAGAGAGTGTTGGGTCGGCGCTGGTGCTATTGCGGCGGGGGCAAGTTGGGTCTGCCCGTTAATACCAGTCTATTCGGGGTTAGTCTTGTACAGAAAGTTCTCAAAGCAAAGAGGGGGCATCCTAGGACGAACCCATGGAACCCCGGTGTTGATTGACGACGGCCCGGCCTCGTCGCCTTGAAACGCCGAGGGTTCAGCTCAAAGATGGTTGGTTCCCGGACATTATTCCGTGAGATACGAAGACTGCAGTAGGGCTGGCCTGTGCACCATGGTTGTCACGTTGGAACCGCGCTGAAGTAGGTGGTTGGAGTAGCGAGAGCGTGTGGAGAGAAGAGGCGATGGGTGTCACAGCAGCAGAAACTGACTTGGAGAAGGAAGGGCAGAGCAGAGAGGCACGACGGTGGAAAACGGAAGCCGGGGCGTGTTCGGAGCAGTCAAGTCGCAGACCATAACAGCAGCCCCAATTGAGTTTGATTCGGTCGGAAAGCGACTCGTCGTTGGATACGGTGACATGCATGATGGGCTGCGAGTTGTGAGGGGAAAGGGAAGGCCTCTGCGCAATACGGAGTAGTGATGCAGTCGTTCCTGCCTTGTTCAATAGCAGCTTACTCCGGCAAGCGCCACCCACGCAACAGACCAATGGGTGTTGCCCGTCGCTTCAGCTGGCCACAGCTGCAAGGGCTGGTCGGCATGAACATTGAAACCTTGAACCGCGACCTCTTCACGACTCCGTTTTTCTTCCTGCTTATCCGCCATCTCCCACGTAATTCCCACGTAATTGAACTTGATCCGACTGCTCGACCATGCCGTTGCCTCTTTTATTTTCATTGATTACTTGTATCACTTGGACAAATATAGTTGGCGCTCGCCAGCTTTCGAGATGCCTCAATTATACGGGCTCCTTACCATAGGCTTTGAAATCGATGTCCGACTTCATCACCTCGACCTGTTGTGTCGGCTTGTCTTGGCGAGTTGCCCGCTAACTAAATAGACGAGGGTCTCAAGCTGCCATAAGCCGTTGGCGAGTCGACTCTTGGCGATGCACGTAGCATCTACATCTGACCATCTATCTAGTTTTTTCTTGTCTGCTGCCTGTTGATTAAGCTCCTTCTCGATTTCTCGGCAATGCTCGCGTGTTTTTGTTTCGGCTCAAACAGCACCTTCCACAGCACAGAGTCAATCCACTGAGGCAAACAATGAGGGTGCATTCGGCAACGCTCCCGTCGACTGCCCGGCGACCCGGTGCAGGGCCATTGTTACATCTGTCAGGATAAGCAGCGAATGATCTTGTGACGTCCCCTCGCTCTGCTTATGCATGATGACAAGCTCCAGCCGCTGGCAATGGGCAATGGCTTCAGCCGGATCGGCGGCTTTGGTACGGAGTCCTCAAGTGCTTTCCCCACCGCACGCCAAAGAGACCATAACCTTGGCCGCCCATCGCCAGTAAAAATGGTGGTCCATTGCAGGTCGATATTGGTTTTTTTTTTTTTTTGCTTCACGTTGCGTCAACATATCGCCCGTCTTTCCTGACAAAGGCACTACGGCTCTCTCTGGTCAAGCACTTGGTGCCTTTCATACAGGGTTGGGCGGGTTGCTCGGGCGAGGCGAGCGCCACCAGGCACACAGAGAACGTTTGCCCACAGCACCAGCAAGCCGCCATAACTCGCAGCACCGCTAATCAATCCGCGGCTATGGCCCCCGCCTGAATATTGAATCCGAACCAGGCAAGCTGGTCATCCTGATCCCTGATTCGTGGTGATGCGGAACTGTAATCAGTTGGGGACACGGGCAGAACCGACCAAGAGGAGGCCTGCATGCGAAACCCACGCAGCCTAGTCTTCAGAGGAACAAGTCGTAGTTGAAAGACGCCCAGAAAGGTCCCATTTGCGCACGTGGAGAGACTCAAAACAGGATTATCATGTCAGCGGATCGTACACACAGCATTTCCGTCACTCTTGGCGTTTGGTTAGCAGTGCCATCTTCCCAAGGACACAACGACAACTTTCATAGTAAGCGCGCCACATGGCTAGAGCTGGGAGAAGGATGCAAGCTTATTTCTCCATCTTTAGCTTACAGACAGGGGAGAAGGATGTTGTATCACGGACACGTGGTCCTCGGCGTTGCATGTGTTTCCGCATGCCAAACATTTGCCGTTGTTGATGTATGCTCCGCATCAGCATCGCGGCTCTCACCCTAAGCATCTGTGATGCTACTATCCTTCTTTGAAGCGTATATGGATTGCCTGAGCATGACTGCCATTCCGTACATCGTGGCGGTGCACTACTTGATCTTCCAGCATTGCTCAACTGTTTCTGCGGCCAAGTCTATCCGTCTTTTCCGCGGCACAACCGTCGCAAGGAATATGAATGGAACAACTGTCTTATAACAAAGCGAGGAGGGGACCCGTGGTTCACATGCAATGAGCCATGATGATTCTCTGTCATCTGAGCTATAGAGCATCTTCTCAGAGGACCGCTATCATCTCATCCGTCTTGTCCAAGCCATGATTGTTCCTGAAGTAGTAGCGATAGACTCCGGATCCTTCGAATTCCAGAATGGTATAGGGTAAGTCTTGATGGATGGAGAGCGAAGGCGGCGTGCATTCAATTGCAGATGCCATGTTACTACTAGGACTCCAGGAGGAGAGTATATCAGTAGCCTAATGAAAATAATATTAGGCTCCTTATGCACCGTGAATGAGTTAGGGTTAACGTTGGTGGTTTAATATACCACGCGGACTATCATCTTCGGGGAGACGACTGTATGGCTGATTCTTGTCAAAGAGGCCACCTCTAAACGGTCAAAATACGTCATCCGTCGGAAATTTGGCCAGCGACGAATATTCTTTTAGTGGTACTTTGACAACAGAGACGCGGGCACTATTAATCCCGTGTATAGAACAAGCCACTTGGCCGAGCTGTATACAGTTCAAGGGGAAATGACAAGTGCCATGTACCCAGGAAGTAACTGGCTCAGCTTGACCGGCCGTTTCTATATAACTAGATCCAGATACGAATATAGACCTTTCGATCCATCGACGGACACGTCTGGTGAACAAGAATATGGGTTGTACAATAAATCCTGCTGGCAAGAGACATCACCATCCCTTATGGAAGCAAGAGATTAGAGTTGGCTTCATTGAAGCGCTTGTGCGCCATGTTCCAAGGGCTGCGCTTCAAATTGCGCATGGGCTCGGAGCAATATCGAGAGGTCGATGATGTCGTGGCAACCAGAGCGTTGGTTGTCGTCGAGGAAAAGAAAGAATTCCGAACCAGCCATACCCGCCAACTATCTATCCTGCTCGGCTCCCACAGATTAGCCGTTTCAAGTGCACCGACCCGCGGGATAAAGTCTACGGCCTCGTCGGTATTTCCATGGAGAGAGAGTAAACTGTCGTGGATCATCGGAAGACGGTGGAAGAAATCTACATCGGCTTGAGCCGAGCTTCGATACCCAAGCGAGAAATCATGGGCGAGTTTTCAAGGGCGGTCGAATCGATTACCAAGGACAGCGAATTCCGCCCGTTTCTTGCCCGTCTTTTACATGTCCTGGATATCGACTCCGACTCCGTGCATCAAAGTCTTCCTCCCCAAAATGAGGAACGCACTCCATCGTTGGCAACCACGGCAGCACGTATGGTCTTTGACGCCTGCGGTTCCTAACCATGAGACATGTCGGGCTGGCTACTATGCGAATTTATCCAAGTTCGCGTGCAAGAGCCTAGACTTGGACTCTTCTCCTTGAACCTGGGGGTATGGGATACAACAGGCCAGAGCGTCTCAAATACGCCAGCGGAGTAAACAACAAAATAAACTTGTGTTGTATACTCGTAGCCCAGGTTCATCATGCCAAGGCGACTGACTGTGTGCCAAATTAAAGCAACAGCATGCATAAGAACTGCTGGATTAGATCAATCACGACATGCAGATATGCCAACATGCAATAATGCCATCAGCGAGGCAGTCATAAAAGGGCCATACTGACAAACATCCAAAGGCTAACAAAAGCCCCCCATGGCAGTCTATTTCCCCATGCCGCCACATGACCAAACCAACCATGGCGTCAAAAGTTCCAATATCTCACCCATTCACCACCACGCCGCCATTACAGTGCACCGTCTGCCCGCTCACGCACGAGGTATCCGTACAAGCCAGAAACACGACACAGCTCGCAATCTGAGACGGCTGCGCCGGCCGACCCATGGGACTAGTAAATTCCTCCTGCGCCTTCCCATCCATAGTCGCCGGGATCAAAGGGCGTCCACACTAAAACCAGTCCGCTAGGTCACGTACATGCTTCAATCTGGAGTGCAAGAAAGCTTAGTTCTTTCACAAAAACAAAAATGATGCGATTTACTGGTCTTGTACTTTTCTGACAGTCCGCAAAGCTGCGGAGGGTTGATTTAAAAATGGCGTGTGCTGTGGCGGGGGTATTGGAACCAGGGACCTCAGGTCGTCGTGTTCACACCACATTGATGCAACGATCAGTGTTCAGCTGGCACTAAGCTCAAGGGGCGGCTCGGGACGTCCCAGCCCATTATCTCCAAAGCCAGGGGCCTACTAAGTATCAATTGATCAGGCTGGGGGCACATTCCAACACTGAGTGTGTGGCCAATCCCCGTGGGTCCTATCTTGGTGCCATTGAGCCATTAGCGCAAGAGCTCTTGCAGCCGCTGCGCCATCCTCGATATGCCCCAGAGCCAATCCCCCTCATGATAAATAAAGACCAAATGCTGACAGTGTGCGGCGCTGCCAGCCTCCCGAAGTTGCAACATAACCAACGCTGCTACTCGACCCGTCAACGCGTTGACATTTATGCTTCCTACTACGGGGCATGCTACTAGAGTCTGGTGCTAGTCGTATTGACAGAACAGGAGATGGACCGCAGAAAGTCGGCAAGTAAGGCCTCGTCCTGACCTTTGCTCACAATCCATGGCCTAACCAATCTTGGTCTACACAGTTACACCCGAAAATTACACGCGAGCCATCATCTCGCTCTCAAGGAGATATTCAAGCACCTCTGCCTTCCCGGGAAACAACTACGCAGACATTGGCGAATGGATGCTACAAGAACGTAGTCTTCTCAGCTCGGCAAAGCCGGGAGGAGCTGCAACCTCTTTCGCTTCCAAGTCGGAACAGTCTCACGATTTGGTTGTGGTGTACAATAGCGATGAGAAGGAGTGGGACGTGCAACACTATAACCAGGGGCAGCATGAAGCCTTCTCCGCTGCCACTTCTGGTCCAGCGGAAGGTTTCGGTCAAATAGTCTTCATTCGAGGCTTCCTATCACCATCATGGGTGGCTGCCATTGGGAGCAAATACAAGATTGATCCGGAATTCTTTAGGCGCCATATGGATTTTCTTTCCCCGAGCATTGACCGACATGCATACAGCATCCCATCACTGGCAAGTTGTTCAAATAACATATTTCGACTTTGTGTCAACACTCTTCTTCATCGCGATGATTTCGGAAGACAGCATCTTCAGTCGCAGCGGTTGGATGAATCCACGGAGCTCGGAACATACAAGACACAACAACTTGGGTCCACTAGAGTCTGCTGCGGAGATTCGCTGGTGCGCGAGTACTCCACTGTGTGCTCAAGGTTCTCTGTGATGGAACAATGGATCTCACTGTGCTTTGTGAAAAGAGATGGAGGCTGGGCTGGTAAGAGACAAAGCTACGTAACAAACAAGACACTTTCTGATATGTGCATTCAGTCATTGCCTGGATGGACCAAGGTAGACCGTTGGAAAAATCTCCTCCGGGGCCATGGACCTGCCACTTGGAATCCAAGGCTACACCGCTACCAGTCCTTCAGCACCACCCCAAGATGGCATTTCGAACCACCAACAATCGTCTAGATCCAGATGCGAATGCTTCGGCAGAAGTTCAACAAAGCGGCGTCATTCTTCCCTTGCAGTACGATTCACTGATTGCGCTTGTCGATCTGGCCCGTCGGGCGCCGCAAGATCCGCTTTCCATGTGTATCCCATTGTTCGCGCATGCCGCATTCTCCGAAGTTCAGTTCTTGAATCTTATCGAGTCTAGAATCCAAACCCAGATGAACGCCATAGTCAAAGGAGTTCTAACCGACACATTGGGAACTCTTCAATACTTGTCCAACATTCTCAATCGACACGCCCGGCAGCTGCAAGATAGTATTGCTGCACTCTGCAAGTTGGCCGAGCGAAGAAGCCATCTTTTGAATGAGGTCAAAGTGGAAGCACGTCTACCGCCGAAAAGTGCTGGGCCTACGAATTCTAGTGTAGGCAAACGCCGGCAGATGCCAGGGATCGAGACGGTCCAAAAATCTGGGTCCAACAGCTCCGACAGTTCCTTCACAGCCAAAGGCCTATTGAACGATTACGAACAGCTCTGTGCTCGCTGCATCGACTTGTCAAAAATGTGCACTCGAGGCATGACTCTGGCAATGAACAAAGCTACGATTGAGGAATCCCGTAAAGCCATTGAGCAGTCTGAACGACTGAAGAAATTGACTTTGCTTGCAACCTTCTTCATTCCTCTTAGTTTTAGCTCCAGCCTGTTCAGTATGAATATTGACCTCCTTGAGCAGAGAGTCAAGTTTTGGTGGTTTTTTGTCTTGTGTATTCCAATCACTCTGCTTGCCTACATTCTTTATCTTTGGGACTTGCCGGCAATGAGGCAGTTTTGGGTGAGATTCTGGAAAGTATGTCACGGCGTTGGACGAGACAGGGCGTTTGGAAGCAGCGAAAAAGATGCGAGTTATGTTGTGTAATCACGTGTTTCAACATGTAATGAGACTGCTGGTACCCAACGGATGCGGAGTACTCTTAGCAAGGACACGTGCAGTTTAAATCGGAATGCCAGGGGCACCGCATCTTCGAGAGGAGAGCCATCTTTCTCTTTGGCTGAAAAGAACACGATACGGGCTAGACGTAGAAATGGATAAACTTGTACTCGTCAGAGAAGATACCCGTTGTCATTGTGTCCTATGGAGCCTCAGGTCGAGAAATAGTGCAATTTTATAAGGCAATCGACAGACTTTACATCAGCATACTTAAGTAGCTGGCGCATTGTATGATTAGGGCCGCCAATGAGGAACGCCAAAATGTCTGGTGACAAAAAAAGTGGACACCATATGAATACAGCAGTGCAATGTCCCGCCACAGGTACCAAACTAGTGGGTCGCGCTGCAGCAGTCGGACAAAGGCTCAGTCCATGGATCCCATGTACTTTGAAAACATACACAAAAAACACGCGCCATCCGACATGTGGTCTCACCATATGCTAGAGAGATGCGGCATATTCAGAACACGAACTCTGATTTGCTGGATATCAAACTATCGGACGTTTTGCGCAGATGGCACTGCAGATTGAAGGCCAGGACCCAAATATCTGCTCAGATCTCATTGCTCATTTCGCTCCCGATACCATCGATTCGGAGTTGGTCGTCATCCAATACTCATGGCTTCCCAAGACACAGAGTGAGTGAGCTTGACAGAGACATCCATGCGTGGCCGTTGGCAGCGGCACTTGAGGTGCCTACCTGACGTGAGAAGACTACTGTATATCCCGATGCTAATAGAGACTACCGCCAGCTTCCCCGCCATCCGGGCTTGCATTTTTGACATGGACGGGCTTCTCATCAATTCTGAAGACATTATTACCCTCTCCACAAACCAACTTCTTGGGAAGTATGGACGGCCCGGTTTTACTCGGTCGATTCGAGCTCAGCTCATGGGTGTTCCAGACTCAACAAATGGCGACGTGTTCCACGACTGGGCCAAGTTGCCCATCTCCCGCGAGCAATTCGCCCGTGAGTTGACTGAACAATTCCGACTGCAGTTTCCGAACTGCAGGCCACTTCCCGGAGCAGAGAAGCTCGTGACGAACCTCAGCCGTGCACGTAATGTTTCTTCCGGAAACGGGGTCGAGCTGGCCCTGGCATCCAGCACCAAAAGCCACAGCTACGATTTGAAAACAAGGGCACCGGAAACGAGACGGCTGCTTGGCTTCTTTCAGTCCGACAAGCGGGTTCTGGGCGATGATGCACGAGTGCGGCAGGGTAGAGGGAAGCCGGCACCCGACATATACTTGGTCGCGCTGCAGTCGCTGAACTCAGCCGTGGGTGATGGCGAAAAAGCCATCATGCCCAACGAATGTTTGGTCTTTGAAGACAGCATAGCTGGGGTAGAGGCTGGGAGGCGGGCTGGGATGAGGGTTGTCTGGGTACCACATCCGGATGTGGCGGTCGAGTATCAAGAAAGGCAGAAGAGCGTTCTGGCTGGGAGAACGGGCATGTTTGGGGTAGGAGACGACTGGCAGCTTGGGGATATAGATGACGGCTGGGCTGAAAGCATACCTAGCCTAGAACACTTCAATTACGACAAGTACGGCTTCCATGTGCCGTCCTAACAGCTTCTTTAGGGCCGTTACGATTCAAACTAGCGCTTTCACGCAAGGATAGACATGCTCTTTGACGGAACAGGGGAAATGTTGGGCATCTATCTACTGATGCAATGAGGCACAGATGTAGATGGGCATTACGTCTATATATGTAATACAGACAGCGGCCTGCCTTGAGTCTTGTCTCGTAATTCTGCTGCATCTTTGTTCCTTGGCGTTTATTCTCTCATAGTAGCAAGTCAAAATAACTTATACTTGTATGAACGACTTGTCCGAATTATCAAGCGAATAGTGCCTGTCAAAAGATTGATTTCATCACCATCCCCAGGTGGCAGCCACGGTCCAAAACTAGGGGTTCTGCCTCTTAGTCTATCCGCGTACGTTCCGCGTACGTTGGCACCACATGCATCCACCTGGACCTGGACCTGGACCTGGACCTGGACCTGGACCCTGAACGAGAAAGGTTTGTGCATGTGCGCTAAAATCGGGCCGTCAGCCTCAATGGAGCTCCACTGGCAGGTACCAGACCAGGTTTGATAGTAATCATGTCAAGTCAATTGGAACATCACATCGAGCCGTAGGTAATCATACGACTCGGAGAATGAGCTCACCAACCACATGCTAGAAAGGCACATCATATTATTATATGCCTAAATGGATTCAAAATGATCGTCTGCATAATATTGCAGTCCTCGGACGGGACGCATTTACATGTAAAGTGTAAAGAGGAGCCTGGGCATACTAATTTCAGTCTGCGCGTGGGAGAGTAACCCCGCATCTGTGTCCCCGCATCCACCATGTCCGAAACTTGAAAGACAAGATAAACCATTCCAACAACTCCATCCTCCTCCAACTGGAGCTATTCAGTTCTAGTATCAGTCTGCTCTCGACTAGAACGTCCTGCTTTTGCAAGTCTGCAGTAATGGCCACATCCGCGAGCTTGGCGGCTGCCTGTCACCTTCAAATCCTGACGAATCCACGTGATAATTCTCAGGATGGTGTCGAGTAAGAAACGTACCGCCTCGCTCAACTCTATCGTCGCTTACCCACAAATTTAGCATTGTCCTCGTGCCTGGCATCGGTACGACATCCCCGGAGAACTGGCCGTTCGCAAACCAAGAATGGCTCGCCAGCTTACCCGGCTCCGGTGCTGGGGCACGCATCCTGACATTCCAATATGCTTCGCCGTTTGTGGGCACCATGCCATCATGGGAGTCGCTTTTGATGACAGGTTACGACCTTCTTCAAAAGTTGGGTGATACGCGATCACAGTCAGACTCGGATCTGGTATGGAATAGTCTAGGGATCCTTCCCTCGAGCCGTCCGCATGCTTACTGACGTACCTTTCCTAGACGGCCAAGCCAATCATAATAGTCTGCCACAGCTTGGGTGGCATTATAGTCAAACAGGCTTTATGCGTCGCTAACAAACAGTTTAATCGTTATGGATCAATTGTCAACGCCATAGCTGGCGTTATCTTCCTAAGCACTCCGCATCGCTATGGCGATAAGACCACGTGCTTCATACGATTTCGAGATATCTTGGAAACAACCACCGGAAAGAACCTAAAAATTCCAAATGAGAATATTGAGCAGGAAGGTGCTATTTTACTCGACCTCGCAGATAGATTCGAGGGAATCTCGTTCCGTACCCCCATACTATCCGTTTATGAGCTGAGAGAATCGAAAAACAGTTCAACACCATTGCGCCCAAAGTACCAAGTAGTTGGTCTGCAACTCTTCTCTGAGCTATAAATGCTGACTCAGAAGCTAGTTGGTCAACCGCGAAGCTTGTTCGACCTATGCGCCAATGGAAACAGTTATTGGCCTCAATCTCAACCACAACGATACGTGTATTTTCACCAAGAGCGTTGGCGGTGAAGGCTTGCCCAAGTTCAACAGGTTCGTTTACGAGACTTTAATCGACGCTGTGCGTCTTGTTGCACTTCGACTCGAGGACCGTAGGTTATAAAGTTATCGGGAGGCTGCTTACTGGTACTAATGGCTTTAGAGGAATATCAATATGCAACGATGAGCGCTTACTCGCCGACAATGAGCGAACTACCACTTCAAGGTGGGTCTGGCATCCTTGATTGGCACCAGGTTATCGCACTGAAATTAAGTAGTTGAGCAACTGGAGCTCACCGAATGGCCATCGAACAAAGCAACAGATTGGCCTTCGAACAGAGCAACAGAAGGGACATCCCTTTCGGGGTTTGAACTAGTATATCCTACCAAGCCAAACACAGAGATTCGGAGATTCCTTCACCTACCTTGCTTTCTTCTCAATACGCAATCGGCAAATCAAGATTTTTGTGGCCGTGAAGATATCTTGGAGCGTCTTGCGGGCGAGCTCTTGCCTTCGAAGGACATAGTGACAGGGTCGAGCACCGCTCTACGGCAATTTGCACTTTGCGGATTTGGGGGGATTGGAAAGACGGAAATAGCCCGCGAATTCTCCCGACGTCACAGGGCTTCGTTTGATGCAGTATTTTGGGTCGTGGCTGATGAGATCGCGAAACTTGACCAACAATACCAACAAATTTCGCTGACACTAGGACTCGAAGATCCATCCGAGTGCAAGAGTCAGGTTGTCAGCAGAGAAATTGTAAAAGGATGGCTTTCTAACTCTCGAAAGCATTTATTGGCGTCGGATGATATTGTTCAGCCGGGTCAAGCTAGTTCAGAAGCGACCTGGCTGCTCATATTCGACAATGCAGATGACCCAATGATCCTGGCGGACTACTGGCCTCAGGGAACTGGATCAATTCTCATCACTAGCCGCGACCCATTGGCTAAAAGCATCTTCACAAGAAGACCTTCAGGCCTGGATCTCGGCCCACTTTCACAGCAAGACAGCATGACCCTATTCAGCCAACTCACCAACATCTTCAATGAGCCGGAGGACAACACAGCGCGACAAATCTCCGATGCCCTTGGTGGAGTCCCTCTGGCCATTTCCCAGATGGCCGGTATCATCCGTCGACAAGACCTCACCTTGTCAGAGTTCCTCGAGCTGTACGCAGACCATGAAGAACATGCCAATCTTTATGAGACAAAGTTTGACACCAATTTGGTCACATATCGTCACTCTCTCTCCACTGTTTGGGCATTAGAAAAGCTGAAGCCTCAAGCTCGACAGCTATTGGAGCTAGTTTCATTTCTTGATCCAGATGTCATTGGAGAAGACTTGTTGATGGAAGTGTCGGCAAATTTGTTTTCCGAGGGCGCACAATTCAAGAAGAGTAGCTACATTGAGGCCCGAGCTGACCTCTTGCAATCATCTCTGGTCCAACGAGATAAGACAAAGCAGCAGTTAACGGTCCATCGCATTGTGCAAGATGCAGTCATTGCAACAATGGATGCAACGAAGAAACGGCTCATATTCGACCAAGTCGTACGAATGCTGTGGGCTAACTGGCCAGCGGCTATGCCCAAGCCATCAAAGGAGCCAGAGTTACCCCTGCCAAAATCAACCGGCGGCAGATTACATGTTGCAAGGTGGCCTCCTTGTGCAGCCATTTACCCGCACATTTTAAGGACACATCAGCTGTGGTCAGCCATTACAAATGTTCCCGAGGCCACCAGTTTACTCTTTGCAAAGCTACTTAATGAGGCTGCATGGCACGTATCCCATAGTCGAGCCATTCCTTGCTATATAGTCTAATGTTACCAGGTACCAAAAAGAGCGAGGACGAACAAAGCAGTTTGATGGGTTCTTCGAAACCGCTCACAGTATCTGCGATGCCTCAACACACGCTGATCGGGATTCCCTGCTTGCAGACATCCATTTCTGCCTAGGAGCAATCGCCATGGATGCGAGCGACTTCGATGCAAGCCGCATTCATAAAGAACGTTCTCTCGACCTAGTTTCCAAAATCTGCAGAGAGCTGGGCGTTGCAGACGAGAGATTATACCTCGCCTACGCAGAGCGAGGAATCTCACGCATTCAGGATAGACGATACGAAGAGGGCGAAGCCGATCTTAAGGAGGCGCTGCAGATACGCAAATGTCTCGGCAACTACATTCCGCGCTCGGGTGAGGTCAATCTGAGCTGGGCCCTTCTCGCGCAAGGCAAGTTTGAAGAGTGCAGCACGCTTCTCCTGGATAGCTTAGCGGGGAGAGAAAAGGCTTTGGGCAAAGAAGATAGGGAATCTGTCCGGACTGGTCTGATTTTTTATGCACTTGGCAACCTCGGTGCCGCGCAAAATCAATGGGACGAGAGTTTTGATTACCACCAGAGAGCGTGGCGCCACATGCGCGCGACGGTGGGTGACAGAGATTTCTACACTGCAAATGTCGCCCACAAAATTGCCGAACACTTTCTACGCTTGGGTCGGAGCGAAGAGGCGATGTAAGTGCTGCCACCTTCAGTCACTGAGCTAGACGTTTGTCTGACCTCCTTTAGTGCCATGATCAATGAGGCACTAGACATTTGGTCTGTTGATCCAAGTGCACACAAGAACGAGATTGCTCGCACTACTTTCATGAAGGGCAAATTGTTCGAGGCGACAGGTAAGACGCAAAAGGCTTCTATTGCTCTAAGAGTTGCTTGTCGCTTGAGGAAGGAGATTACCAAGGATGATCGTGATGTGACGAGCTTGACGATGTGCGACTTTGACGAACTTGTTGCCTTTTGGGCTCGTTGATGAGCCTTCTAAGCCTCTTTTTTTTTTTTTTTTTTTGGTGCTGAAAGCATGCGAGTGACGGACTGTAATTAGTATTCGTTCTAGTGAAACCGAATCATCCCAATACTTGGACAAGTGAGCATCAGCTACGAAGTCTGCTCCAACCGGCAATGCCACGCTCAACCAACAATGTCGACGGTGTAAAAGCAGTCACGCAGCATGCGAGAAGTCTAGGAGAGGTCACAAGTCGTATACCGGCACTGCCAGGGGTGTTAGGCGACGACATGACACGAGGGCAAGTTCACGGAAGGGGAAGACAGCTTCCTTCTCAAACTGGAAGAGGAACTTGACCTATCGCCGGCTCAGATTACAAACACCTGATGTTAATAAACAGAATATACGACCTGTTAGGGAGAAAACCATGGTCGTTGTGTCCGTAAACCCGTTTACTATAAGTCGTGTTTCTGAAGGTAAAAGTATAATAGACTATAAGTAATAATAATATACAGCTTTTTTTCCAAGAAGGTAAAGTATTCTCCTAATATTAATAACTATTTAAGTAGTATTAAAAAGCCAAGATTTTATATTAAGGTATTTATAAACTACTAAAAATTATTATACTTTTTATACTAGGTTGCCTTTTAATAGCTTTATTTATACGCTTTTCTTATTTTTATAAGCTTATAAAAATAGTAAAGGTAATAAATAAATTTTATAAATAAATTATACTTTTTAAAATGCCCGCTATAGCTATCACACACATGGGCGAGACTCTGCCCGAGGCAGGAAATTATCCTATAATGCACACAATGCATGAGATTTCATCTTTAACAAGAACAATAAAGTAATTTATCTAATAAAAGACCTTATAATAAGGCTACTCCTACAGGAATGACCATGAGTCGGTTGCCTTGTTAGCGCCATCATTCCATCTCTGATACCATGCAGCAGAAAGAGCATTCAGCTTTGTCCCTAAAGCTCAATCATGTTCAGCGTACTTGAGCGAACCGATGAGTCGACGGATGAACAAGGTCGGTCCCGATGACAGGCCTGAGATGATCATCTTCCTCCTTTATAACAAATCTCCTCGCTGTCTCGGAAGCTCTTGCCGGTTGCGTCTGGTCGCTTATAGATTTCACAGTGTCAATATGCAAGTCGGTGACAATGCACAGGCTCACTCACTCGTGCGCATAGACGGCTGTCAATAAGCCCTAATATTAACGACTAGCAGAATAATTATAGTGAGAGATTTTCACGACCAAAAAAGTCTGGTTTTTCCTCCCGAAATATTGGCCTCGTTCAACGTTTGCCGCTCAACTTTTTCAACGCCCGCTGTCCCCCGTCACTCGACTTTTGCAACGACAGGCGGCGTCCAGGAGCCGTCGAGAATGGCCTCCCGGCCCCAGTAGGCGCGTATGTAGAGCGAGAAGCGGCCATCCGGGGCCGGCAGCCAGTTGCTCTCCCTGTCGGCGCCCGGCGACCTGGCGCCCGCGTAGAGGGTCAGCGAGCCGTCGGCGTCGCGCCGCAGCGTCTTGTTCTTGGTGCCGAGCGAGTAGCGCGCGAGGTCGTTTGCGTGGAACAGGTGCTTGTCGTTGTAGAGCGTCAGCGACCAGAAGCCGTCGACGGGAGGCTCTTGTCCCGCCGCAAACAAGATTTCGTAGCTGCCACTGCCGTCGAGCTCGCCGCCCGCGCCGTCAGAGTCGGTGTAGAAGTACTGCGTCTCCGTGGGCCGGTTGTCGAACATGTTGGACTTGGAGGTGCCCGTGCGGTCGAAGTAGTCGACGCCAAACTGCGCGTTGTTGGTCGAGCGATTCCAGCCGTTGCCGGCCGGACGCCCGTTGTGCTTCCACTCGAAGAAGGGGCGGATGATGGTGTCCTCGGCCTCGACCGCGGTCGCGACCACGACCTTTTTCAGCTCGGGGTCCTTGGCCGCGGAATCGAGCAGCAGGCGGAACTGGCCGTACAGCGCGTCTTCGCCTGGCAGCGGCTCGACGGTGTTGAGCACGTCGGGGAGCTGGTCAAAGAATTTTTGAGGCACCACCCACTTGGTCTCGCCGCTGGCGTCGCCTCCCGGGCCGGGAATGTCCTCGACGTGGGCCCAGTCGATCGTCTTCATGGCGCCGGTGAAGTCCTCGAGCGGATAAAAGACGACGCTGTTGATTACCGCCTGGATGGCGGCCTTGTCCTCGGGCGTGTCATCCTGGAAGATGCGCGGGATGGCGTTGGCGAGCGGCGTCGGGCACCGAATGACCTCGCGGACGCCGTCGGGCTTCAGGCCGCTCCACCTCGGGCCGGCCAGCAGGTAGAAGCCGGGCTTGGTGTTGTAGGGCTTGCCGAGCTGGCCGAACTGGTCGGTGCGTGCGTCGTAGAGCGCGTACACCCAGAAGCGGTCGCCAAAGTCGGGCACCTGCGCGATGACGGGCTGCTCGTCGAGCGCGAAGTAGCCGAGCCCGTAGACGACGTCCTGGTTGGGGCACGTCACAAACGTCTCGGCCGGCTCGATGTAGTCGTGCAGCATGCCGATTTGGCCGTACGGCGCCACGGGCAAGACGCCGTTGAGCAGCGCCGGCTGCGGCGCTTGCGTGACGCTGGCCGCACGGTTGAGCATGTTGACCATCGGCCAGCCCCAGATGTAGGCCATCTGCGCAATCGCTCGGGCATAGCTGGGCGTCATGACGATGCCCGGAGCAGGCGGCGTCACACCTACGGGTCCCTTGGAAGCGGCATTAGTTGTGGCTGCGACGAGAAAGGCCGTTTACAGTCTGGTGGCAGGGGAACCTGTTCGTGCCGGCACTCACCATTGTCAGTTTGGGGGGTGTAGGAGTCAAGGCTGATGAGTGAGGAAGGATGGGCTTCGATGATGGCAGAGAATGAGTGCTTCAAGCTTACTTGCGCACATCGACGAGAAAGCAAATGCTGTCAACGTCAAGGAAATGATGGCGATTTTATCCTCGTGGGAGAGTCAGGATACGTGATTGAGGCCATGGCCGAGGCCTACACCGAGTGCAACCTATTTGATAGTATCTGCATATTTATTTACCTGCAGATGCGTGGCGTCCAATAGTTGAACAAAATGTACCGCTTCGTTACAGCAGTGTGTCGTATAAAGCATATTATCATATTTTATTCTGCTGAATATAACAAAACCTAGGCTACCCCTCACGAGAATTGCTTTTCCTTCCTGCAATAACTACCAGACTCTTCTTGTAACCTGTAAACGAGAGGCACCTTCTGGCCCTTTTGTAGTTTTTCCGAGTGTTTCATTACGCATCGGCCATGGCCTCGTGTATAAATAACGTATTACCAAGACGATTTTATCCATGAGCCCTAAGAGGCGAAAGCGTAGTGAAACACATATTTACTAGGATATTTTTACTCAATCTCCTCCTTTCTCCTATCCCACCATTACTATCTAACCCCAAGCCTTTCCTCCATCTGCGCTCAACATGGCCGACCAACTTTCACCGTTGATGAAGCAAATCAACCAGGGCAACTGGCTGCCGCACAGGGAGGCGGAATCGCTCCGTGACCAACTCTACTACCAAAATGCCGTGCAGGCCTATATCCTGACCATTCCCATCCTCAACGTCATCGGCCTCCGCGACGGGTCCGAGGCCCAGTTTGGATCCGGGTACAATGTCCTCCCCATCTGGAAGGATCGCATGGACAGCCGCGCCTGGGTTCCAACACCCAACGCCGACGTCATCTACTCCATGAGCTACCTGGACCTGAAGCAGGACGGCCCGCTCGTCGTCGCAGCGCCGCCCAACGTCATGGGCATGTTTACCGACTTTTACCAGCGGACCATCACCGACGTGGGCGCGACCGGCCCCGACGGCGCCAACGGCGGTCTCTACCTGCTCCTGCCGCCAGGATACGACCAACAGGTCCCCAGGGGCTACTTCTCCTTCCGGTCGCCGACGAACAACGTCTTCCTCTTCTTCCGCACCATGATGCCCCGGGGCGAGCACGGTCCAGACCCGGCGCCGGCCGTGGAAACTGCCGAGCAGACCCGCGTCTATCCGCTCCGGACGGCGGAAAAGGACGTCAAGCCCATGGAATTCCCAAACGCCAGCGGCATACGCATAAACATGATGTATCCCGTCGACAATTCGTACTGGACAAAACTCAAGGCCTTTGTCGACTACGAGCCGGTGGCCGCCATCGACCCCATCACGCGCGGCCTCCTCGCCGCCATCGGCATCGCCAAAGACGCCCCCTTCCAACCAAACGATACGCAGAGCGCAGCTCTCCAAAACGCTGTGGCCACGGCACCGCGGATGGTACTGGCAGCCCGCCAGCTCGGACGACCGGACAAGCGCGATCTGTATTACCCTGATCGCCAGTATCAGAACACCTGGGCCTGCGCCACGGCGGAATGGATGCAAGACAGCTACCTCGACGTCGCCCAGCGAGCGTCCTACTTCCAGGTCGCGTATGCCTCGTCTCCGGCCATGGTGATGCGCACCGTCGACGGCGGCTCCAAGTACCCGTTTACGACTCGCGACGCCGCGGGCGAGTTCCTCGACGGCTCGAGCTCGTACAGGCTTCGCCTTCCGCCGAACCCGCCTGCCGAGCTGTTCTGGGCCGTCACGGCGTACAATGTGACGGACGGGACGATGACGGCCGCCGAGCAGCTCCTGCCCTCGGTCAACGGGCTCGGCGCGGTCAAGGCCAACGACGACGCGTCGGTCGATGTGTATTTCGGGCCGGGCAAGCCCGCTGAGGCTGCCGACACCAACTGGATACAGACGGTCGACGGCCTCAACTTTTTGGTTACCCTCCGTCTTTATGGCCCTGGCGTGGACTTCTTTGACCAGACGTGGAGGCCGGATGACCTGGTGAAGATGGACTAGGCTAATAAACGGTGACTTGGCCCTTGCGGTGGAAGAATATTGGCTTTGGGAGATGTGCTCCGCGTTGTGCTCACAATGCTGCAAGGTAAGCCGGGTGAGTAGATTGAGCTTGAGGATGCCCAAGTCATGATGGACTGCGGGGGTGACTGGGTATTAAAAACCTATTTTTTTATATTAGCTTATAATATTAATTTTTGGTTGTTTCGCACTGTAGTTAAATAAAATTACACGCATAATACAAGTATCGTGCAAGCGTAAAATATAAATTAATACTAGTTATTTATAAAATTTATAATTATATAAGTACTTTATTATATTTAATATTATTTATGATAAAAAAAATGAAATATTACAAAACTACAAAAACTACATGTGGAAATGCTCTGCTCAGGATACAAGGCAGGTATACAGGGTAGTCCATCTTCCTCATCACAAGACCATGCTCCGTGCGGGACAAGGCGTGTGATGGGCACGTTCAATATTCTCCCTCGTACAAACTCGACTCGAGAAATAAAAACGACGGATAAAATACTGCCGGTCATTCCATCCGCAATACCCGCCCCAGAGCGCACCATGACACAATGGCACATGCCACATGCCCCGTCAGGCGTCATTCCCGCGGCCCTTACAAACCTAGGCATCGACGCCGATGGTTCTTGTTCCCGTGTTGATCCAGATCGAAGCTGCGCAAGGAGAGAATATTCCAGGTGGCACGGCGACAAAACTAGCGTAATCAGGGCTGGGGCAGAATGTTGCAAGCCGAACTACTAGTTTGGTCCTAGTGGAGGCGTAAAGTCTCTGCGTATCGGTCGATACGAATCCGAAGCATAACGAGCGATATCGCCGATATCCGTGTCACTTGCAGGGCTGCCTCATGCACGGCACATTGGCTGGAGACGGCCAGAAGGGAAAAGGGCAGGTGGACCGGATCGAGCTCGGTTGCAAGCAAACGCTTGTATTTCCTGCAGAGAAGAACATGTATGATTGTATTCATTTCCGGTCGGAATGAAAAGCCTATTGGCCACAGGTTGTGATGCGGGCACATTGACCGTTGGTGAGACCACGTTCGGATAGTAACATCTCATTTCCTGGCCTGCCTGTAGCGAATCTGGGGAAACTTGATCCTCTCGGCTGGGCTCCCGAAACATGTTGGTTGTGGAGATGATTGCGTGAGCAGCCGTCCATCCATCACGGCGGTTGGTTTGATGAGAAACAGCCAAACATGGCAGCGAGGGGCGCCCGGCGGCAAATGCGCCGTGTCTTGTCGGCAATTGATGATTTCGATAAGCGATAAGTTGCGTCTGGTTGCATGCCTACTCTGTACGCCACGCACTAGTATCGTCCGACGGGTAGGGCAAGACGCACGTTGGTGACGGCAGCCGACTGCTCGTCAGGCGACACGAGACCATGGCTTGCCAATCGCATTTGCTGGACAAAGGGTAGCGTTGTAGTATGAGGTAGCAAGGAGAGCCCGATAACATGGGAAAATATGAGCCTCATGCAATACTCCGTAGAATGCTTGTGATACAACATGACAAGCCCGCCTCACAAGCTGGGGGAGAGACCGCTTCCAAAGGCCTCTTGGTGACGCCGGTATCGTTCCTGGATGCCAACGTGGCCGACTCCACAAGCCGTACGAGCCGCTGTTGATCATCTTGCATCTGTCGCCTCCGGACAATCTGCCGCATCAGTTGGCTCGTGGTGAGGGCCGGAGTCCGGGGGCTTCAGAAAGTTCCATGCCTTCCTTCCAAAATACCCGAAACCTCCCAGTGCCATCACCATCCCGCCACAGCTCTGCATGTAATACTATGTATGTACGTTATACTTCGGATGATGGGTTCATGCCAAAGACCTTGGCGCCCTTCAACAAGATGGTAGTATTCTTGGCTGAGAGATATCAGGGGATCCCCGCAGTGTAACCCAGTCTCTCCACCCGAGAAGCTTCAGCGAATACATACAACCAGGGACGCCAGGTCGGTGAACCATGCCTGTTTTAATTCTAGTTTCATGCACGAGAGGGCCTCGGGGCTATGGTTCGCACAAAGCGTTGATTCTCCTCCTTGCGTCGGGTTGTGTAAGTGGACCTTTCTCCTCGTCTGACAATGCCGACAGGGCCAGGGCCTGCAAGCAATTCAACGCAATGTCACGATGTTGAGTGGACGAGGAGACCAAGTCCAGCGCCACCTTTCACCTTGGAGAGCCACGGGCCTGCCTCCTCCGCCTCCAGGATAGTACGGCCTTCTGACGTCCATATTTCCAAGCTTCATTCATCCTTGACAGATCGGGTCCTGCCTTGTCCCCCCGAGGCCTTGCTGAGCTGCAACCCCGTAGTCAGATGACGGCGCGTGACGACGTTTGCCTGTGGCGGGCCAGAACTTCTTGAAACCATTCATATTCCATCGTGGTTGGCTCAGCCTGTTGTGGAAAGTCTCACTCGTCCAGCCCAAAGCATACTCCATAACCAGTGGCCAGCGTTCGATACGACGCTATTTCGGCTGCTGGTTTCACTCAATCTCAGCAGGCCGCTGCATTACCAGGTTTAAATTAACTAGGCGAATCGCAAGGGTCGCGAGGGTCGCCAAGGCCACCCTCAACTGCCGCGTCGGTCGTTTTGCCTCGATTGAACGACTTCGAAAATTACCGTGCAACTTCGCTTTTTTTCACCGCCGTCGCAGCCGAAAAGATGCTCCTGTACACAAGGCTTGCTGCCCCCAAAGTCCCCAGAAAGCGATCACGGGCTGGTGAGTCTCACGAGTTGGTTTGAGCTGTGCAGCGGCCTGTCAGTCCGCTCTATGCCATCGTAAAATTTCGCTGCTAA